TTGTTTCAACAGCAAGACCAGAATTTTTCAATGCCAGTGCATTTTGAAACAGGTTGTTAACTGGCGCCCTGAGAACTGTGTTGGCCTGTGTGTATGTTTAGTTTGGCCTGCATGAAATTTCTGGGGAAAAAAAAAACCAACAACTGGAATTAGTGGCCAGCATTTAAAAATAAGGCGATTTTACATTTTAAACAACAACCTTTTGGAAAACCTTGAAGGTCTGTGCCTACAGTGGACTCCCGCAGCTTCAGGGCAGCCCAGCAGTGAGGGCCGCTGCCCGCCAGCCTGCCAGGCCTGCGCGTCTCCCGGGAGCAGCCTTCTCGTGGGCCGGCGGCCCTCCCCGCACGTGGGCGTCTGCACCTGCAGTGTTGAGGGCGAGGCAGTGAGAAGCGTGCTTATTACCGTTGGAAGGAGAGCGGTGAGGTGCGGCCGTTGTCATCATCGTGTCCCTCAGACTGCCTGCCGGGCCCTGGTCGTGACGTGGTGAGTGGGAGTGCGTGGTGATGCGGGTGCTGTTCCCCGCAGGAGGGTGTCAGCGGGGTGTCAGGGCGTCATCGGCTTCCCCGGCCGTGCTTTCCCTCTGCCAGTTTTCTGAGATGACGGGCACGGGGTCACCTCTACGAGTCACACAACTGTAACATCTTAATGACATTCGATGTGGGGAAGTAGGCCCTGGGCCAGAGTTGTGTCATCTTCAAACTCTTAGAGAATTTGTTCCAGGGGACATTTGTCTCAGGTCACATACCTGCCACTTAGTCATTGGCAGAATAGGGACTGGAGCCCTGGGCTCCAACTCTGGTCCAGTGTCCACATTTTCCAGTCTAGCACGTGGCCTAGGAAGGTGATTCGTAGTCAGACCTGGGTTCAAATCCAAGCTCTGCCCCTGACTTGCTGAGTGACTTCAAGCAAGTGTCAAAAACCTCTCTCGGCCTCATTTTCCTTGTTGTAAAAGGGGGAGAATAATGACGCTGACTTTATTTCGCAATGGGATTAAATTCAATATTGGATTTAAAGAATGTAAAACAGTGCCCGCTCATCATAAACCTAAACAATACACAGTATCTGAAAAGTAATATTTATGAGCTGTATGTCATCCTGGTTGACTTAGCTAAAACCAGTGTGTCAACTACACAAAACTATTGCATAATTAATATTTTCCCCTCTTAGAACGTAGAAAGAGCTTGAGGGTAGTTTTATTTCACATGTTTAAAAATAGTCTCTAGCAATTTGGCTTGATAATGCCTTTTTATTCATAAATTCTTCAGGAGCAAGCCAGTGCAGTCAAAAGCATATTATTCAGCTTTCTCTGTAAAGAGACGACTGGGCGTCGTCAAAGTATTGTAAGTCCTCCCCAAAGACTCCAGGGGGCCGGTCTGTGCAGCCCACTAAACACGTGCTGTAGATCCAGCCCACCTAAAGCCCCCTTAGATGCAAGATCAGTCTCTGCTCTTAGCGGGGCCATAACCAAAGGGAGAAGTCCGGGGTGGAGGGAGGACGGGACACATGATGACCTCTGGAACCCCTGCTGTGCTGGGACAGATGTCCGAGTGGAAGGTAAGGAAGCGCAGCGGGAGCGTGCGGAGCGCACCGGGACCTGGAGGTGGCGGCCTGGGAGAAGGCCAAGTACAGAGATGCCCCCAGGTCGGGAGTAGAAAGGGGGCAGACCGTGGAGCCCAGCTGGAGTTGGGGTGTGTCCCATCTGCAGTCGGAGCACTTGGTGGGAGCGCCTCCGGGCGTTTGTCCTGGAGCTGGAACAGACGAGGGCTAGAGAGAGACGCGATCTAAGGTCAGGTGAGTCACTGTGGAAGACAGGCCGTCCTGGCCCTTGCTCGATGGTCATCATGAGTCAAATGGAGGCGTGGTTGAGAGACTACCTGTGCAGATGCGGGCGAGGGCCTCCGCAGAGCCCTGGACACGGAGGTGGAGGCCAGGGCAAGGGCTGCGGCCTGTGTTGGTGGTAAAGCCGGTGAGTGGGTGGAAGGGGTGAGGAGGGAGAGGAATCGGGGTGACTCCTCTTTGGGAAGGGTGCCATGGAGGGGCCGGGGTGCACTAGAGCTTGCGTGGAAGGGAAAGTGAGCTTAATTTTGCACATGCAGAGTTTCTGAGGAATCTCTGAGATATGTAAGTGGATATGTCGTATCAGACATTCTGTCGTTCCCGAAGGACCTCGTTGGGATGAACTTGGGCAGAAAGGCAGGACACTGTCCAGCAGACAGTTAATCTGCAACAGGGAGGGGCCAGTGCAGGAAGCACCGACTCCGGAGTCATCAGTTAGCAGTGGTGGTGAGGGGACAGCGCTGGCAGGGAGGGAGTGTGGGGTGAGGAAGCCGGGTGAGGGCGCCCCACCACGGAAGCTGACGAGGAATGGCATCCTGACGGCCTCTCGGGTCAGTGGGGACGGCATGGGCAGTTCCACTGGTGGCGTCGGGATGCGTGGGAGCCATTGGGTGGGGACAGGAGGGAGGGATGAGTCCCTGCCTCGTACTGTCCACCAAAATCAACTTCATGGAGATTAAAGCTTAAAATATCAAAGCCATAAGTGTACTTGAAGACAATATAGGTGACAATTTATAATCTTGGAGTGAGAGAGGAGTTTTGGTCAGAAACTATAAAGAACAAAATTGAGAAATTGATTTAATGAAAGTCAAATACAAGTCTCAGTGGGAAATGTATTTGCAATGTATATAACAGATTTAATGTGGGCCTCAGGGTATTTCCTTCTTACCGAGCAGTGAGGAAAAGGTTAATACCTAATTAGAAAAACCAGAGAAAAGGTAGAATAAGCAGTTTGTAAACACAACATCACAAACTGCCAATAAACATGTGAGAGGGTGTTTTGCCCACATAGTCAAGGACACGCACGCGGCTGGCCTTCCAGTCGGAAGAGATTAACGTTAAAAAAAAAAGGCATCCCTGGGTCTTGGAGAGGGTGCGGGGAAGCAGACCCCGGAAATGTCGCTGTTCCTGGTGCTTTTTGAAGGTTAGCTTTTGTCACGCTTTCTGCATTTAAAAAACCTTCAGTTAATTTTTAACCAGAAGGAATGTTCTTTGGGTGGTTTCTTCACTGTGACGATGGAGTGTCCGCTGTTGCAGCAGAGGCAGGCACCAGCAGGTCCGACTGTGCGATGGGCGTTCGTGAGCATTTGAGGAGGCGGTTGCATTCCGGCCACTCTGAGAACCTAGCAGAGGTGACAGATGAGGACACATGTCACTCTTCAGTGCGAGAAAGCTTCCCATGGGAACTGAGGGATGGGAAGGACTGCAGTGTGGTGGGGAAATCGGCAGGGGAGCTGCAGCAATCGTCCCCACTGCACAGTGTGTGTGTGCGTGTGCTTGCACGTGTATGTGTGTTGGTGGGGGGGGGGACAGTCGGTGGCCATGGGCAGGGCTTCCCCTGCCAGGCCGACCAGGCGGGTGGAGCAGCAGCAGCCTCGGGAAGACCGTCCGCCCTGGGGCGATGCACTCACTTCTGTTGAAGTGATGGCTTCACCATCAGCAGATGGTGACGCTGATCAGGGACAGGCTCTCGAATTACCAGGCAAGGCCTCACTGGAGTGAAGAAGACAGAGCTGGTGGAAGGTCCCTGAGAAACAAAAACTCTGCGTGGCAGAGGGCGACCAACTCCCTGGAGACGCAGAAGAGTGTGAAAAGGACGAGAAGGCTCGGTTTGAACTGCGGTTCCTCTGGGGCACCAGCTGCACAGTCCACAACGGCATATTCTCATCGCACGGCGCGAGTTCACTGTCGGTCTTCTGTCCTCCCCGCGCCGTCAGAACGCCCACCGAGGCAGTCTCAGAGCCCTGCCTGGACTCCGGGCTCCTCGGTGCACCCACCCTGCCCCGCCCGGCCCCGCCCCGCCCCGCCCCAGGTCAAGAGAAATAACTAGCAGTTCCTTCTGTGAAGTAGTCAGGTCCAGACAACCGACCTGGCACATTAATAGAGGTTAAAAAATAACGCATACCAACTTAGGAGAGACGGCCACACGTGTGAACTCTTTGGGGCCGTCGTAGCTCCCTGGGCTTTGGAAACTGAACACTGCCACCCTGGTTTCCGTTTCTGCTCTGAGTTTGGACGGTGCTTGTGTTTGTCACAGCAACCAACGAATACCCTTTCCTGCCCGTCACTAAGACATGACGTCATTCGAAGGCCAGTAGCTGCCCCAGCTGGGAAACGGAGCTGTCCTGAGCTCAAGGTTCTGACCGTGTGGAGCACACACCACTTTCTTTGCTTTGGAAAGTTAAAACCGTAATGTAAACACTCAGTTCGTTTGCTTCTTTGCCCTGGGGCTCCTCAGTGCAGGGTTTGGGAACCACAGCCCTGACTTAGGTCCCCTGCTCACAGTACTTGGGTTAGTACGAGGCCTAACACTCAGAGCATAGAGCACGGACGTAAAGTTGTGTCTTGCTATTTTGTCTACCCACTGGCCAGTTGTCCATGTCTGCTCAGTGCCAGGCGCTGTGCTTGGACGTGGGGGTGGGGGCAGGGGCTAACAGTGACCTCTTCCCAAGGAGTTACAAGCTGTGGGAGGAAGCGATGCCTTCGGGCAGGGTCAGCAAACAAGTAGGGCTTGGGCTGCCTCTGTGGAAGCTGCTGTGGGGAAGCAGCCCTGGGCAGTGCTTAACGGTGGGCCTGACTCTGGCCTGGTAAAACTGTTCACAGAAGCAGGGTGGGTGGGATTTGTCTCCTGGGTCCTAGTTTGTGCAGCCCCGCCTAGGGCTGTGGTTGAAGCCCCGGGGAGGCAGAGGGAGCCCTCCACAGGGAATCCTGGAAGGGGCTGCAAAGGTGGCGGTGAGCTCTTCCACCCCCTGCCTGCAGGTTCCCAGGTGAACCGAGGAGGGTGGCAGGAAGCAGTAGGGAGGGAATTGCAGTCAGAAGGGAAATGTGTGTGGATACGGAGTCACAAGGGAACCCAGCAGCTTGGAGAACAGTATCTGTTTTAATGTGACCTGAATAAGATTATGGGGGGGTAACTGGGTTGAAACTCCAGTTTCATGAATCGTTTTTCTCATTGTTTCGTTTTCTACCTCGTTTTGGGGGTGAATCACATCTTCTGGTCGCTTCCAGAGAATGGGTGCGTGGCCAGTTGCTGCCCGCATAGCTCATTCCTTGCACTGCCCTCTAGGCATGCAGCAGGAGACAGCGCTCCTCCTTCTGAGAACTAGCTCCTGGAATTCTGTAACAACGTGTTCTCTCTGAGAACTAGCTCCTGGAATTCTGTAACAACGTGTTCTCTCTGAGAACTAGCTCCTGGAATTCTGTAACAGCGTGTTCTCCGAGAATGCATCACTGGTGGGAAAGAAGGAAATTCTGACGATGTTGCGAATCGGAAGGGAACAGATAAGTTTCGGGTGTGTTTGTTCATTTGTGTTTCTGGAAATACGTTGGAAGGCAGGCTCTGTCCATATAGCGTTTTGGTCTCAGGTAAGTCCACTTGGAAGTTCCGCAGGGGAGAGAAAGCAGGTCTGTACGGGCAGCGTGTGTGTTACCTAAGTGACTTGCTCAGTTTTCTCCGTAAACGTCAGGACAAAGAAAGGCTTCTTTATCACCCGCCTGTTTTCAGTTAAGCAGGCATTGGCGGCTCTGCCTTCGACTCTTCTCTACCTGCTGCTCACTGGCCTCCTCGGACGCGCCCCTGATCAGTGGCTCTTGCTGGCACAGACCTCTGCCTGCTGCCTGCCGGCCGGAGTGAGTATGCAGCTCACGGTTGGGAAGCTTCTCTGGGGCGCCTCCGCTGCACTGCTGGAGGCTGGAGCCGGAGGATTAAGTGATTGGCCCCCAGCCCCACCCGAATCGATACTGGAGCCAGGGTGCCGGACGGTGTGGTCCGAAGCAGCACCTGGCCCAGAGCTGGTCCTCGGACCCTGCCCCACCCTGCCAGGCCACTTCTCTTTTCCAGAACAACTGTCAGCTTGTAGTGAGGGACTGCCTCACTTTGAGGTAATGGTTAGCCAGCTGGTGAATATGGTTTGTGATTATTTTCATCTCCTTCATTCAGTTATTCCTTTACACTCGGCGGAATTGTGTAACATTAACAATGGGCATTTTAGACATTCCAGAAGTATGTTTCCTCTGTGACAAGTACTTCCAATGGCCGGGAATCGACTGGAAAGTTGCTCGTCCAGAAAGCAGCCGAGCACTGAGGACGTGTGTGCGTTCGGCCCTGTGTGTGTCTGGGTTCTGATCGCTTCAGCTGCTTGGGACTCAAGGCCTTGGTTCCTGGCAGCTCTCTGCCTCTCTGCGGACGACGTTTTCGGTTCTCTTATTGGGCTCCGGTCATTTAGATGTTGGTTTTCCTTTCTCCTGTCGAGTCCCTGTTTCTCACTTCTCCTGTGACATTTTCTGTTTTTGTCTTCTGTTTTTAGAAAGATCACTCAACATTTTTATCTTTGAAAAAAATGTACTGTCGAGCAGTATGTTTAACTTGCAGGAGCTGAGTTTATTCCCGACTCTTCCTTTTTCCTTCTGCTTTAGTGGCTGAGCTGTGTTTGCCGGGAGAACATTGCTCAGAGGCATTTGTCTGCTGGTTGTGCTTTCCCTTCCGTGTTCCTGTTTTCCATTCTCCCCGTGTCCTCGGGGGTAACTTTTACTTTCCTTTTGGTTGTCCGGAGCGTACTGAATGTCTCTGTGATGCCCCGGGCACCGCACATGCAGGGGTGGGCAGGAGTTGGTTTGTAGTTGTGAATTTGCGAAACGACTGCAACCCTTCTTGTATCGTTATTTATCCATTGATTATTGTAGTGTCCCTGTGTATCTTTTGTCCTTTTCGTAAACTGCATTTCTGGCCACTGCACGTTTTGTGGTCCGTGGTTGTCTGTTCCACATAAAAATGAGCCGACGTTAGTTTCACTGACCAGGAGTGGTCAGTACGTGGAAGGCCTTGTCGACGGGTGGGCTTCATTCAGCGAGAGCAGGTGGGGGCAGCTACTGTGCGGCCCCTCAGTGCCAGGCGTGCACGGCGGCCCCCGGCACCCGGGACGGTGTCAGCTGCTCCGGGTTCCTCGAGTGTTCCTCGTGTCTGTAGGGAGAACACAGCGAAGTTGACTTCTGTCAACCTTCAAATCCTTTAGTTTCAGCCCACAAGTCACTGCCGCCTGCTTCGTGCACTCTGAGGGGGTTGAATGGCACCCTCCCCACTTTTGCTGCTCTTCCAGCAAAGCTGTCCCTGCTCTTTATGGGATCTTCCTGCACCTCCCACCACACACCAAATACACAACACTTTGTGTGCTTGGCGTTCTTCTAAGCCTGGACTCCTTTAATCTCCTTTAGTCTCCACAACAAACCCATGTGTGGTCCCCACTGCACAGATGAGAAAACCAAGGCAGGGAGAGGTCGAGGTCACACAGCAGGTGGCAGAGCCGGGGTTCAGACCCCGTCTGTGTGTCAGGCAGCCCACCGTCCTCCTGCCTGCACGGCGTCGGTGAGACCCTCCCCCCTGCAGCAGAGCCTCTGCTTTCAGAACCGAGTCCTCGCCTTCGCCGTTCTCCCGGGACGGTGGCTTCCCTGCCTCCGCCCTGTCCCCCACCCCACTCCCACCCCAGGGAGTCTGTCCTCCACGTAGCAGCCAGAGAACCCATCCCAAAGTGCCCAGCAGATCATGGATCGCCCTGATTAAAACACCACGGTGGCTTCTCATCTCAGCCCTGTCACCCTCCACACCCTGCCCTTGGCCCCGAGGCTCCTGTGGCCTGACCAGCCCGCGTCTCCCTCCCCTCCCCAGAGATTGCCCCCATCTTCGGGTCTGGCACTTGCTACTGTTGCTCTGTCCCCTCATCTTGTCATGGTCCTCTCCTCGTCAGTCAGATCTCAGCCCACGTCCACTCACGCACATATAGGCACGGCACGCACACAGAGACTTCTGGTTTTTAAATCACATGTTTAGGGCTGTGCCCCCCCCCCCCCCCCCGAACTCCAGTCTAAGGCCGTTGAGGGCAGGGACTTTGGTTGAGCATCGTGCCCCAGTGCCCGGAGGGGAGCTGGCACTCGATAGACGGCCACACCCCCTCCCTGCCACCCAGCGGGCCAGTCACTGCCTCCGCAGGTGTTCAGTGTCCGGCAGAAACGCACGCGGCCCGTCTGCCGGGGTCCCTTTCCCAGCACAGCTGCTATGACGTTCAACTTCAGTCGCCTGTGTGTCATTATCTATGTTTTTGTCACATCTGAAACTCCCCTGTATTATCCCCCTTTTTTGCTCTTTAAACTATTTAAATTTATATGAAATAGAAACTTTATATCACAGTGTCCATGAAAAACTGGTATTGCTTGTCATAAACACGTAGCTATCAAAGTCAGTATTAATTTATCAAAGTCAATACTAATTAATTTAAAGTGTTACGTGTATTACTTAAAGTTGTCTGCCAAAACTCCAGTTGTATGCACTGTTTTTCTATATTCCACTAGCAGTAGAGTGGAGAGCTGATAAACATGTAGAGTCATAATCTTGAACTTGAAGCCTGTCATTGGAAAATGGGCCAGTAGTGGACCCTGAGGCAACAGCTCAGTCTGAGTGCTGATGTCTGCTAAAGCCAAGTCAGCTTAAGCCTGGCATCTCCAAAGCTGTTTCTGTGCGGGACGTGTGCGCAGGTGTCCGGACCCACCTCCGGCCTCCGTGTGCACGGCACGAGGTGCATGCTCACAGGGGCTGGAGCAGCGTCTGAAACTCTCCTCCCCGTCTAGGACTGCCCAGGCCGCACGATGATGGACCTTGCCTCACGTCTCAGACGACCGTCCCAGAGGGTGGCCGGCGAGAGCAGGAGGATGACCTCACATTTCTGGCGGTTCTTATGGACGCTTGCTCTTCTCGGTCTGATGAGTCCCGTGAACAGCCAGAGGAAGGGTGAGTGAGTGGGTCCCAGAGAAGGGGCGGGCTGCCCTGCTGCCCTGGGTCTTCACTGCAGCCTTTGGGGCTGGGGTGGTCGAAACCCACTTCTTTGCAAGCTTTTCTCAGTGTGCTTTCAGTTTCTACTTAATGCAGCTCTTAAAGACAGATCTGCATTCTTTTCCCATTAAAAAAAAAAAACTAAGGTATAATTTACATACACTAAAATCCACCCTTTTAGGATGAAGAGCTGTGGATTTTGACAGACGCCTACTGGTGTCAGGACTCCCGTACAGCACAGGCACACTGAGCAGCCACGCCTCTCCCACAGGCACCACCCCCAGCGATCAGCCCCTCCCACCGGCACCACCCCAGTGATCAGCCCCTCCCCCGCAGCCCACACGAGCCTTCTGTCTCTGCAGGGCCTTTCGGAGCCCCCTGGAGCTGAAATCAAATCTCGCTCTTTAATGCTATTTGTTTTCATCTTACTTAGCTATGTTAAGAATGTTTGTGTAGATGTTACCTAGCTTATTTCTGTGAAACATTACCCGTCTGCCCCGGGTTTAGTTTTTATATCATTTCCATAATTAAACACATCTTCTCATTCCCCCAAGATCACCATTAAATAACTTTATTATAATTACTGGTAACTTCTGAGTGCTTCTGTTTTTGTTTTGTTTTACACAAATAGCTTTATTATTTATTGCTATAGTATATATAGTGCCAACTCTGGAAAAATTAGAGAAAAAGACCTTTTAAGAGACATTTGTATAGAAAAGTGATTTTCAACCAGTGAGCTGCCAGAATTTTTAAAACATGCAGTAACTGACTAGTCAGGGGCACTAACCTCTTTTCCCTCAGACTGTCAAGTAAAGAAATGGCAACAGCCAACACAACAGTAGCCGTCAGTGTGAATGAGTCAAAGTTACATCTATTTTCGATATACTGGCAAAACATAATATATTTTTTGGTGTGCTGCAGAAGTTTGGTAATTAGTTGATGTGGGCCATGAGGTGAAAAGGGTTGGAATTTGCCGAGAAGGTCTGAGCTAGAACACGGCCTTTGCACTCTAATTGCTTTTCCCTCCACTCCCCTTTTCTCCCCCCATGGCCTTCTTCCTCTCGCTCCCCTCACTTTCCTTTGGGAACCAGTTCTCCACCGTGTGGTGCGTACGTGTTCCATGATGTAATGTCATTTTATAGATGTGAGTAAGTACTGTCAGATCGTAATCATCTAAATTATTTGTTACTTTTCAGTTGTCCAGGCCCACATGAAATATATACTTCTCAGATACTTGTGTGAGCTCATTACTGTATAAATTTAATACGCTTCATAAAAGTCTGAAGGCTGGTTATGGGATTTCACGTAGGCGGCAGTCCGGGAGCCAGTGGCAAGGCAGCAGCCGTGTTCACGGCCTGGGGAGGAGGTCATTTTTACCTGGAGTTAGGCTACTGCTCATTTCTGTGTCTTTTTTTTTCTTTTTTCTGTAAATGAGGCTTTTGGAGATGAAAATTCTCCCAGGCCCTTATTTTGTCCCGTCGCTGAATCAACACAGGTGCTCCTTCTATTTGTCTTAGTTGCCTGGAAGTGGAGTTTTTGATAGAAGCCCAACAACCCCTAAGTGATTTAGCGGTTGGCCCACTCTATCAGGTTACTGTCGAGCTTTTTTAAGCCACAGCTACAAAAAGAAACATAAAACCGGTCACCTCCTGTGACTGTAGGTTCATCTCAGCCTCACAGAGAACACGGCCCCTCCGCAGCCACTGATGCTTGTACTCCAGATTGAAAACAGTTTAACTTACTGACTGCTGACCATGCAGCTGAATGATTAAGCGGGGGGTGTGTGTGTGTGGCTTCTCCAGCTCCAGGGGCTCCTCGAGACTTGAAGTGCACAACCGCCAACCTGCGAGTGTGGGACTGTTCTTGGAAAGCGCCATCCGGAGCGGGCCGCGGCGCTCTTTATGAAGTTTGCATTGAAAACAGGTAATGGAAACGCTCCTATTAATCTACAGCTATCACCTACAAATATTTGTGCTCTTTAATTTCAGAGCATAGGAATTTTGTTCTGTAAATTTTTTAATGAAATTCAGAATCTTAGCTCTCTTTTCCTAAAAATTCTGCATCTTTCATCAGTCAAGATGGTAAGGAACCTTTCTCCTGGCCAAAAGGTCTGTTCTTTTATTATGTAAACGGGGAGTAGGTACCACCCCTCCACGGTGCTGTGGTTCTGATGTGTCCACCCACATCAGTTAGGTTGAAGTTTCGCCTGCCCCAGCCTAACAGAAAATGTCAGTAATAGCGGCTGAACAGGTAGATAGTCATTTGCTCTCACGTGTGAAGCCCGGAGTGGGAGTTCCAGGCTGACCTGGTTGTTTATGGCCACAAGAGACCCTGGCCCTCGGTCCATGCTGCTCTGCTGTCTTTGGCACGTGATTTCGTGGTTCAGGATGAGGCTTGAGGAGCAGCTCTCGTGTATGCATTCCAGAAGGCGGGGAGGAAAAACGCTCTCCTTCAAGGAGACTTGTGAGAAGAGAACCTCTGCTCACCTTTCACAGGCAGAGCTTAGGCAGACGGCTGAGCCCAGCTGCGTGGAGGCTGGGCCACGCTCGCTCCTGGCAGACGGCCATGGGCCCAGACAGATGAACGTTGCATTCGTGTCAGTGAGGAAAAGGGGGAAGTGGACATTCGGAGGCAAGTGGCAGACCGCTGTACCCTCTCCGGTAACCAAGGAGTCGGCCGGACGCTCTGAAGTCTGGGGCCGAGGCCCGTGGGCTGCCCTGACCTGCTTTCCTGGAGGGCCCGGCATTGTCCGAAGGATCCCGGGTCCGCACGCCCTCTCCCCGGCCAGGCCCGGCTTGCCGACGAGTTCTGGGTGCTGATGTGAATTGACCTGACTGCGTACTGCAGGGCCCTCAGCTACTCTCTCAGTCAGCGTTCGTTTTCAGAGCATTGTTCTCATCCCTGGGGTCGTCTGTCAGTGTGGATGGTTTGGTTTTCAGAACAGCTCTCTATTCTCTTTTTTTTATTTTCTGCTCCAGTTTGTGTTGTCTTGGGTCGGCTGGCACCCCCGCCCTGGTCTCTTCCTCAGGGCCCCGGCCCAGGGCCATGGGGGTGGGCAGAGGGAGCCCCCCGGGAGAGCTTCTACAGCCTCCTTCCCAGGCTGACAGCTGCGACTTCCACGCAGAGTTCCCTGCAGAAGAAGGTGCCTCGCCCTGCCTCGCTCCAGAGGAGCGGGGAAGTGCAGCCCTACTGTGAGTCCAGGTGGGGAAAACCTCCAAAGTGGGTACAGAGCGCCACAGGCCATCCCGAGAAGTTGGTGCTGCTGCCTAGGAGCTCCCAGTGGGCAGAGCTGACCACTCTGCGGTTCGGCGCCCACAGGGATTGCACTCCAGGGGCCAGGGTGCACGGCCGGCTCCGAGGCGCTTCTTGGAGGAAGCGTGCTTGGGGCGTGGGACTCCTTGGTTCTCTCAGCGGGAAGAGGACTAGAGGACCTTCCAGGCTGAAGGAACACTGGGCACAGTGTCTGAAGGAGTGGCACAGCTCGGTTTAGGGCATTCGGGTGCTTTGATGCCAGAGGGGAGGCCCCCAGGGAGCACTGCAGCCCTGCGGCACCAGGGTGCTTGGCCCTGAGGGGGAACTCAGCCAGGCAGGAGGTGGAGGCGAGAGTTTGTCAGTGAGGCAGCGAGACACAGTGGGCTGCGCTGCAGACAGTGCCGCGTCTCCCCTAACAGGTGAGCGAGGGGGACCCCGGTGGCTCCAGGGGCTGAGCCTGTGTCTGCAGCTTCTGTGCAACATTGCCGGTTGGGGGAAAGTGGGAGAGAGACGCTGGGGTTCGCCCTAACCATCACGCGGTGTATTTCGTGGTCTATTTTCCTCGCGTGGTGTGAGTGAACATCTGTGGTGTGCACAAGCTTTTGATGGGACTCTCACCTCAGGCGCTGAGTCTCACATGGCTTCACTTCTGTCTGCGTGTTTGGTCCTGACGCCTCGTCCCCGTAGTGGTTTTGTGTTGCTGACACCAAAAGAAGCCTCCCCTTTGAACCGAGAGATGAGCGAGCCTTTCACGTCCTCAGCCCTGCGTGAGCACTGTGCACGGGCCCTGGTAGGCGCTGGCGTGGGCCACGGATGCAGGAGCCGCCGAGAGGCCCTTTGCTCTAATTAAAAGTTTTGGGAAGTCCTGGCCAGTGTCGCTCAGGTGGTTGGGGTGTCATCCCGGCCAGGGCACACGCCTGGGATGTGGGTCCGTCCCTGGTCTGGGCGTGTACGATCCACCGTGCAGGCGGGAGCAGGAGGCCATCAGTCAGTGCTTCTCTCTCTCCCTTCCCCCTCCCCGCTCTGTAGAGGCAATTAAAACATGCCCTCAGGTGAGGATAAAGGAAAAAACATTTATGGGAAGTTAGACCTGTTTGTGAGTAACAGTAAAACGAATGCTGGTGTCTCCTAAGGACCCGAAGGGCCGTGGAACCGCAGAGGCAGTGGGTGGGGAGCTGGGAGCCTTCGAAAGCCGTTGACCGGAAAGGTTTGTGCAGTGAACCGGGGGCCCAGACAGAGGAGCCGGCCCATCGGGGCGTGTTCTTAGGGGCGTCAAGTGGCCAGTCTCTGTTCGATGTGAGGGGTGTTTGGTTAGGTGGGCGGGTACAGCCAGAGGGGAGGCTGCACAGGGCACTTGGGCGCGGTCGGGAGAGTGAGCCGCAGCCCTGACTCCAGGAGAAGTCAGCTGTGTCACTCGGCATTCTCGCACAGTCCGGTGGTTCCTCCCTCCCACCTACATGGACGCACTCACCATTAGCCTCTCTTTTTCCAGTCTTCAGACGCAGTATGCGCATAATGCGTTTTCCAGTTCATTTTGTGTTACGTTTTAATGGAAATGACACTACATTTTATCTGCCGATTAAAATGTGGTTTCTTCTATTGCAGGTCCCCTCCATGTTATCAATTGGGGAAAACAAATACTCAAATCCCATCTCTTCTACCTGGTGATCATGAAATAACGATAAACCCGCTACATGATTTTGGAAGTTCTATGAGTAAATTCGTACTAAATGAAAAAGATGTTTGTAAGTATTTGAAAAGAAAATGGGCTTGGAAATCAGTCAGAACAGTGCCTCTGTTGGTTCCGCAGTGCGTCGCAATTGGCAGACATTGGCCGTTGTCCTGATGTTCAGTGGGGACAGGGATGCTCTCGCCCTCCCCGCGGCCCTCCCGTGAGCGGCGGAGCCCAGTGGTGACGCAGGCGGACGCACACGGCCCTCCAGGCCAGCGGCTGTTGCCTGGATGCAGAAAGTGACAGCGGTCAACACAGCAGTAGCTGTTGGTGTGAATGAATCAAAACCATACCCATTTTTTTTGTCAGATTGGCAAAAATTATGTTTTTTGGTGTGCCACAGGATTTCAGTAGTTAGCTGGTATGTGTCATGAGATGACAAAGGTTGAAAATCCCTGCTCAAGTCAATCGAAATAGGCGCCACTGAATTCAGGGTCCTTCCCTCAGTTGGATGCTTCCTCCTCGGTCCCTTTGCCTCGTGGACCCTGCGCAGCCGTCAGAATTTCTCAGGTGCTCCCGCTCCGGGCAGTAGCCTCTGACCACCTGTCTCAGAGGAGACCCAGTTCCTTTCCCCTCTGGCAGCCTGCAGGTCCCCTCTGCGGCACTTCTCATGGTTGCCTTAGTAACCCATCCTGTAATTAGGCTCCGTCAGGCGGGGACTGTGCCCCCACACCCCCTCGGCCACGCCTTGCACACGGCTGGCTTCTTGTGTGAGCGTGTTGAGTGGACGTCCCAGGACGCGTGCTGCACGCAGACGGGAGACTCGGAGCAGCCCAGGCCCACGGGGAGGGAGGCTTTGCCCCGGGCCCAGACCTCGAACACCCCAGGAGTCTCCACTCTCAGTGGCGGGGCAAACAGCTTGGGTGGCTTCTGACCACTGTTATGGAATTGGCATCATGATAATATTACGACGAGTCCTAGGAGGATGGCTGACTTTGAAGCAAAGGAAAGAAAATACAATTACCTTTGCAATCTGTCCAGTCTCACGGAGGGATGCTCGAGGTCTGTGTCTGAGACAGTTTGAAAGGCGATAACAAAGCCTGCTCTCCCCCCACCCCCGAGCTACATGTGGGGCGGTTTTGTGCAAGTCAGCGTGGTCCCAGCGCCCAGGGAGAACCACCGTGAACACTCCGGTGTGTTTCCTGTGTGTAGAAATGTAGACAGTGAGCGTCACCTGTGATCTGCTTCACAGAAGACGCAGGCAGGTTCCCCGCCGTTGTCTCAGCACGAGCCGCAGGCAGCGCCTCGAGTGGAGCCGCGCAGTCACTCTGCAGCGGTTGGTTGGTAATGTCAGGGTCTTTGTTTCCCGTTTTTCAGCATTACAACCAGGGCTTTAGTGAACAGCTTTTTGCACAGAGGAGTTTCTGCATCTGTGTGATGTTTCCCTTAGGCTAAATTTCTAGAATTGGGAATGCTGCATTAGAAAATGCACTTTTTATGTGCGTTTTCCGCACATAAATCCCACTTCTTATGACTTTTAATATCCACTGCCAGTGGTCCCCAAATTCCGAATCATTCCCACGGTCGTCATCTCAGAGAGCGCCTGCTCCTCCCCGTCCCGGCCGGGCCTGGGGCGTGTCCTTCGTGGTCCTGCCACTTCAGTCTGCCAGCCTCTGACTTAGAGCACCACTGTCTTTGCGGTTCTGTGGTTATTTTAAAATGAGCAGTCATTTTTATTTTTTCTGAATAATCTGTGTCCTTTGTAAGGTTTCTCATGCTTAAATTATTGTTTGTTAATTCTGTCGTATTTGCCACAAATATTTTTCCAAGTTTAAAATTTTAACTTTGCAGTATTTTTCACGCCACAGGTTTTCATTTTTACATAGTCTCTTGCTGCTTTCCTTCATGAGTTTTTAGTTCTGTGTTCGTGGGTGATTTCAGTCTTTAATTCACATGGAATTATTTTGTAGTGTGGCAGGAGGAACGTAACTCAATTTTACTCCAGGTTTAAAACACATTTCCCAGGACCCCGTCCGAGGGCCTGCCTGCCTCCTCCGCAGGTTCAGAAGGTTCCATCTGGGAAGCTCCTTCAAGACGACGTTGGTGGATGGAATTAGAAAGGCAAAGGCAGATCAAGAGAGACTCTAGCTGACTTATGTAGCAGTTTGTTTTTTCTGCACATGATGTAATTGGTAGCATTTTTTATTAATGGCTTGATTGTGATTTTAATATGAGACTACCGGTATCCCAGTACTCAGATGTTACTACTGCTGGGACAGCCCTGAAAAAACAAATTGAAAAGCAGTTCAGGTGAACACGAGAGAGGGAGGCGTATGCACCAGCAAATGCTTGGGCCCCTGCTGTGTCTGGGGAAGCTGCGGAATGAGAGGCGGCTGTGCAGTGGGGGGCCTGGGGTCCTTGGCAGTGTGCCACTAAATATGAGAAATTAAGTTTTCTCCAGATCTTAAGTTGCTTTCAAAAGTGCACATACAAAGAAGCAAACAAGTTATTTAACACAAATGCATACACGGACTAAGTTTCTGGTTGACAAGGGCAGGCACAAGCGCAAGTCTTTCTGAGAACGTTGATGTCTGAGTTCCTTATCATCTGAGACTGGGGCCCCGGCTGAGGCAGGACACCTGCTCTGGGGTTCCTGTGAAGGAGCTGGGGGGCACCCCCTGCTGATATTCTAAGGCAGAAAGAATGGAGGTTTGAGGGAAGAGATGCTCTAGCTTTAAAAAAATAAACAAATGGGGTTGATGGAACTTTTTCCATAGCTGAAAAGGTCCGAGTTTCTAGAAAGCAAGTTACAGTGCTCTCAAGTGTCTGTTTTAACCGGAAAGCAATAGAGATGCTGGTGGTTTCTGGGGGCCCCGGGAACTTCCCACGCGTTCTGTAAAGAAGAAGAAAGTGCGCACGTGTGCTCCTCTCATTCTTAACGATTGCCTTCCGCCTGCAGTCCTGGGTATGGCTCGGGTTTTGAAGAGTAGCCCCCTGCTTTTTTTTTTTAATTTTTTAAAATATATTTCATTCATTTATTTTTAGAGAGAGGGGACAGGTAGGAGAAAGAGTGGGAGAGAAACATCAGTGTGTGGTTGCCTTTCATGTGTCCCCTACTGGGGACTTGGCCTGCAACCCAGGCGTGTGCCCTGACTGGGAATGGAACCCATGACCCTTTGCTTCGCAGGCCTGTACTCAATCCCTTGAGTTACACCAGCCAGGGCGCCCCCTGCTTTTTAGATAAAATGTAAACTGTGTGCTTTCCGGGAAGGAAAGCCTTTTAGTGAATGAATGTTGCCTTAGTAAAATACTCCCATGTTTCGTAATTTTGAAGTTACTACATTTTGATAACTTGAAACATTTGAGAGAACCACATTCTTGGAAGCCTCTGCTCTGTGTGGCCACAGTGGCACCTTGAACTTCCGCTCTCTTGGCCTGAAAACGGCTCCCGTCTCCTTGGGTGCTCCGCTTTTAGAAGTGGCGCGTCCCACCCGACGTTTCCCTGGGGACGCAGCCTCCACGGCCCTTGTCTCATGACTGTGCCACGCGCCTGTCCTGTTCAGCCCTGAACACCCCGTGCAAACCCACTGTGGGGCGCCGTGGTTGGCAGAATGTAGTTAAATTCAGCGAGGGCTTATGTTTCAGTTCCCAGATGAATTCATCCTATGGGTTTGTTCTGTCGTTTCTGTGGTTGAGCATATGCCGCTCCCCTCCAGCCGGGACTTCATTTCGTTGGTCCCTGAGCTTCGTGGGGAAGCCGCCAGGGTGGGTCCGAGGCCTGAACGTGTGTCTGTGCATTTCTTAGCTCCCCATTGCTTCCTGTCATGGGCGGCCAGGACATCCAAGGAAGAGCCCAAGGTTCTCTGGCCTCACACCAGAAGCCTGGTTCATAAAGCAGAGCAGGCTCCTGCCTTCCATGGTTCCTACCGATCCCCCCAAATCCAGCCACTTGTCCCTTAGACATGGGGAGACTGAAAGATTTTGAAGGTTCCCTTGCTTTTTCTGCTACTTTCTCTCCACCTTCCGTGATGCAGCTGCAGAGCCCACTGCCTGCCAGCTCCCCCCATGTTCTTTCTCGAAGACTGACAGTCCCCTCACCACAGTCCCGTCCCCAGTGTCACCGGCCTTCTCTCTCTCCTGCGAATTCTGGTTTTTTTGCCTGGATGACAGCCCATCTTTTGGTCTCAGTGATCCTGGATTTTCTTTCTTTTTTTTTCTGCTTCTGTGCCCTTCTTTCTGGAGTGCGGTTTCTTCAACATGTCACTGCCTACCATGGGCCCCAGACAAGCTTTGCTGGTTTATGTCTCTGTGCTCACCCTCATTTCTTCAGCCAGGAGGCCTGGGCAGGCCCCTCCCGACTCTGTCCACGGTCTTGCCCCACCGCTGCCTGCACACGAGTCTGGCCATGGCCTCCTCTCCCTGACACGTGGGCGCCCGCAGCAGCCTCCTGCGGCTCTGCACAGTGGTCCCCGAGTCCTTTTGACTTCGCGATTTTCTGGGCTAGGAGTTTGAGGCGGTCTTAGGTGTTTGCCTTCCTTGTTATTCTAACTAATCCTTCATTTCTCGGATCCCGTCATTTCTTTGTTTCTTTGAAATGCCCTTCAGACCTTGTCCTGTCTTTCCCCTGCCCCAGCGGTCTCTTACTCGATCAGCCGGTCTCCGCCTCAGTCCCCTACAGACGAGTAACAAACCACCACTCACCTGGCTCCTGGGAGGACTTCCAGATCCGCACCTCGCCCGTTGGCCTCCTCCCTCCGAGTCTCTGTCTTTCCTTTGGTCTTAGTATTTACTGATGCCTGTAACCAGGAATAGCCCCTCATGTCCTCGTGTGAGGGACGTCCCCCAGCACAGGGGGCTCTGACACTCTTGAGATTGGGGGGGGGGGGACTGCTGAGAAAGCACACAGAAAGCTCTAGCAAAGCAGCCTTTCCGTACTCTGTGTAGGCCATTTTTTAGGCCCGACCTTCGGCCATGCACAGGAAGTTCTGCTGCTCCCCCTCTGCTGCTGCCTGCTGGTAGGTCCCTGGCCAGACAACACCAGGGTGGTGCTCTGTGGGCGAGAGACAGCCAGCTGGTGAAAGCCTTGCTCAGGTGTGGCTGAGGGGTCACTGGGAGGTGCTTATACAGATAAATTCACAAACTTGCTCCTTTTTTTTAGTAATGGATTCAAGAGTTTGCTTTTAATCCTTGATTATTTTTTGATCAAGAAGTAATAGAGTTTAAGATGAACTGACTAATGGAATTGGCAATGTGAAAAATCATTACTTATTTTATTAAGTTATATCTTTTCCCCTTTTGAAGCCTTCATTCCAGACACCCCGGAGATCTTAGACCTGTCCGCTGACTTCCCGACGTCCACCTTACACCTCAGGTGGAGTGACAAGGGTTCTGTTTTCCCCCGCCACTCAAACGTCATCTGGGAGATCAAGGTCCTTCGTAAAGACAGCATGGAAGTCGTGAAATTAGTAAGTCTGAACGAAGCAGTTTTTTTTTCCTTGACATTGAAGAAGCCCAAATATGTTTTAAAACGATTTTTAAGGCCGCTGGGTTCCAGAGTCTGTGCTTTTAACCACTGCAATTTATTTTATGCAGTAAGAATATATATTTTTTCATCTAAGATGCCCTCCCTTTCACCTATCCAAACTGAACCTACATTTCAAGACTCATGTAAAATCCTGCCCCTTGTTTTAAAGCCTTCCCTAATTTCCTCAATCTAAAATGGTGGCTCTTTTCTTGAATTTCAACGGTAATTCTTGCCTGCCAATCCAGTTTATAGGTAGATATGATATAGCTCCATATCATTGTCCTAAAATTATTACTTATTTAAAACTACATTGATTTACATGGCTTTGTATTATGGCTTAACATTTTGTGTTCTGTGTTCTGACCTATTTATTGGTTTAGGGTAACTTCTTGAAACCTTTTTTTCTCATCTGTAAAAGTAAGGCTAATATTTGCTCTAGTTGATGATAAGTTGTTTATAAAGCTGCTAAACAATTACTAGCAGTCATTACTTCCTTGGTGGGGTAGATTTATTTTTTAGAACTAACTCAGGGATGCTAGAATAAGAGGCATTCTCTTTGAAGTGTGAGTGAAATCCACCGTGAATGAATGGAAGCATTATTCTAAAGTCATATGACTAATTCATAAGAATGTGGCAAAGGCAAGGTAGTAATTCTCGACTTTTGGGAATAGAATCTTTGAAGAAAAGTCTTTATATGGAGAGATAAAGCAGGAAGTTTAAAGATCAGTAATACTGTACATCAGCGTTTTGCTAATCAGTTTCATTCATAGTGTCTTCCTTGGTAACCCGGCACTTCCTGCGCATGCGCGCAGCCTCGCACGCAGCCGCAGAAGCTGCCTGTGGCTCCGAGCTGCACGTGAACAACACCTGAACAACACCTGGGTGTTCCGAGGCACCTCCTCACCTCCTCTAAATTTCCTGTCCCTCTTCGTTTTGAGCCATGCTTTATTAACTTTGCAAACAGAAGATAAAAATTTAGTGCCCTGCCACCCCCACCCCGGCCCCTGGGCACACACACGCACCTGTCTGCGTGCTCTTAGGCTCTCTGTCTCCCGCACTTCTTTAAAAACCTTTTTCCATTACTGTTGGCTATAATTTTTGGAAGACCAGTATTTACTGTTTGTATTACAGTTATGTAAACCCTATTTACAACTCAACCAAGTAGTGTATACTGTTCTCCCTCTTTTCCTTCCTTGCTTCCTTGCTTGCTTTCTTCCTTCCAATTTCTTGTAAAGCTCTATATTTTTAGTTGTATTTATCTGCTTCCTTAATTCAGTCCCAAGGCCCCTCCAGGTTCTGTAGATCTCTGTCAGAATGTTCAGGCATACTAGTGTTTTTATCGATGATGTATTTGCGAGCGAGTCTCTCTGAGGGCCTTCCGACTTCTTTCCCAGCCCTTTCACGAGGGCTCACACAGAGCCTGACGAGAGTTGTGGGCACAGAGTGTGGGGAATGGTTGAGGATTCTCGGGGCCAGAGGTGTCAGCGTCCTCAGCTCCCACCAGTCCCCCCTGGGTGGGCAGAGTCAAACCCCGGTGCACCTGTAACCCATTCGAGACAAGTGCCTGTGTCATTCGGCACATTTGTCAGGTCCTCGGGGGTTCCACGATCATCCAGGGGACTCCTTTCACCTTTTTCTTTTGACAGATCCACTTTTCCTGAATTTCGTGTTGCCCTTTTATTTCTTTTCTTTGGTAAAAGCATATATTCTAGCAGTTATTCGCTGGTTATTATAGATACTCTCTGCTATTTAGAATGGTAGCTTACAGATACATTTTATTTTTTAATCTTTAAAAAAACTATTGATTTTAACTACTGAAAAGATGTGGAACAACTGGAATTTTCATACACTTCTGGTGGAAATGTAAAATGCTATTGGATGAATACACTGAGACCTGACGTTCTTAAAAATGTCTTTATTCTGCACGTACCCATGCTTGCTAGTTTAGCTGGGTATAGAATTCTAAATTGTCTCAAGATTTTGAGGGCATTGTTCAACTTTTTCTCGTTGTGGCTCTGTCTTGATCTGTTGTGGGGGATGGACACTCATTTTGGGCCCTTTCAGTCTGAAAAAACATGTCTCTCAGCTTGGGAAATGTTCTTACTTTACGTCTGAATTTCTCATATCTGTTTTCTATTTTTTTTCTTAGAACCTCTGTTTTTTTTTTTTTTTAGAAATCGAGCCTTCTATACTGGTTCTTTAATTGTCCTGTCATTCCTGCTTGCCATCTGTATTTTGCTTTATTTTCTGAGTAATTTTTCCTAAGCTTTATCTTGCAGTCCTACTGTTGAATTTCTATTAATATTTTTAATTTACAAGATATCCCCATTTTCGTTCTCTGTTCCTCTGAAAAATGTGTCCTGTTCTTGCAATGTCTCTTCTAATCTCTGGGGGTATCAATAATTTTAAAAAAAACTTTTTTTGTACATTCTGCTTCTTTAAAGTTTTTTTTTTTTTTTTTTAATTTTTTGATCTGTGACTTTTATATTAGAACTTCTTCTCCACTTTCTGGTCATCTTGGTTGTTGCATGTTTAACTGAGTGGCTCTTAAAATACAAGAAAAACCCAACAGAAACTTCTGTTTGCTAGACAAGGCTTGTTGACTGGAGCTCATCATAAGTACTTAAAATGGGATATCCAATTATCAATATTATTTTAGGAAAAAACTTAATAATATTATTTTAGTTTTTATATTGACCAGTTCATATGCCCCAAAAAAGTTTGTTTAGACTACCCCTGGTGAATATGAACTTGGCCATCACTGCCCTGAGCTGAGTAAAGGAAGAAGGCAGGAGTCTTACTCCTGCCTTAAGAATGCATTGGTTACCAATCCCCTTATTTTTTGATGCATTATTCCTTATTCTCAACTTCCCCGAGGTTCTTCATTCCAGAAGTATGCTGTTTCACTTTTCTAGCGCATAAATCTGCATCCCTCTGCCAAGGTCAAGAAGGGTTAGTGCTTTGGCAGCATAGAATGTGAGAGGAGATCTCTTCAGACAACTCTGCAGCGGTCTTTCTGCTTGGCGCCTCACCTTCGCTGTGCATTTCCGGGGGAGCCCGGTGCCGCTCCTCCCTGAGCCCGGTGGCGGGCGTGTCTGTGGTAGGGATCCGGTTGTGCTGGCTCTCCCGTCCGAGGCTTGAGATTCAGCTTTCGCAGGTCTTCTGAGTGAGTTCCTGTATCCAGCTGCTCTCCAGCATCTCATTTAATTGGTGGTGGTTCTCCTGTGTTTTGCCCTTGTGCATTTACACCTAAAGACATCTGTGTACTCTTATTTTAGAGAGATTTCAGGAAGTCAGAAAAAAAGAAATGCTTAAAAAAAATCTGTTGTCTCTTTTAGTAGATCTTCAATATTTGGTTAAAATTATCCACTTTTCATAACAGATTAATATTGCATGTTATGAAATGCGTATTTAAAAGTAAAAATTTAAATATACAACACATACACATTAAAAGCAAATTCAGTCTATATTGGTGATTTATTTTGTTTTGAAATGCTGCTCTCTCTTTGACTTTAATTCTTGGATGTACAAATCTATTATTTTTTCTCCATGACAAATGGAGATCATTTTCACCAATGGCATATTTTCTTGTAGACTGTATTCAGTGTTTTGGAATATCCACACTTGTTATAAAAATGCACAGGAGTGGGGTCTGATGTTGGAGTTAACATAAACGAGACATGGTTATCGTTGCTGTAATGCTATGGTACCTCGTAGGAAGCCGAGATGGTTTTATAAGAGGACAGCCCTTCACCTCACTTCGCTGGCCGTTAGGTGCAGTCTGAAGGGACGCGGAACGTACCGCTGCTGGGAGGTAGAATGCTGTCGTGTCTTGTCCCTGCTGCAGGTGACCCACAACACGACTCTGAACGGCAAAGACACTGTCCATCACTGGAGCTGGGTCTCCGACATGCCCCTGGAGTGCACCACGCACTCTGTGGGACTCAGATGCTACGTCGATGACCCACATTTCTCTGGTCGCAAAGAGTGGAGCAACTGGAGCCCCCTGAAGAACATTTCTTGTAAGCTACCATTATTTAATGAATTTTTGTTTCAAGTGAATGAGATCAACCTTGCCTCAGGGTGAGATTTAGTTTAAGCTTTGAGTTCTCGGATCCCCATTTGTCTGTATGAGGGTCACCTGGGGATGTTCCAAGTCCTCCGTCCCAGTATTTTTTAAATTGATTTGTAGAAAGAGAAAGAGAAACATTGGTCTGTTCCACTTATTCCTACATCCATTGGTTGCTTCCTGTACGTGGTCTGACCAGAGATTGAACCTGCAACTCTGTGTACCAGGACAATGCTCTGCCCAGCTGAGCTACCCGGCCACAGCCCATCTCTGTGTGTTTTCATTTAAAAAGTCTGAGATAGGCTTTGGGAATCTGTATTTTTAAAGAACTTCCTGAGCGATTGGATAAACATCCTGGTTTGAAAATCAATGTAGTAGACATCCAAGAACATCTAAAATTTTTGTGTAGGTGGTAATGAGGTCAAGTCTTGTTTTTTTTTTTAAGTGCCCAATTTGTCATCCACAGAGGAGACCCTGTGACCTACAGTTTTTGCAGAGACACAGGAATTTGCAGATATGCCCCAAACCATCAGTGCATTGAATGAAACTCATTTGCAGGTAGAATGCTGGCAGTATGGGGGAGGGCCCAGCAAAGTACTGACAGTGAAGCAGAATTTCAAAAAGACGGCCGATCATTGTAGATTATTCAGCTTAGGGACTCTGCAGAAATGGGTCGGAGGAAGATGGGGCTGGAAGCAGGTAGATCAGTAAGGAGAAGCTTGTTGCAGTGCAGGGAAGAATAGTGCAGGCGTGACTAGGACACTTGGGGTTGGAGGTAAAAAAAGGTGCAGAAACCCTGAGGAGACAGAATCAGAATCGGTGACACTGTGTTTGGTAAGGGAGAAAGGGAGCCAAAGACGACTATTAGTTTGGGCAGCTGGTGCAGCTTTCCACTGAGACAGAAAACACATAAACAAATTAAGTAGGAAAGACTCATTTCATTGTTCATGCCTCGAGCTTGAGGCACGTGTGAAGTGTCTGGATAGCGAAGTCTCATAGGCAGCTGGAAACGCAGGTGTGGCGTCCAGGTGATCAGTTGGAGCTGGAGATGCGTGTTTGAAAAGCATTAGTGTGTATGCGATGTGAAAATTTTTTAACCCTGGAGGCTACCATGACTCAGGGAAAAGGGAATGGAGACCAAGGACGTGCTCCTTAGAAGCTTTGTGTCCTCGGGGAGGAAGGAAGAAAGTCCAGTGGAGCAGACAGGCAGGCGCCGGAGGACTGGGAGAAGCCGGGAGGGCGCAGTGAGGGACCGGGGAGAGAAGGGGGTTTGAAGGAGGAGGACTTTAGGCAGCCTGCCGGGAGCCGTGGAAGTCAAAGGGGAAGGCTGCTCAGAAGCAGGCGCTAGACTGAGCCATTCGGTCAGCGGCCACTTCAGTACTGCGGTTGGGGCAGGAGCCAGAGTGCAGCCTGGGAAGGAGAAAACAGGTCAAAAGGAGAGTGCAGGTAATTTAAAAGACGGGCTGTTTGGGAGAATAAAAACGAAAGGTAGGCTTTCAGCTGCAGAGTTGGGATTAAAGAAACAGTGCTTTTTTAGGATATGGGGTACTCATACGTTTATTTAGGCTTGATGGAAAGTAAGAGGTCTGCCCTAAATACATAGCATCATTTCAGGGGCATGGAATTATTTAAGATCAACACTTTTTCTTGGTGTTGATTTTTCACGTGTGGATGTAAACCCATTGATGGAATTTTTAGAACTTCTGAGACATTAACCTGTGACCTTAGACATTGACCTACAGTCCCTTCCCCCACCATCACTGCACTGTAAGTAAATAGAATCACACACTTCACTTCTTGTATATGTCTTGCTCCTTTGAAACCTGGGGGACAAACCTTATCTTCAGGCCACTCTTACTACAAAGCACCCCAAGTATGTTTTGTATACACTGGGTTATTTTTATGGTAAAAGATTTCTGAAGTATTTGTAATTTTTCTTGATCTTTCTAGGGTCTGCTGATTCTCATGGCAGGGTTTTTCCTGTAGACAAAGTGATACCTGTGGGCTCAGATATAACATTTTGTTGTGTGACTCTTGAAAAAGTGTTATCAGCCCAGATCGGCAGTGTGAAACGCCCCCTCATTCACCTTGACGGGGAGAACGTCGCAATCAAGATCTATAACATTTCTGTTTCTGAAAACAGTGGAACAAATGTGGTTTTCATAACCAAGGAAGACATTTATGGAACAGTTATTTTTGCAGGATGTAAGTACAAATTTTTTTTTAAAGTTTCTATCCATCATTTTGTGCTCTCTCTGAAACCCTAAATGCTTTTTCTATGGAGGGGCAGGGGTGTGAGTCCATTTCTTTTTTATTCTTTTATTCTTTAATATAAATGATATAAAAGGCACCGGAATTTTTACTCACTTAAAGGTGAGGTCTAAGCTTGTTTTGTATGTGCATGTGTCTGTGTGACTTCCAGGCTTTGTAACAGGATTTGAAGCATTTGACTGCTAACTTGTAGTTTGAATTCTTGGTTCACAGCTTTGTTGAGTTGGGGTAGTTAATGTACAGTATTTACGAATCCTACCTTCTTTAGTAATCATTTCATAAAAGTTCATTTTCTGTATAATTGTAGCATGCCCTTTTTAAAATAAATACCCACATTAAAGAAATTGTAATGATTTTGCATAAAATCTTTTAGCAGCATAATAGTATGTATATTTTCAACTTGAAAAAAATCTTTCGGAGGAGGGGGTAGCTGGAGGACTCGGGTGCGAGGATGCGTCCTCTTGCGCTGCGCCGTGTGGGCGCTGCCCCAGACGCAGGCAGCTTTTCCAGGGCGGCTGCTCCAGCAGTTCTAAGCCCACGGGGGGCAGAAGTGGCTGCGGGAATGACCCGGCCAGTGTGGCCTGCGCCCAGATCACCCTGTCTGTTGAGTTCTCTGTCCCCTCCCCTGCAGTGAGTCAGATGCCGTGGCTTTATGTCTCCAGCTGCCTGTCCTCTGCATTCCACATTCACAGGCTCTGCATGGGATCTGAGGGGCTCATGAAATGAAGCGTGTGAAACATAGTGAGTGGGTTCTGTGAGTTTTCTCCCCCAAGCTTAGTGATTTCCTTCCGCTCTTGTACAGTTCTCGGCTCTGCTCCAGACCAGCGGCCCTCGGCCTCCTTCCCGCTGCCACGGGAGCCAGGGTGGGTGGCCGATCTGCTTCCAGGGGGAGTGGAAGACCGAGACTAGGTGTCTGCTTCCAGGGGAGTGGAAGACCGAGACTAGGTGTCTGCTTCCAGGGAGTGGAAGACCGAGACTGGGTGTCTGCTTCCAGGGAGTGGAAGACCGAGACTAGGTGTCTGCTTCCAGGGAGTGGATGACCGAGACTAGGTGCACGTAGTCTCCTTCCGCCTCCCCAGGGACTCACGTGGATTCATGTGAGGGTGAGGGTCACGTTCACATTCAAACGTCAGAAAATTAAATTTTCCTTCCTAACGGTATCTTAGGGAACGACTTGCCATCTGAGTTGAGACCCAGTGGTACAGGGAGTGAAGCTGCCTGGCTGGTGATTCTGAAGAGGGAGGCAGCCGCCCGCGAGGGGGAAGAGCAGCGTGAAAACGGGGAGACGAGCGCTCACAGGCGCTGGTAGTGGAGACAGGGCTCCAGTCCTTTATCACTTGTAGGTTCAGATACCGCTCAGGGTTTGAACGCTCAAGAGCGGCTGTAGAATTTCCCTTCCGAGGGCGCTAGTTAGGAACTTACAGCCAGGTCAGCAGATGGTGTGAGTCGGGAGTCCAGATTCATTCACTTTGTTTGCCCTTTAGGCATCTCCTAACCCACAAGGCATTGAAAAGGCTGAAAGGAACGCGAGCATCAGCTTGTCAGCCTCCCCCTGTCCACACACATCCTTCTTCCAAACCTGCCCCGACTTTGGTTTGCGTGATGTTGCCTCCGTCGTTGCAGGTCACCCAAACCAGGGACACGGCACATCCTCCACTTAGTTGGGCCTTCTTTCTTTCGTCTTAGGGATGGGAGGTCTTGCGTATCCTTTAGTAAACTTAAAAGATACTCCTCCATGTTTGGTGTTTATGCCAATAAGGGTGCCTTTTTTCTCTCCAGTTTATTCTTGTAATTGAAAATAAATTCATTATCTAGCAGACAGAATAGTTATTTATAGTACCTGTTAGTATTCATGCATATGCTAATTTAATCATAAGCCAAATAATTGTTACTAACAATTATTTGGGCAGTAATCATTCAAGTAAGTTATATTTAAATTTTTATTGTATTTTTTCCATTACCATTTAGTCCCTGTCAATAGTGCCGCTTCCGTACTCAGTATTGACCTTGATGTTAATCTTTCATCATATTTAAGATACTTTAAAATAATGCACTGTGACGTAGGATTAGAAAATGTAGATATTTATATCACATGTCAAATTTTATACTTTCATTTGAAAATATTTTCATAAAAATGGCTTCAATTTTAAAAATACAGTTTGTTGGTACACAGAAATATATACAGGTCATTTATAATTAGCTTGCCAAGCTTCAGTTGATTCTTTTATAAGTTAATTTCTTTGAAAAGAAAAGAAAATCCGTACATTAGCTTTCAGACACCACCCTCTCATGTTTCTCTTCTTTCTGTCTTCACTTCCACTTCCGTCTAGTTTGCTCCTGTTATTTGGACTTTAAGTATTTCAACCTAATGTATCTGCCAAATACTAAAATAATAAACATTTTAAATATACTAAAAAATTTGGTATGTCATTTTAATAAAATGACTTAACATTTAGCCTTAGATTTGAAACAGTTTCTAAAACAAATATGTCGATATCAGTTTATTATCCAGTTGTTAGACTATCATATAATGCTTGTCACTCCTCCTGGCATTACCTAAAATATCACTGAAGGACATTCATTATTCTTATCTCTGAAGAAGGTATGTGAAGTTTTCTAAATCTTGGTTGATGAACTAAAATCTGATTTAAAGTTTTAGTTTTTTAAAAATAAAGTTACAGGATTTTTCAACAAGTAGATAATTATTTTTTTAAAAGCTTATCTTGCATGCCAGAGAGTTTGGATAAATGGGACAGGAGGAAATACCAGCTTCTGTGTATGCCCGTTAAACACGGTCACAAATGTATCAATTTCTGTACTCGTGTCAGAGTGCAGAGTTTCCTCCTCACTTTCCATCACAGACACACTCAGAAAACACTTGCTTTCTCGTCCTGCCTGCACCAAGTCAGACAGTAGTTTTAGTGACAAGTGAAAATGACAGAAGAACAGTAGTCACTTTGCATACGGGGAGATGCAGAATTTTACTGAGAATTACTCTGGAAATAATAGTCCTGGTAACTTATTCAGGAACTCTGAAACTTACGACGTATGTTGACTTACAATGTGATTTGGTACTACTTTGCAAGTATATATTGGTGATCTGTAATAATACTTTTAACTCGTAGATTTTTCTGACTTTTTGGGTACACCTCCCTTTGAGAGATTTGGCAGATTCAAGTAGTGTTTAAGGGGAAAAAAGTGATAGATAATTTCTTCAGTTTGCTAATAGGGAGTTCTCAAATGAGCTAATAGTCACTCTTTAGTATATTTTAAACTATCATTTCTAATGTAATAGTAATTTTAAAAACATGCTATAGAATGGTAATTCCTGTATTGTTCAAAAAATAAAATATAAACAGTACACTATTTCATTTTTAATGAACATTTAGGAGACATGATATTTGCAGGGAACATATATGTTAAAATAAGTACCTCCATTTTCTCCCTCTTTCCTTTTAGATCCACCGGATATTCCCCAAAAACTGAATTGTGAGACGTATGATTTAAAAGAGATTATATGTACTTGGGACCCAGGCAGACCAACGGCACTGGCGGGCCCTCGCGGCACAACTTACACTTTGTTCGAAAGGTACAGGTGACCGGGAAAGGGTGTCAGGCAGACAGTGAGGCGTCTGTCAGAATGACGTCTCCCGACACACGGAAATGCTCCATCTCTCTCTTTTTTTTTTTAATATTTTATTTATTTATCTTTAGAGGGGAAGGGAAGGAGAGAGGGAGAGAAACATCAATGTATGGTTGCTTTTCGTGCGTCCCCTGCTGGGAACTGGCCTGCAGGGAACTGGTCTGCAACCCAGGCATGTGCCCTGACTGGGAATCGAACCTCGATTGTCTGGTTCGCAGGCCCGCGCTCAATCCACTGAGCTACACCAGCCAGGGCTCCATCTCTTTATATTATCAGCTAACGAGTGGTGTAAAAATTGGGTGTATACTATCAGTACTGCCACTTAGTGCGTGCAGACTCCATTCGGACAAATGTAGCCTTTTCACGGAGCCTACAAAGCCTCAGATATAAACAGAGACTGTTTGGTGGCTGGTTATTTTCTTCCCTGAGTATGTAGCGCATCTATAATTACAAAAGCTTTGAAAACGTTAATTATCAGAAATTCACCCACTTATTTTTCCTGCACTACTTATCACTTGCCGTTTTGATGCTGTTTTGATATTATTTATTACTCTCTTAATTCACAGTTTTTCTGGAAAACATGAAGTTCAGAGACTTGAAGGGTTCATAAATGAAAGCTGTCGGTTACTCTTTCAAATCCTTCCAAATCAAGAGCTCTATAATTTTACTTTGAGTGCTCACAACCCCCTGGGCCAGTCACAAACACGGATTCTAGTGAACGTGACCGAAAGAGGTAAGCGGCTGCACGAACCAGCACCTTACACACCTGCGGAGGTGGTGCGAGGTCTCGAGATGAATGGAAAGTGAGCCTCCAGACAATGTTTTCCTGATTATTTTCTTTATAACTGCCTAATGTTAATCTTGTAAGTTCTATTTTAAAAGCTTTAAAATATGTAATTTCAGGTGCAACATTTTATTGAACCCAAGTGAATTTTTGAAATATTCATTTACATAGAAAGCATCAGTGGCTTCATCTAATACTTTATTTCTGAGAAAATTTTGCCCAATCTCTAAGGACTTTTTACTTTCAAACAATTGTAGGTGGTTGCAAAAACTAATAAACGAGAGCTCTCTGCCCCCTCACCTGGCTTTCCCCGGGGCAGCGGCTCACGTTGCTGTTGCTCAGCATCCAGGCCAGGCCACTGACCCTGCTCAGCACACACCGGTCTTCACGTGCATTCAGTTGTGCGTGTGTGTTATGTGTGTGTAGGTCTGTGCAGGCAGATTTACGTAAAGGTTCAGGGAACCCACGCAGTCAGGATACCGGACTGGTCTGTCGCTGTGCCTGCCCCCACCCCCGGCACACACACCCTGTTCCCGGACACCAGAGATCTGTTCTTCCTCCCCGTTGCTCTGTCATTCTGAGATGCAGTGCACATGGGGTGGGGCAGCATACAGCCTTTGGAGGCTGGCACTTTTTACTAAAGGTAATAATAACCTTTAGATCCATCCAGGTTGTCGTACGGATCAATAAGCAGTGCAGTCCTTTCTATTGCTGATGAGTTCTTCATTTTGCCAATCTTATTAACACAGAGCTCAGAATAGAAATGCAGTTCGGTGCAGCCCTTTGGCATGCGTTCCCGTGGCTGTTCCGTGGGCGTCGGCTCCATGCTGGCTCTGCAGCACGGCAGCGACTCACAGTCTGGGGCGGAAGGCTCACACCAAACGCACTCCGCTGCAGGCCGGCTGTGCTCGCTAAACATGAAGCACCTTCATCAAGTATTTCTTCCCATCGTCTTTCTGTGTCCTCACTTTACCCAAGGACAGAGTGGCCACATTTTGTGTTTCCTTGACTGGTAGTGTCTGTGTGTCCCTGTCCGCCCTCCGCCATTCCGGCCTTACGTACGGCAGGGTTCGTCCCCCCACCCTCAGCTGGGTCCTCGCCAGTGCAGTGTGCCTGTGCCTCGCTGTGCCAGGACCCCAGCCTGGAATGCTTTTCCGCATCCATTCTGCCAGCTTTACTCCAGTTCTTCTTTCAAAGCTCATCCTAAGTCCCTTCTTTCTTATTTATTTACTTACTTACCTATTTATTTTCAGAGAGAGGAGAAAGGAGGGAGAGAAACATCAGTGTGTGGTTGCTTCTCACATGCCCCCTGCTGGGGACCTGGCCTGCAACCCAGGCCTGTGCCCTGACTGGGAATCGAGCCGGTGACCCTTTGGTTCACAGGCGGGCGCTCAATCTACTGAGCCACACCAGCCAGGGCCTAAGTCCCATCTTTAGTGCAGGATTCTCCTTACCATGTTTATATCTAAATTTTTACAGCACTTAATATGGATACCATACATTTTGAATTTGGCATATATACTCTTGTAACTCTCTTGTTTGCATGTCATCCCCCAAGTAAATTAGAGGTTCCTTGAGGGTAGAGGCTGTACTCTAAGCACCTTTTAGTTAGAGTTCCTGACCTCGATTGAGGAACCTCGAGTGTGATCGGTTCCGAGGAACCGTCGGCGGAACTGTTGCCAGCAGTGCAGTCAGGTCGTGTCCCCCACCAACTGAGGGGGACACTGTTGGTCGGCGCTGACAGTGCCTCTCCTGTTGTCTGTCTCCTGTGATTCGCATTTGTCATATTGGGAAATAGCTCTCGAAGTAATTAATCTTTAAAAATTATGTTTGCAGTTTATCCCCATGCTCCTACTTCAGTCAAAGTGAAAGATATTAATGCAACAGCCGTTACACTTTCCTGGCATTTACCGGGCAGCTTTGCAAAGATTAAGCTGTTGTGTCAGGTTGAAATCAACAAAATGAATTCAGCACAAGAATTGGTGAGTAAGATGCTTCTGTAAATTTCCTTAGAGGTTATTTTGGATAAAACATTTAGCTTTCCACAGAACTAACTCAATTTATATGCGTAAACTCTGATTATTGTAGAGATTGACTAAGAACCAAGATACGACATAGGAATATAATTTGACAGCATTGTATTTAGCCCTTAAAGACAATTACAGTACTGGCTACCGTAGAATGTAAGTTTGACTTTCACTACTCAGATCGTTTCCAGGTCTGGTGGTGCACCTGGCATGTAGCTGGTGCTCAATAAATCTGTGAATTAACAAGTAGTTTTGCTGTGACCTTTAGCATTAGATAATGGACTCATTGGCACTGGAAAGAAGATGTGATTTTTAAAACCGCTAAGCGCAGCTACAGGAGCAAGTTATAATTGGTTATTATAAGTCAAAACATGACTTTTAATACATTTTAAATACTTAGGTTGACTTTTATACTGCACCATCTTGTAATTTTTGGTAAATCCAAAATAAATGATGTCATACTTAAATATTCATTTGGAAACTTCCTGGTGATTTCCAGAATATCAGTCACACTGCAAAACGTAACCTCCAAAGCTGCTCCATAGTAAGTAATCGGGAGTTTGGAGGCTTCCCTGAGACATGCAGATTCTCAAATTTGTTTCGAATTGCTTCATTTTAATTTTAGTTAGTTTGAGTATCTGTTGAATGGTCTGCGTGTTTAGCACCATATCGGAGGCACTAAGTTCTACGTAAGGCCAAGATGATGCAGCCTCCAATCCGCTTCCAAGGACCCTCTGAGTGGCCCAGGTCCTCCTCAAAGCTGTCTCCGGTTATGCCAGTATGTTAAGGTTTATTGCATCACCATTAGCCACTGACTGATTACCAAGTTTATATTCTCCTCTCTGCGTACTTTAATTGGCCACTATTAATTAGGTTCAATAGTTGGATTAAAAAGACACCTCAGCTTTGCTTCCTGCTGTTGCAGAGCATCATAACATCACTGATTTGGCATTTACGTAAGAATTACAACAGGACAGGAGTGACTGACTTTGATCGTAGAGGCAAACTCATGCAGACAGTTTATTGCAAATTTGGGAGGCTTTCTTATTTCAAAAATGTGTGTGTGTGTGTGCACACCTGAGGTTCCGTGTGCACACATCGCCTTGCTTGTTTCCTGCCAGCGGAATGTCACCTTCCAAGGGGCAGACGGCTCGAGTTACCTCACTGCTGTGGGCGGGCTGCATCCGTACACTGTGTACGTCTTTCGGGTCCGCTGTTCCGGTGAAACTTTCTGGAAATGGAGCAGATGGAGCAGTGAGAAGCAGTACTTGACCACAGAAGCCAGTAAGTTAACTAAGTGGTTTATGGTTAATTATTACTGTGGGTCCTGGAATTTTACAATGTTTTTTTTTAAATGTCACCCAAGTGACTAAAAATAGGAGAATGCTTAGGTACACTGTAAAGTTATACAACATACGCTAGCACAGTATTACACGGACGGTTTGCATGGTGGTTTCTAAAGTCCTGTGAGCACAGGGAGCACGTGGAGCAGGTGCTGTGTGGTCGCGCAGTGTGGTCGCGTCGATGGCAAAGTGACGTGGCGCAGCCGTGGTGAGATGAGGGGGAGGTTTTTCTCACACTCCTCCCTCCTTTGCCTGGACTTTTCACAATCTAGTTAGGTTGCGTTTTCATTAAAAATTAGTTTGTTGGAGTTTTTATTTCTGACCTAAGGCTGAGTCATGGATGGGGCTAAGGTCTTTGAACTTCAGTCTCCACGATATGCCTAGGTCAGAATAGCCAGCAAATCAGGTAACTGGTTTTCTGAGGACAATTTCTGAAGACAAAACTAAGAGTCTATCCTTGATTAACTGGATGTCAGCTTTAAAACAGAAAGTAGAAATAGGTGTGATTTTCAAGAATCACTTACCAAAACACAGCAAATTCTTTATTTGCACCATATGATATAGGGAATATAAAGCTTCTGCCAGCACATCTAACAAACAGGAAAACAAAAAGTGGTGATGCATGCTAATCTGGATGCTGTCTCCCCACGTGAAGGCTGGGGTGGGGGGACTTTGCCATATGTGCAAGAATTACCTGGATTATCAGACATGAATCCAGTGTGAGTGTCCAGAGTAAGAGTGCATTAGTTGCCTATTGCTACGTAACCAATTACCCCAAAGCTCAGCACCTTAAAACAGCAAGCATTTGTGATCTCACAGTGTCTGTGGGTCAGAAACCCAGGAGCAGCTTGGCGGCGTGGCTCTGGCCTAGACTCTCTCTCTGCTGAGGCCAGTCACCGAGGGGTGGGGGCTGCAGGCTTGCCCGGGGCAGAGGGTCTGCGTCCCATGGGTTTCCTCACGTGGCTGCTGGAGTGTCCTCAGAGCGTGGCAGCCGGCTCCTCCTGGACTTGGGGAACAGGGCGGCCCACCTAGTGTTTTTCAGACCTGGCCTCAGAAGGGACATACCTTCGTTCTGCCAGACCCTGTTGGTCACACAAGCCAACCCTGGTGTGGTGGGGGAGAGACCACTAAACGTTTTCGAGCCCCACCATCTCGATTACTGACTTTACCAACCGACCTGGCACAGCGCTTGGAGTACTGACTTCATCCTCTTCCCTAGTTCCCTCGAAGGGCCCAGACACGTGGAGGGAGTGGCGCTCGGATGGGAGGAACCTGGTGATCTACTGGAAGGTAAACACCTCGCGTTTGCTCGAACGTTGACATGGCTTGATGTTGCTAAACGACCTGACTCTCAGAGGGTCCTGGGGTTTTCAAGGAGTCGGGGTCCCGAGAGGTGCAGCACTGCTGAGAGTGTGACCGGGCCGCAGGCCCCCCCAGCCCCCTCCTAACCGCAGCTGCAGCCCAGGCAGCTTGGTGAGCTTGGTCTGGGGCCTCGGCGCTCAGTGTTCTGATTTTATGAGGCCTCCGAGGGGCCCCGGGGATCTCGTGAACTCAGTCCCTCTCGATTCTACGGAGCCAGAAGCTGCAAGTTACAATTCTGCTATTTATGTTGCATTTTTTCCTTTGATGAATAGGAAACCAACTTTTTATATATTTTATGTATGATCTGTTTCCATTAAATAAATTGTATTGTACGATGCAATGATAGTTTTGTAAAATTTTAGATAATACATGAATCACGCTCTATTTTACTGTTTTTCCCTAGCAGAGCAGACATTTTTGTTGCTGTGTTTTTTTATCTGATTTGTGAATATTAAAAACACCAACAGTTGTTTTCTACCTTCGATTTCATAAGAGCAGTCATAACCAGATTCCTTTAAATGGTGGGTTTTGTTGTTGAGAGTAAACAGTATGATACTGTTTTTGCAAAAACTTGATGTCAGTACAGCTTTGAGTCAAGTGGAGTCCAAGTGCATGTTCCATAGAAGCTCCCTTGCTCGGAAGTCGTCTGAGGGGTTGGTAGCAGCCCCTTCTCCTCCTGCTTCGAAACCCTCAGTAGCAGCCTCTCTTTCTCGATTAGAAACCCCCCGCTACCCTGAGCTGTCTGTCAGATTTCACAGCAACATAGTGACGATTATACAGATCACTTCCCAGTGGAAGGAGTTTGGAATATTGTTCCAAGTAGATGACTGTTTAACCAGGGATTAAAACTACTGAAGTGATTCAGAGTCTAACTGCAGTCCCAAGGGTAATTACTTCTGCCCTTTCTGGGTAGAAAATTAAGTTGTTTTGGACGTGTTGAGGTTTTTGAACATGTGTCACTGGGGTACCTGAGCAGAGTCCAGGAGCTGGGGGGGTCGAATAAGGGGTCTAAGCTCTCAGAAATGAGATTGGAGCCAGAGACAGGGCTTTGAGGGGCGTCCAGGGTAGGGCACAAGCATGACTACAGTTGTTTGTGTGGAAAATAAAGCAATAGTTAATAGACAGTGATAAACCAGAATAAGACTGTGCTTCGTGCCCTCACAGTGGTGACCCTGCCCTGCCCACCCCCGTGTCAGCGGGATCCTTCAGGGGTGTGCAGGGAGGAGGAGGCTGGGGTGGGCTCTGGGAGGGGGCTGCGTAGGAGGGGCCGGCAAAGGAGGAGGAGCCAGTGGGCGAGACTGGGAAGGCCCAAGGGGCCCGTGGACCAGCAGAAAATAACATGAATGTTCTGTAATGAGCAGGCGCTACTTTAAAATGAGAACGCAGTAAATGTTAAAGAAAAAAAACAATGATGCCATACTTTTTAACATTTCATTTATGTTTATATAGAGCAGTGCTTCCCGTAACTTTTTGTTACGAGGAAATGAGAGGCTAAATGCGGCTTTTTATTGACTGCTTGCTTATATCTGTGTGTGCTCACGGCACATACTGTTCCTCCTCAGAGTCACCGTCCCGATTTGCCCGGGTCTCTCGAGTCTGAGCAGCTTCATCTCCTCTGCTGGCATCTTTACGACGAGGGTGGTGTCCACTCTGGACTTGACAGCCTCGCCTCGTCACACGGTCACTTCTGCGTGTTTTCACAACCGAATGTGTCTTTCTGTCTTGCGCAGCCTTTACCTATCAATGAAGCCAACGGAAAGATACTCTTCTATAACGTGTCCTGCTCGTCAGATGAGAGGACAGAGTCCCTCTCTGAGATCCCTGACCCTCAGCACAAAGCGGAGATACAGCTTGATAGAAATGACTACATTATCAGTGTGGTGGCAAAAAACTCTGCCGGCCCTTCTCCCCCGTCCAAAATCGCCAGCATGGAGATTCCCAACGGTGAGTGGTTAGGGCGGTGAACGGGAGAACGGGACTTCGGAGGGACACACTCTGAGGGTGTTGCCTGCTCTCGTGCACCTCCGCTGCCTCTGTCCCCGGCCCGCCGCTGCCGCCGCTGCTGCGCTGGCCCCTACGGAGGAGCGGGCGGGCGAAGGTCAGCTGCGCGCCGAGACGGCGGTCCTTGGTCCCGACCGGCAGCGTCGGCCCTGGAGGACGAGGCAGTCGCTGGTCCCGGTCACTTTAACGGGCAGCATTGAGGGCGGCGGTGGTGGACGTTACTCTTAGGGAGAAATGATTCCACAGACACCGTGTCCATGCGTCTCCCCAGCCCCACGCAAGTCGGCTCCTGGGTCAGCTAGGCTGTGTTCAACCCGTCTGGCAGGGAAGGACACTGGGTTTACATGGCGGCTTTGTTGAAAGGACATTCTTTCATTAGGAATCCTGTACTGATAAGAAAGTCTTATCAAAGTCTGAATTAGACTTTGAGCATGAACTTGTAAAAATGGTGCGACTTTTAAATGACTGCCTGCCTGCCTCCGCATTCATTCTCTGGGTGCCCAGCCAGGAGTCCATCCCCCTGCGCTGCCTTGGTGGCCCCTCAGGCTGTGGGTCTTCAGTGGCCATCCTGGCCTCTTCGCCCTGTTGGCGCCCCCTCTGAGCCCCTGCCCCCCCCAACCTTGCTGCTCCGCCCCACGTGGGCCCTCCTCTCCCAGCCACTTCTACAGCACCGATTGGTTCGGGCTTCCCTCTCCCTTTTGGCCATGCCGCCCTCATCCACGCTAATGTCTCGCCATCCCACCTTGGGCCTCCCTGTCACCTAGGCCGACACCTGACGTGACCCCACGCTGGCCCCCTTCCCACCAGCCCCTGCACCTCCCCACTGTGTCCCCCAGGGCCCTGTTCAGCCTCTTCCCTGTCGGCCCACACTGGCCGGCCTGTCCCTCAGCTCTCCTTCCCAAACCGTTTGAGCAGATTCCTCCTCTCCCTACCCTGTCTCCCGAACCCCCAAAGCCCATCTGGGAGGGGGCAGTGTTCCAGCAATGGAGGAGGGGCTGCTGCAGCCCCCCACCCGCCTCGGGCCATGGTGCTCCTGCTCTGTGCGCTCTGTCCAGCTGGGGCTGCTGACGCGGCCCCTGCCACCACGGGGCTCGCACCCCTGATGGTGACCAGAGCGGGGACGCAGTCTGCCCACGAGTGCTCTGCCCCCCCCCCCCGGGCCGCCACGCCCCCTCCGGTGCCCTTTCTCCGCACGCTGGAGCCTTTCTGCCCTCGCTACGCCACCACCCGATCCTGTGTGCTTTCTTACCGCTTCCTTTCAGCAGTCGAGTGGACCCGTAGGTACAGGTAACTGCATAGTTACGGCTGCACTTGTAGCTCTACTGAAGGTTTATCTGGTTCAAGCACTGTTTTTAACATTTCCGTGGAGTAATTTGTGTAACTCGCGCCCGTTTTCATGAGGTCTGCCGTACGTTACTGGTTTTGACGTCACGGTGTCCTCCTTTCTCGTTGAAGATGACCTGGAAACAGAGCAGACCGTGGGAGGGGGAAAGGGGATTCTCCTCACGTGGCATTACGACCCCAACATGACGTGCGACTACGTCGTCAAGTGGTGCAACTCCTCCCGGGTGGAGCCCTGCCTCATGGACTGGAAGAAGGTCCCTTCAAACGGCACGGAGACCGTGGTAGAGTCCGGTGAGTGTTTCTCCGAGTGCCCCGCACGTGCTCTCAAAAAGAGCGACGTGCGGGTGGCTGGTGGCAGTGGGGTGGCCGCCCTCCCTGACCAGGGGGCCAGGTGTTGATCGGTCTGGCTCTGCGGGAAGGCGGTTAGGACAGTATGTGCGTGAAGGGGCTCCGATCCCTTGATCCTAGTTACTTGCCTAGGAATTCATTCTAAGAAACGAGAGAGCGCCCCAGATTCCCGTCCGAGAATGGTCACCGCAGCATCGTTCATTGTCCCCTGATAGAAAGCTGCTCACGGGAGGGCAAGTCCATGGGGGCTCCTCTCTGAGACGGAGGGTTGAGCAGCACTTGTGTGGAAGGCGGAACCGCGTGGGGCGGTGCTCGGGAGGAAGGCTGCGGAACGCGGGGAGCGCGGTCCCCCGTAGACCGCTGCTGCCCGTGCCAGCCCAGGGCCCAGCGACGGAGGTCAGGAGAGGCCGGCACGGGGCCCTGCACCCCCATCGCTGCTTGGCCCGAGGCGGGCCCAGTGGGTGGGCCGAGCAGCCCTGAGCCTCCTGGGCGAGCTGCCCTTGACCAAAACACGCGCCTCGTGCTCTAACCCACTCAGGTGCTTTTTCATTTTAGACATCAGAATCCTAAATACTATTGGTATATGTAATTGGAACATTAAACTGAGTACACATTTACTAATGTACATGCAGTTTAAAATCATGACCTTGCACCCTGGCTGGTGTGGTTCAGTGGATTGAGCGCTGTCCTGCCAACCAAAGGGTTGCTGGTTCGATTCCCAGTCAGGACATAGGGCACAGGCCTGGGTTGTGGGCCAGGTCCCCAGTAGGGGGCGTGTGATGTTTCTCTCCCTCTGTTTCTCCCTCCTTTCCCCTCTCAAAACGTGGAGCGGTGCCCCATACAGCAAAGATTGCCGACTCGGTCCCCGTCGGGGCACACGGAGTCGATGTTTGTGTCTCCCTCTCTCCCTCGCTCTCCACGCCCCTCTTCCTCTGTAAACTCAATAAGCATGTCCTCAGGTGAGGATAAAAAATACAACTCAGAAATATAGTGAAAAAATGATAACCTCCGATAACTCGGAGTGTCCTGTCCCTGAAGGAAACACTTACGAAGCGGGCAGTAGAAGGCCGCCGTCTCGCGGTGGGGCCTGCGGCCCCTGGTGTTGTGGGTGCTGGCGCGTCGCCCCCGGTGGACGAGGCGCGTCCCACAAATTCAGTGCGAGCCCGCGAACTGGCCTTCTCCCCGAGGCAGAGCCCTCTTCCTGGCCCCCGGCCGGTGAGCTCCGCATAGCCCTTCGGCGTCATGTCTTGGTGGCACTGTCTTGTCTTCCCTCCTTGAAGGGGCCACGGCCACGACAGGGCCCTCGTCCAGCAGTGTGTCGTCGAGCGGTCCCTTCGTCCCTTCCATCTGTCTCCAGCCTGTCCCCCCTGGGTTCCCCGCCTCTCCCACCCGGCACTGTGCTGCCAGGGGCTTCACAGTGGAGTGAAGGTGCTTCTCCTGCTTGGAGCTGACGCGAGGGCCTGGTGGTGACGTGCACGGAGGGACAGATGCTGAGGAACAACCTGGTTCCCTCCGTGCGAAGCCCCAGAAGGGAGCGGCCATTGCAGTGCCTGCCTGTCGGTGCGGGAGGAGAGCCACGGCGGCTCCCCCACGCAGAACTGACGCTGGCCAGGGGCCTTTCAGAGCTCGGGGACACGGGCCCGGGCCTGGGCCGGAACCAGGACAGAGGCGTCACTGCTGGTTTAAAGAACAAAATCAAAGCCTCAGTCACGTCCCTCCCCTCTTCAAGGTGACACCATGTTACAACGCTAAACTCTATTATAGTAGAAAATGAATTTGGTTTCATCAGTTTTCCACTCAGACTCTACCAATTTTGGAAATACAGATGTGTTTTTATAAGAAAGCCCCTGTTTAAAATTAGCTTTGACAGTTTCTGAGTAAGTTACTATAAAGTTGATATTTCTGAAATAGATATTCATAGTAATGTGCACTTATGAAAGTTTCCTGATTGTGTCCATCCTACAGATCACTTTCGACCAGGGGTAAGATACAATTTCTTCCTGTACGGCTGCAGGAATCAAGGATATCAGCTGTTACGTTCTGTGATTGGATACATAGAGGAATTGGGTAAGTTCAGTGGGTGAGTTTCCTTAGAGTCAAGGTGACATGAGAAATTATAAATTCACAGCATTGGATTCTGAGAATACATCAAATTGGGGTATTCAGTTCAAGGAAGGAAAAATAATTTGTATGATAAATTTAAAATTATTTATGACTACTTATTCTTCATTTGTTTAATGTTTATATTTCCCAAATGATATGGTCATTAACAAAATCTTGATTTGGATGTCAAAAGTACTTAATTTGCAGTTATTCCACACTATCAATAAAAACGGGAAGTACAAATGAGTAGCCATTTAAAGATTTTGCATAGGTTGCTTCCCTAGATAGTGAGTCCTGCCTTTGTGTGTCTGGTTAGCAGCTTTGCAGCAGAAGAGTCCATGGCAGTACCTGGGGAGGTTTATGACTGAATGAGAAATAAAGTCGTCCTTCTGAGCTGAGCCGTTTTCTGCGGCGAGAACCCTCCCCACCCGTTGGCGTCTGGCTCTGTGTTAGTAAACTCTCTACCATTGGCTTTTTCCCCTCACAGCTCCGGTCGTTGCGCCGAATTTTACCGTTGAGGATACATCTGCAGACTCGATACTAGTGAAGTGGGAAGATATTCCTGTGGAGGAGCTGAGAGGCTTTTTAAGAGGCTATTTATTTTACTTTGAAAAAGGAGAGAGAGACACCTCTAAGATGCGGGGTTTGGAATCAGGTAAGTCACTGACTGCAGCAACCATAGTGCTTCCCAGGACTCCTCCATTAAAATCCAGCCCCCACCCCCGCTGAGAAAAAGAAAGGAAAAAAGAAAAAGTGTTGCTCGTGGCTTTAATGCTGGTTTCCAGAACTGGCTGAAAAATGAGGAAGTGAAATGTAGTCATTTTATGAATATGAGCATTTTAAGATTTTAAGTACATGATAAATGAAAGGCAGTCTTTCAGGAGTTACGTAAACTGGTTATTCTGAAGCCTTTGATTCTCAGCTTACAGCGCAGGGGCCACCTCTCCCAAGTCTGGCATGACCCCTAGCGCAGCATCTTATGAAGGTTACTTTAAAAGCATAGTCTCCCCATACTTTCTGTAACGGGGGTGGGGGGCTCAGGAGCCCAGAGAACGGCTCCAGAGCCTCCCCCGTCACCTGACAAAACGCCACCTGCACGGTTAGTCATGGCCTTGAGGAGCCGAGAAACTTATTTGACTCAACTGGGGACAAGTGTGTACATTAGACCTCAGGAAAGTACAGCCGGTCCTCGACTGGTAAGTGTCTGCCCGAAGTCTTCAGAGAGTTCTCCGGTTTGCAAATACAGAAATGCGTGTGCAGACTTCTGGCTTTCCCTAAATTGTATTTCTGTCGGAGTCCGGTGTTTCTCGTCTGTGGCCACATAAACACAAGTGTATCAGCTTATCAGTTTGAGAGCTTTCAGTTCCCTTGACGACCTCCCCTCGGAACGAAACCGCTGTGATGACTGAACGCCAGTAGGACAAGCACAGCCGCGTCCCTGCGTGGGGAAGCTGGTGGGCATCAGCAAAGCCCCTTTGCAGATGCGGCCGCTTTACCTGTGTGCCCCCCGCCCCAGATTCATGCGACTGCATTTCCCGAATCTTCCCAGTGGCCTGGGGAAGAGCGAAGCCCTACAGATCCAATTCCACAGCCTTCCAGGGCCTAGTTTAATTTTCCTCAAATGCTCGGGAATGTTACACTTGACCCAGCACCTAGACTTCCAGTGAGACATGGTGGATAGGTCAGTACAATTAGAGTTTAAAAACAAACAAACGCCTAAAGCCCTGTGAGATAAGGTTCTGATATCCTGTCGCACACTAGTTAGACAATGTGGTTCAGGGGGGTTGAAATAAAAGGCCCAGCTCACGCGGCCCCTCGCTGGCAGAGCTGGTACTGGCTGGGCCCGCGGGCCTCGGGGTGACAGCTGTGAGTAACCACGTGTTGAAGTCGCTGTGGCCACCAGTAACAGCGACGCTCCCCACTTTCCACCCAGGCCGTCCCGACGTGAAAGTTAAGAACATCACCGACGTATCCCAGAAGACGCTGAGGATCGCCGACCTGCAGAGCAAGACCAGCTACCACCTGGTCCTGCACGCCTACACGAGCGGGGGCCTGGGTCCGGGCAGGAGCATGTTCGTGGTGACGAAGGAGAACTGTGAGTCGTGTTCCCCGGAGACGCTCCCGTGCTGCAGCACACGGTGTTTCCAGCAGTTTCTGTTTGTGTAGGGGTCCCCTTTTCCTAATTTCACGTGTTGTTGCGTTGTTATAGTGAGTAGAAGGCAGTGTTAAAGGGCCATTTATCCTTGTTATTTGAAGCTATTTCCTAATGAGTCCCTGAGAAATTAATGAGTTAAGGACACGTCTGGAGTCTGGAGATCTAAATTCATGTTGAATGTACATAAGGGCCAACCAGTTTAAATTTTTTTGTCCTAACTGTTCTGTGGCTTTTGTCATATCCAGGGAAGAGTGAAAGAAACATTCTTTTAAAAAAAGTGTTAGGCACAACTCGCAGTTGGAGATGGAAAGTAGAGAAGAGTGGTGCACTTCACTCTCCTGTCGGCAGCGAAGCACTTCACCGTGTTACCTCGTAGCTGGGACTCACGCACACGTTTGCATGAGTGACCAAGACGGTGTGGTTCCCGACTGGCGGTTATGTTGCCCCCGTGGGGGTGTTGGCAGTGTCTGGTGACCTCTTGGTTGTCATAACTGGCGGGTGCTGCTGGGCTCTAGTGGTTGGGGCCCCAGGGATGCTGCCCACCTCCCCGCAGTGTGCACGACGCCCCCGCACCCTCGGACCCTGTCTGACCCGCGGGGTTGGCAGTGCCGAGCCTGAGAAACCTGCTCCGGCAGCTTTCAGTGCTTGTGTAAAATTCGTTGAAACACTTGCAGGTGTTATTTTAACAGCATTTCAGTGTCCCTGGAGCAGTTAGGGTTTTTTCCTTCTCACCTGCCCACTGAACTGTTGGCCAGTATCAGTTTATTCTGCCCTCCATACCGACAGCTGTGGTTCAGACTCGGCGCCGCTCTCGTTTCAGCCGTGGGGTTAATCATCGCCATCCTCATCCCGGTCGCCGTGGCTGTCACGGTCGGCGTGGTATCCAGCATCCTTTGTTACCGGAAGCGGGAATGGTAATGCTGCCTGTGTTTATTCTTGCTGTTTTGTTCGTACGGGGTTGGTTATTTAGTTTATGTTTAACAACTTAAGTACATTATTTTGGTTGAAGCTAGTTAGTAAGAAAATATTTGTTCTAGTCAGAATTAATGTTGGATTTAATGTTAGGCGAGAAGGTGGCCTATTATTTAAAGGTTTAAAAATTATTAAAGGAAAAGTATAAATGTTTTCCTTACTCTATTTGCTAATGATTCAATGAAGTAGCATTTTCACTGAAAAAATACTTGCAGGCGTAAACATGACCATGGCTGTGTGCAGGATTAAGTGTAGTTTAGTGATTGAAGTGTCCCTCATCTTGGCGCCCTATTTAGAAAGTGGTCATTTATTCATTTAGTGAACAGAGGTGAAGGGCCCCCCTCAGGTGAAGAGGGGCATCTGCAGTGGTGACGAAGCGAGCCTGGTCCTTAGGGACTCACAGGGCAGTGCGGGGCTGGGCCTTGAGCCACAGCCGTCCAGTGGGCACGTGCTCGCACAGTGGGCAGGGGCCCGGGCGCCAGGAGCGCAGCAGGAGAGCCCTGGCGCTAGGGGTGGCCCGCTGAGGCCTCCCTGGGACATTTCTGTTGAGCAGGGTCCCAAAGGATAAGGAGGGGGCAAAGAAAGTTCCAGGCAGAGAAGACACCTTTTGTGAGGACCCAGAAATTGGAAAGAGGTTGATCTTCCGAAGGACGTGGGAAGCACTGTGTGTCCGAGTGAGGGTCAGCCGGATGGAGCGCCCGCGGTCCTCTGGCAGGGTCTGCGGGAAGGGTCCGCTGTGGATGGCGCCGGAGCAAGGGCTGTGTTCATGCAGACAGTTCTCCCAGCCTTGAAAATACCGCCGTTTATGACAAAGACAAGGACGTGTCCTTGCCATTCTGGTTTATCAATCAAAACAGTAGTAATTGAGAACTACAGAATTCCCTGTCCTGGTAACCATATTCTCATTACCCAAAATCACAGGTTAAAACTGGTTTTAATATGAAAAACAGATACATAAGTAAAGGAGGGAGTTTGAAGTTAGAGCATTTTAGACTTACATTAACAAAGCATTTTTCCTGCAGGAATTTCGAATAATGTTCTTTTGAGTAGCTGTAAGCATGGCGCGGCACCAAGCAAACCTGGCTTTTGTTTGTGCTTCTTTTTTGCTGAAGTCGAGTAGCCCTTCTTTTTCTGATAGCCCGGTGCCTGTTAACGAGCAGCAGAGAACTGCCTCCTGCAAATCCCCCCCCTGTTATCCGTCAGGCCTCCTGCAGTTTGCAGTGCTGACGTTTTGTTTACAGGAGCAAGGCCTGCGTTCTATTTTTAACCTGACAGGACAATCACCGTTTTAATTCTTGCTTTCCACTTACGTAAGATACATGAGACGTTGTAGTCCTAGAAGAGTGGTGTTCATAGTTTTAAAATTGGGACCTTTCTGCACATTGTATAGAATGTTCTAGTTAATGATCACACTGAAAGTGACCTTGCATTTTCGTCTATCACTCATTTCAGTGTTCTCATGAAATGTCAAAGTAAGCCTCGTCATTTATTAACTGTTTGTTGCCTAACTGTTAATCTTATAATTATTAAATGTACTTAATTATTCTTTATTTAAAGGATAAAAGAAACCTTCTACCCTGATATTCCAAACCCAGAAAATTGTAAAGCATTACAGTTTCAGAAGGGCGTCTGTGAGGTAACCCTTTATTTTGTGTACATTTATCTCTGAAGTACTGGCTTTCCTCTTTCTTTCTTATTTTTTTATCTTTTTTTGTCTCCTGTGAAAAGTTTTTAACATGCGAATGTCACCCATATTGAAAAAATAAAAGTGGTCTAACATCTGATTTTCTAAAATTACTCATTTTAATGATTTCTATCATGCTCTTTCCCCCACTACTGTTCACTGCAAGAGTGATACTGATGTGTAGGGACAGGAGTAGATTTGCTGCAGTATCGCCCTACAGAACAGCGAGACAGATTTTCACAAGCAGGCGGCAAAGAGTAGATAAAACGATGCCCCTGGTGTAGGAGGGGCGTTGCGGCGGCTTTGGTGCTCTCTGTAATCTGTCTTCAAACTGATTTCTAGGGAAACAGTGCTCTTAAGACATTGGAAATGAACCCTTGTACCCCAAATAACGTCGAGGTTCTGGAAACTCGGGTGACGGCTCCTAAAATAGAAGACACAGAGATAATCTCTCCCGTCGCTGAGCGTCCAGGCGAGAGCCCCGAGGCAGAGCCCGAGAACCCGGTGGTGGTGTCCTACTGCCCGCCGGTCATCGAGGAAGAGGTGCCCAACCCTGGAGCGGATGAAGCCGGGGGCACGTCCCAGGTCATCTACATCGATGTCCAGTCCATGTACCAGCCCCAAGCAAAGCCAGAGGAAGAGCCAGAGACTGAGGCTGCGGCGGGGGCAGGCTACAAGCCCCAGATGCACCTGCCCGTCACTTCTGCTGTGGAGCACGCAGCCGCAGAGGACGACGCAGACAACACCGCAGGCTATAGGCCGCAGGCCAGTGTGCGTGCGTGGAGCTTAGTGTCCCCGGACTCGCCCAGGTCCACGGGCAGCAACAGCGAGGTCGGGTCCTTCGGCAGCCCCTGCTCTGTCAACTCGCGGCAGTTCCTGATTCCTCCTAAGGACGGAGACTCCCCGAAATCCGACGGCGGCGGGTGGTCCTTTACAAACTTCTTTCAGAACAAACCGAACGATTAACAGCGTCCCTTCTGTCTGCCGTCTCAGTGAGCTGTCATGGCCGGTGCTGCTGCAAGAGCACCGGGCATCTTGGGGGGCGGGGGGGCGGGATCCTGTGACACGTTGTCCGTGAGGTGGACTTCACTGTGTGCAGGTTACACTAGGGGTTCCTGTGCTCTTATCGCAGTCTGAAAGCCAAAGTACGGTGGCGCGGCAGTCGGTGCACCCAACTCAGGACTCGGAGCTTTTTGTCGTTCCAGCCAAAGAATCCCCACGTTCTCCACCTTCGAGAAGCACTTCGAGCCTGATCCTGTCTGGCCCGCACGGGCAAAGCGAACGCGCGGCCACCGCGTCCGGTTCTGTTGTCGTGGTTTTCTCACGTGTGCACTTTGCAAGGGGGTCGATCAGCAGGCGAGGGCGGAAATGCCCACGTGGCGGACGGACCTGCCTGATGCCACTTTCTGGTTGAAAACCAAGCACAGATTTGAAGCCTCTTAATGTCATTCTCCTCTCTCCACATCATTGACTAAAGTTAATGTAATTTTTGGTGTAGGGACAGCTCTTTACTGTCTGTTTGATGAAGTGTGCTGACTTCTGTGCCTACTGTGCAATGGTTGCAAACAGTTTTCTCAGGGGTACAAACTCGGAAAACGAGCGTCCTGCCTGCCCTCGGTAGGTTTCCCGGACCTCATTGTTACTCTTGGAACTCCCACGCTCCGTTCCCGTATCGCAGGCGGTCGCCCTGATATTTCAATCTTAAATGCCTAAGACTATATATATATATATAGGGTGTTGCTTTTTTTTCCCTTATTCTGGGTCATTTTATTGTTGTTGTTCTGTAGTGTCAGTTACATAAATATGTGAGCAAAACCAACGTAACTCCTAAGTCGTCAATTCTAGTGACTCACTGTCCGAGACAACTGAGCAATATCTGGCAGCACCAGCTGCCTGTGTAGTTCTGACCGGTTCCCTTTCTGCCGAGAAAACCGTGCCCTGAGCCCGGGGTCCCGTAGGGGCCGTGACGCCTCCCAGCAGGTGTCGCTCCTCGATTGGGCCTGGTGCCACTCCTCTCTCTCACATGATCATCAGTCCAGACTACTCTGTCCAGACCTCAGCTGTTTTTTTAAGAAAATATAAACTAGAAAGAAAAATGCTTCTTACAGGTTACTCAAGGGCTACTTTATATGAAATGTCAGCCCATTCGAATGGACAGGCACGCCTCCATCCCGGTTGCTTGGTGGGCCATCCGGAGTCGGGTGTCTTCCCAGCACCCTCTGCCCACCCTTGGTGTTTGCCAGTGGTGTCTGGATGGAACGGGGTCCTTGGAAAAGCAGGTGGAAAACTACAAAGTGTACCTTACAGTGAGCCTGCCCTCAGGTTGCCTATGCATTTTGTCTGTGGATGCTTGAGTACTTAAAATTTTGAAATAGCTGAGTAAGTCAAAATATGCCTCTTTTTTCTTTCAAAATTCCCTGAAGTTCTGTAATGTATTTGTACATAATGGATCAGTTTTCCTCCCACTTGATAATGTGTCTATCTTTATAAAAACCATGTTGTGAAAAAAGGCCGCAGGGTGACAAAGGACAGCATCTGTGTAGGTACTCTGTTATGAATCCTGATTTCTAACTGCTAGGAGTCAGCTGAATTCCTGAGCTTCATGAAATATGGACATGTAAAATGAAATAGAATTAATTATATACCCACGTAATGTATTAAAACCATATAACAGCTCATAGAGATTTTCAACAATGAGACAGGTATCAAACCAGAGCCGCCCCTAACGGAGTTGCCCCCTCAGCTGGCTTCTCCCCTTGGGCCCCTTCCTGTGGCTTTTTTCCTAGAGACACTGAGACCTGGGGCTGCCTCTGTCCCTGCTGAAGCTTGTCATCACCATACCTCTTGTCCCCAACTCATGCCTCGTGCGCCATTGGAACATGTAGGCCCTTAGCCTCATCTCTCAGAGACAGGATAAGTGCTGGCGGAGGTGAGAGTTTATTGGTCTGAACGCCACTAACCCGCGATAATGGGGAAAGACTGCAAGTGGCTGAGTGATCTCCGCCATCATCGGTATTGATGCATTCAGCCGAGACCATCTGAATCCAGTGCCCTTCTACATAATGATTCATCTGTTTGGCTAACGGTGACCTCAGTCTGGCTCTTGAACCCTTCCTCCCTGTCCAAGAATTATGTCCACTGTGTATGTTATGCAGTGTTACACATAGAACACATTTTCACACGTCTCACAGCCAGCGCCAAGTCAGGCTTCCCTTGTGAGGAGGGTAGGTCCCGGCGGTCCCGACACTGTATCTCCTGTGAGTGGCGCTCTTAAACAGACACTACCTAACATATAAGTATCTGAGAAGACTTGGGTAGGCTTTCGACACTAAATAGACTCTTTACGTTACATGTTGCATGGCGTGGGCCCGTGTACAACAAAAGCCTTTGGTGCGTTGAGCCTAGTTTGAGGCTGCGGCCCCGAGGCCTGGACAGTGGAGCTGGGAGTGCTGTGTTCCTGCGGCTCCGACCCATTCGTGGGCAAGTTCCAGGGCAGAAGCGCCAGCCTCGCCGTCACGGCTCATGGATCTGAGGAGGGCGGCATTGAGGACAGCCCGTCCTGAACACCAGGCCAAAGTCACATTCTTAGCATTTCCATGCAACTTGTGTTCTTGTGGGTAATTAGTCCCACGACTTCTTAATTGTCTTCATACCACCCATACGTAAAGAGCATTATTGTCCTTTCTGCATTTGAATAGAGGTAGTGTACTAAAGGAGACGGAGGCATATTTTCTTCCAGAACAAATGTGAAATCAATTTTATGCTGTTTTGAAATTAAAGTACTGCCTAACATGTCAATATGCAGAAAATGTTATCTCAAAATCTTCTCGCGCTCCAGCACGTAATCTGAAAAGACCTTTTGCTTGTTTCTTTACAGTGATTTTTGCTGTTTTCTGTTAAAATTTGTGTATCTTTTATGAAATCTTTTTTATTTCGGAAGTGTAAAATCGGGCATCTCAAGAGTAACATGGGGTCATGGGCTGATGACCAAGCTTAGGCACATCGTGCAAGTTCCACGCGTAGTTTTTCGTTGGCCGCGGCCCATCCCAGACTGGGCACGTGCAGCAGAGTTTTCCCAAGGGTCGTACCTGTCAGGCCATAACTCGTGCGCACCTGAGACTGTGACCTGGGAGAGTCAGTGCCCTGGAAGTGGCGCCGCAGGTCGAGCAAACACTGAGGAAGACTCACATGAAGCATCACCAGGTTTCCTGCTTCTCCCCAGTTTGACGTGTTCGTGGTCCCTCTGTATCTGGTGGGTGTGCACTTGGGGCGTGTCTGTGCCCAGCAGCCTGTGCCGTAGCAACCCAGCAGCACGCTGGTGCTGGTGCGCAGGCTTCCCTCTGAGGCCCATGTTTCAGGATGGTCTTTCCTGCTGAGACGAGGTTCTGCACTGCCATGCCCATCATTTATATTCAAAAGAACTTTCCCACACAAGGAAAGGACCTGTGGCCAGACTGAACTGGACGTGCACCTTTTAGGCACGACCTGAGAATATCGTGGGAAATCACTCGGTTTGATTTGGTCTCTTTCTGTCTTGGTGGACTGAGTACCAGGGCAGTTTCCCAGGCCGGTCTGGAGGATTAAGGGCAGCATTCAGTTCACGTGCCAGGCTTTCTTGTGGATGGCGACGTTTTAGGGGATGTGCTTTGATCTAGAATACATCCAAGTCTGCGTGATTACTGCATTGAGTTATGACAGGGTTCTGTTATTTTTAACCACAAGTCACGCTCGTTTGTCCCTCCATTAAGAATGTTAATGTTCTGGATCACAGGTTCCTGGTTATACACCATTTACCTGTGCAAGACACATTCTAACTGCGCAACACTTTCATCAAAGTTAAAAGTAGTATTTTAAGAAGGAAATCCTCCGAATGTTTTTATGTGTAAGTGCCTAGCTGACGAACCACAGAGACAAAAAAATCAGGACCTCTAAATTAAATTTTAATTTTTAACCTATTGAATGTTAACCAATACAAACCAGTAGGGATTTACCTTACTTTTTGGTAGCAGCAACTCACCCTAGAAGCTAAGAGATGTGAATGGGTAAAAAATTAATATCCAATTAAAAAGGAAGTTGATTTCATGGTATTTACATATCTCTGCTGAGATTGCCTTTGCAGTAGCCATTCAGAACCTTTAAAAATAAAGTGGTAACAGCTTGGACCTCACACGGAACATAAGCCAGAAACAGTTTGTGCACCTGATTGGACGGCTCACTGAAGAGCATTGCGTTCCCTTGTACCCACTGAACATGTGCTTTTCTTTGGAGTTATTCCATTTCAAATGAGTAGCTTTCAATTTCTGAACTCACTGTTTTCTCTAAGCATTCCAGCAGTGTATCATAAAACATCCAAAGATTTACCAGCGGTAACACCATTATTATTAAAACATGGGCAAGTTAGCTGTTGGGTTTGGTGTTGGTGTTTTGCATTTGATCAAAGAAAACAATACTGAACAATAATTTTCATGTATTTTTTCAAATATCGTACCCCCAGTTTGATTCCAAATACTTCTCCCCATTATTTATGATATATTCTTCCATTTAATTCTTGTCTTCCAACATCATGTTTTGGAAAAGTATGGACACGGCCTTTAAAAAAAACAAACAAACATTTCAGTTCAGAATTGCTTGACAAGCTCGGCCTGGAAAGGCATCCTAAAGTTGAGGTGGCGCCACCTGAAAAAAGTATGTCTGTAGGTCAAATCATTTTGAAATACTCAACGTTTTTTAGTAGGAATGTATTACTTTTTAGCTGACCGTAAGTTCTTACAATGCTAGGAAATCACATTTTTACTTTCAAAATCGCATTATAGTGAATTCCTGTTTACAAAATACACATACTGTGAACAGATACAAGTTTTTGTTTTTTTATGAGGTTGTTTGTAGAATGATTTTTTTTTTCAAAGGGGATGTTATATGTTAAATATTTTCAATTTTTTAAAATAAATACTAGCAACTGTTTACTACTTTTTGTTTGGTCAGGCGTGTGCAGATGTAGCTGAAAGACAGGGAGAAATTGCAGAGCTAAGACTGTTCTGTTCTCATTTCTGCAGTGGTACCACTGCTGACCTCTTTTCTGACCCGAGTGATCAGTCGCAATGTTCCGTATCTAAAAATCATGCTTAATCATGTAAGAAAACATTTAAACACATATATAGGAAGCAAACCATTGGATGTAGGGTATTTGTGTGATTCGGTCTGATTCGCAGAAATCTGAGTTTAATATATGGAATAAAACAACTCAATTTACACAGGTGACAAGTATTTTCTGCCTTGTGAAAATTTGGAGAGTACGTTGCACTAGAGTGGAAAATTTGATCATTTCATATCATTGTGTAATTTCAGAACTTAGTTTCAATATCTTTTGGAAAACATGTTTATAGCAAGAACATAGAGTATAAATAACCTATCACTAAGAGACCTTAAATGTAAAATTAGTATGCTTGGCTGTTAACTCCTAAAGATGTTCCTTATGTCTGTTTTTAAAACATGCATGTATTTAACAGTTTTATCATAGTATTGTCATGGAAGAAATAAATATATTTTCTTACAACTTACACTGATGAATATGGGCATTGTTGTTTGTTTTTTTCCTTCCAGTGTGAGCATCAGGAAAAGTGGCTTCTGCTGTGTTGTTAGTACTTTTGGTTCCATCCCACGAGAGCTGCGGTGGTTGGATACTAAATTTTTAATGCTTTTATTGCTATGCCATTAGTATAACCTTTCATATGTTCCATTAAATCTCTATTCTAGTTACCTGGGAAGTTAGCACAGACATAACCAAAGAGTGGGAATGTAACTTTATGAAATACTGGTCCTTCAGCCATTGCTTTTCATTTGTTTCGTATGAAGATAACCTCAACATTTCTGGAGATTCAAGGAACGTATCAAAATTTCATTGCGAGTTGTTACTACAGTCATTCAGCAAAACCTCAAATTTTTAAAGTATAAATTGACCTTAAACTAGAAATTGTTTAAGATAAAAGGAGGGATTAAGTGTTCATATGTGGCTTACCTAGAGTAACAGCTGAATTCTGAGTGGACCTGGATTTAACCCGAAGAACCCGTAGGCAGATTTTAAACTAACTGTGACACATGCTCGTATGTGAGCACCAGCGGAGCTCATGCACGTGGTCTGCCTTTCAGGGAGGTCTCCGTGCAGAACTCGTCTCCCAGATGGCAAATTCCTGAGCCGAAATAGCACCAGCAATTCCAGAAGGAATGAAGTCACGATTCGTCCCAGGCAAATAAGAATTAGGGATGTATGAATAAGCTTCTCAATGTATGGTATTCTACATACAGGACACTGAAAGGTTAGCTTACAAACTCAAGTTCTTTACAAAAGAGTTGTGTAAGGATTCACTTTGAATGGCTTAACAATTCAATCCATTACCCCGTCCCCTGGAGAGACAGTAGCATTGAATTAAAAGTACAGAGAAGTTGAAGTAACAAGAGATGTCTTAAGCTGATTTGGGATTAAATCGGAGCTAATTTTATCCCAGAGTGATTAGTCTCAGATTAAAGAGACAAGAAAAGCTTTTGAGGATGACTGATCAGCAAAACCGCCGAGCAGGGATCAGGTTACCGTGAGTGCAGGGCAGTTACCTGTCTCCCAGCACTCAGCAGGTGCGGAAGAATGTCGAGTCTCAGCTCAGACCTGGTCTCTCCCCTCACGCCCCCAGCCAGCGTTCCCACTGCTGCAGAAGTGTCTCTGGCCCAGGCCGAGGCTCCGAACGAAAGCAAGGCAGTCTGTTCACGTCCCCATCACTGCCACCTGCGCAGCCTTGCTCTCATGTTCTTGCTCCTCAGGGCTGCTGGGTGAGCCAGGGGGCCTTGAAGGAGCAGAGTAGTAACAACTGGGCCCTCCTGGTCCGGAACTGCCCTACTACAAGTGCAGACAACCGCCCCGTTCAGAAACGGACCTGAAGTCTGATTTTCTCAACGACCACGGCGGGTTTGGGGGGGTGGGGGGCTCCTTTCCGTTCCCACAGTGGCTAACACAGGTTCCAGGGCCAGGGCCGCCGCTGCCCCACCTGAGCTGCTCAGACCTGGCTCAGGGCCAAGGTCACCACTTACTCCCAGGGTGGCCTGAGAGAAGGTACCGAACCTCTCATTCTCCTCAGCTCCAAGCAGTGAGGTCTTGAAACCTCCTTTCCCTGAGCGGAGGGGACTGCAGGTAGAGTAGATGTCGCCCCCTAGGCAAACCTCAGCAACACCTGACTTCCCGTCGGCACCTTACAGGTGCACGTGCTTTCAAACCGGGTCAGACGGCCTATTTCTGTCTTCGTGGATTACCTACCAGGGCTGTTAGCAGCGCCTGTCTGGAGGATTAAGGGCACCATTCAATCCACGTGTCAGGCTTCACTGTGGATGGTGAGTTTAGGGGGTGTGGTTGATTGGCTCTAGAATGTATCCAAATCCATCTGCGTCTCCGTTACCCAGAAGGCCTACGAGACGCACCTCGGGACTGGGTCCTGCGTGGCGGAACGCAGCGCTCACTGTTCTGCACGCCCTCCGCCCTCAGCCTCGGTGTAAGCGCTGCTGGCCCACAGAAGCCGGCCCCAGGGCACCCAGGGAACCCAGGCATCGGCCTCCGCACTGCCCGCCCCTCCCCGCAGCCCTGAGCACCCGTCTGACACTGAGCACTGAGCTCGTGAGGGGAATGGAACAAGGTCTCAGCCACCCCTGCGTCCACAGAGTAGCCACAGAGCACAGCGTAGTAACAGCTGCGTCACAAGTGCTTGATAAACCTTTAAATAATTATGCCTGCGGGGGGCAGAGCGGAAGTGGCTTCACGTGTTTCCCGGGATATTAGAGATGTGTTACTTCGCAGAGGCCATCCTCCTGTGGAAGAATGGTCTCCAGCTGTGCAACGCCTGGGGCCTGTTGAAAAGCTGGCAGGCTCGCTGTGGTGGGGGCACCCACGAGGGGGCCAGACGCCACCCTTTGTCCTCCCTCAGGGAAACTGCTGTCACCCTCTGTCTCCTTGACAAATGGGCTGCCTCTGAAGCCACAACAGGTTAGACAACAGGTTAGAGCCCTTCTGCTGCTCCCGGCCACCCTCCCCTCCTCCCTCCCCCCACTTCAGAATTTTTCACTCTTCTGGGTAAGGTTCTCTGTATCTTGCCAGCTGACCTTCTGCATGACAAGGGACCCACTCCTGTCCCCACCGCTCTTCCCTCAGTTGCTGCCCCTTCTCTGGAAGGCAGACAACCCAGGCTCGACTCTGGGCCTCTCCCTCCCGTAGGCGAGCCCTGGGCCCCACACTGCTCCCAGGAGTAACGCGTGTCTCTCCTCTGCGTCCAGACGTCCTTCTCTCTGGCCAGACATCCCCAAGGGCTGCTTTCACGAGAACCACCCATTAGAGTTGGGGGACAACCAGTCCCCCAAGAGAAGGAAGGTGACATTCTGAGTGGACAAAACAATAGATACTCACTACAAGCTCACTGAAGAAAAACTAGAAAACAGACACAAGGAAAAAGAAACACAAATCGCACAATCTTTTTACTCAGGATTAGCTAATTTTTTAAAGATTTTATTTATTTTTAAAGCGAGGGAGAAAGGGAGAGAAACATCAATGTGTGGTTACCTCTCACACGCCCCCTACTGGGGACCTGACCTGTAACCTAGGTATGTGTCCTGACTGGGAATTGAACTGGCCACTTGGGTTCATAGGCCAGTGCTCAGTCCACCGAGCCACAGCAGCCAGGGCTGCATTAGCTATTTTTAACGAGTTTTATTTTATCCTGTAGGGCATGTTCCTATGCGAATGTGTGAATCTTCATGCACACATCTTATTAATGTATTAATGTGTGTAACTGAGACCAAGCAGCAGGTCTTCAAACCGTGCACCACGCTGCCCCACAGCTCCAGTCTGAGAGCCCCTTATTTTGCCTCTGCTTGTCTCCGGCTGGAGACAAGGCCTTCCGCAGCTAATGCCCTGGCGTGGTGCGTGATACCTGTTACTTTTGTTTCTAAATGAGTTTATTATAGGAACAAATGCCTTGAGCTCCCCTGGCCTTCCTTCTCAGAGACTTTGCAATCCACGCCATCTTTTAGCCAAGCTGGAGCTGCAGCCCCTTAGTGCGAGGTTGTCCAGGGAGGCTGCGGCCTCGTGGCTGGGCCCTGGTGGGGCCGTGGGACTTTAGGGGAGGCCGTACCACATGTCTGGAGATTTCTGTGCCTTTGCAAGTCAGAGAGACAAAGGCCAGTAGGAAAGCAGAAACCTCATCCCCAAAGCTGAGACATAGTGTTCCGTTCACATCTTTCCAGGAAAAGACAAGTGCTCCAGGAGCCGTGCACTTTCTAGGACAAAGCAGCCTCAGCAAGGGCGGGCAGGAAGGGGAGGCAAAGGGGGGGGCTCTCTCCACAGCCTGCCCTGCTCCTCCAGCCCTTGGCCTCACTCGGGCTAGGCAAGGCCCAGGGGAGCGCCTGCTGCTTGAAAATAGCTTGCAACAGCTCCCCTGAGCCCTGGAGGTTATTTGCGGAGAAGAAGGCAAAGGAGAGAAGGGCAAAGACTTCAAACCCTGAGCCCAACTTTGATGGAGTAGCTCTGGGCTGCTTGCAGAGGCCCCCATCGTGCCGTGAGAGCATTTCGGAAGGAAGAGCTGGAGCTGTGACTAGGAACTGGCCTGTGCCCAACGCCCACCCCCACAAGACCATACTGCCACGGGTAGGCCACCCGAGGGAGCTCCGGTGCACTGCTGAGCGACCCCACGTCCTTCGGCAGCTGCATCTGAAGGTCAGGGCAAGGGGAGGAAAGCTCCGCACAAAGCGTCAGGGTTGTGTCTTCACGGTGGGACCCAGTCCTCCTGGCCAGACTCTGTCTTCCCGAGTCAGGCCGTGCCCATCCGCTCTGGCCCTCTTCAAGGGAGGGCTGTTACTCAGAACATTCTTTGAAGGTGAGGTCAAAGTGCGGGTCCTCATAGGGCCGTCCCAGAAGCAGGCCCTGCACTGAGCTGGTCGGTCACTTGGCTGCCTGAACACTGCCACCTGTAAGCTGCCGCCCCCCAGGGGCTTACCTCGAAGCCTCAGGAAGGCTGGCCTTTCCCTGCTGTGGGCAGGGTGTGCCCTGGAAATCCGGGGTGGACTTGTCCTAGAATAACCCTGCTGTCTTGGGTAACGCCTCTGTGGGAGGGGGCAGAAGTGGCCCCAAGCCCGGACTTGGGCTTCTGGTTCTGACCCTGCGCTGGCAGCCCTCTCCTCTGCGGACTCTCTGATGGGGCGGGGTTGTCCTGGGGGGGGGGCACTGGGAGCCCAGGGCACACCCCGCCCCACCGAGGGAGCACCTGCGCCCCTCCCCTCCCCAGGGGCTCCTGGACTGGGCCCCCTGCAGGCGCAGGAAGGGAGCAGAAGCAGCCCCTGCTTCGCTGGAGCCCCCCTGCCCCCCACCTCCTGTCCTGAGGTCTCCACCACCCTTCCACTGGGGCTGAGATTCTCCGCCTCCTTGGCCCCCTGTGCTCCACGGGCTGCCTGCCTGCCCCCCTCAGGGCCCCCCTCCCAGGGAACAGCAAGCCCTCTGGGGCCAAGGGTTGGCTGTCAGAGCCTGAGAGGGGCTGCCAAGCCCCCCCCCCCCACTCCCCATTCTTCTTCCTTTGGGAACTCTCAGTGCTAAAAACAAGCTTTCTGAGAACCATATTTTTCTAGGTTAAAGGTGAAAAATGCAGTGTTTCCTCCAAGTGGAAAGCCCTGGCCTGCCAGCCCCGGGCACGTTTCCGAGCTCCTTCCTCCCACTCTGGGCGGAGGCAGGGCGGCGGGAAGGCGGGAGGGAAGTGGGAAGGAAAGCAGAAGGGAAAGCAGAGGCCTGTTTGTGTTGGAGCTGCCCGCAGGCTGGAGCAGGGCCGGCTCCGGAAGTGAAAGGCACACAGGGGCGGAGAGCCAGGCTGCATTCAGCGCGGGTGGGGTGCCTGATAGCTCCTGGCGTGGGGCGTGGGGACTAGAGTGACCCTGCAGACCCGCCTGCCAGCAACCCCAGGACCGGGCTTAGAGGAAGCACATGTTGTGAACGTCAGTTTTCATAGGAAAAGCCAGAACAGCCCCTTCCCTCCCCCGACCCTCCAGCCACCTTGCGTGGAACACATGGGAAGTTCTGGGGGTTTTCCCAGACCCTGATGCGGGACCAGAGCTTTTCACAGACCCCTGACTCATGCTGCCACCCCTCTGCCAGTCCCCCTCCCAGGATAAACGACAGGGCCAAGTGGCAGACAACAGGTGGAGGGACGGGGAGCGTAGGGAGGCAGCAGAGGAGGTGGTGGAGGGCCCAATGCTGCCCTACTGGACCCGGCCAGGCTGAGCCAGTCACCGAGGACTTCACAGACCTGTCCCCAAGCCCAGCAGTCCCGCGGAAGGACTATGGCACCACTTCTCCCAAAATTGGGTTCATGGCACTCATGGCCCTGGTGTTTCATCCTCCCGGCATCCAGGCCCTTGGCCAGGTGGTGACGGATGGAGTCTGTATTCTCATTTCTCACACCCACGAACTTGGACTATGAAGATGCGGCAGAAGTGACAGGTGGAAGCTCCAAACCTCGGCCGCACAGGCCTCCCGCCTTCACTCTGGTGCTCTCCGCCTCTGCCTTCATCACCCCAAGGGCGTGCAGGCTCCCACAGGTCCCCCGAGGAGCACGAGCCACGTAGAACTGACTCAAGTCACCTCGCCGCCTCAGGCCACGCCATCCTAGACCAGCCGACTGCCATGCAGGGGAGGAGTCCAGCGGAGATCATCAGAGCTGCCCAGCTGACCACTCAAGGCACGTAAGTGAAACACGTATTCTGGTGTGCCACCGGGGTTGTATGGCTGTTTGTCACACGCGTTATTGTAGAAAGTGGACACACTCAGGGAACACTGGGCGCCCTCAGGCCCAGCTCCGATCATCTCAATTCTCCTGCCTTCGGAACCCAGGTCTAATCCCTCAGCTTCAGGACAAAGCTTTTATCCTCACAACCACCTCTGCTGTACAAAGCCACCCCACATCTCCCGGATTTTGTCCACTGCCAAGGTCAAAGAGCCTTCCTCCTAGCTTGGGGGCTAGTTCCTGACCCTGTTCTCCTAACCAGAGCCACCGATGTGATCAGCTCCTCCTGGGGCCCCACACCCTGCAGCCTTCGTCTCCCCAGCAGGATCTGCGCTGCCCTGAATCTGTCACCATGTGGGCCACCCCTCCCCCTCCAGCCCTTCTGCATCCCACCCAAGTCGGTGGTTCAGAGCCTCCTCCACCTCACACACTGCCGGGCCCCCGGCCCTGGGTCGCTGCATCCTTCTCTGGACGACACTTGCACAGAACAATGGCTCATCTATAACACAGCTCTTCTGGCTTCGGCTCAGCTGGACCTTGTGCTAAAATCACAATGGTTTTTTGGCTGAAGGCAATTGATTCGAAATGTGCTGTGAAAGCTGCTGTTGTACCTTGGGAAGCAATGGCCGGAGCAGCCTCCACGGAAAAGGCATCGAGGTGGGGGAGTTTGGGAGGCGGTTACACCCGCTGGCCGCCATGTGGCTGTTCTCCAACTGCACGTGCGAGGAGACATGTATACATAGGGGAGGATGAATTGTTACTGTTGTTACTGTTTTTGCTGCCATCATTCCTCCGGGAGGAGGGGTCCTGCTCATCAAAGGGTCCCCAAGACAGGAGCCAGAAGTTGGAAGCACACAGTGAACGCCTCTCGTTTATTTTTTCGTTTTACAGAGTTCTCACTGTGCCCAAAGGTGCGCCCCGCACAGGGCCCAACGCCTTCACTGCGTGAATGCGGCACAAACCGGAGTCGAGTCGTGACCGGGACCAGATACAGGCTCCTCGGTGTGCTGGGTCATGTTTCCCTGCTCTTTGGGGTCAGTGTTCATCTCACCTTTCCCCCGGTGAGCCCTGCCATGGGGACCTGCCAGCGAGGCAGCTGTCACCAGCATCACGTGCGTGAACAGCGAAGGGACAGCTGATGGCCCTGCTGTTCACCCCCAGCACAGCCTGGGACACAGGAATGGTCTCAGCTTCCATTTCTGGGCATGGCCTCTGCAGGGGCCACCGCACCGTCAGCAGTGAGGGAAGGATTGAATGAATGAGCACTGGCCTCCTCATCTCCTTTATCCGAGCTCCCTGTAGACAGTCCTCCCCTCTGAAAACAGAAATGACAGCGCCCCTTTCTCCCACCCCGCCCCCAGTAACACGTGTACCTTTTGATCCGCTTATCCGGGAAGCTTCCAGTTCCTTTCCTCCAGCCGTCAACATTTACCGGAGGAGAACGGTCAGCTCCCCAAGACAACGCCCACCCCACTCCACTGATACCACTAAGGGCCCATTTTCAGGAGCTGTGCAAAGAATTCAGGGCTGGCCACCCAAACTTGCAAAATTATACTGTGTGGACAATCTGCAGCTATAAAAATATACACATACAAAAGGACAGCTACAAAATCAGGGTGCCCACTTTCTTAGATTAACATTATAAAAAGCAGGGATTTCTCACTAAAGGTAAACTTCAGGGCAGCATCACGGTTATGAGTCTCCATGTGGTCTCCCCTCCCTCTTATTTTCATGGAAGAGTCAGAGCACATTGAAACAGCCAGTGAGGAGTGGAAGGGGTTAATCCTAATAATTCATGGGCCAAGGTGAGAAGCTCCAGGTTCAAGGTCACACAGTCATTCTGCTGTCAGTCAGTACCACGAGTCAGGGACGGGGAGAAGTATGTTAATACCGCCCATCAGGTCTCTCTTCTAACGCATCATGACTCACAGGGCGGTCACTGAGCCACAGCGGACAGGCCCGAGTGGGCCTGGTGTGTGATCTCTGGCAGCCACGGCACGTTCAGTGGACAAAGTCCGCTGCTTCCTACACGGAAGATTCCGGCAGGTTTGGCCCACGGAGTGTCAGCAGGAAAGGCCACACAGGGACTCCTGTCTGGGTTCTAGTTTCTCAGCCGGGTGCACTTTCCCCTCGATGGGAACGAGCACAGCCAGCCCCCCCTGCCTCGGCGTACAGTGTCGGCAGGGGCTGAGGGCCCCCCGGGGGCTCTCAGGGTAGAAGGCTCCGTCCCTTGGGCAAGGCCGGCCGGCGTTACTTGGCTCCGCAGGTGTTGATGTTCCTACCATCCGCGGCATCCGCCACCAGGGCAACGTGGTAATCGGTGGACAGGGTGAGATGGGAGATGCAGCCCACGAGGCCTCGCACGTACTGCCTGTTAGTGTGCAGAGCGATGTCCCTCATGCCACCTGCCAGGGAGCCAGAGGGAGACAGGGTGAGCGCCCTCCCATCCCCTGACAGCGGAGGGCCCCTGGAACTGATCCGTACGTAGCGTCTGAGGTATAACCATCCTTGAAGGAACAAGTTGACTTCATTCAATGTGATACACAACCAGAGGCTAGAAATAGCTACTTCATTTGTGACTTCTGACCCAGTTGGCCACTTCCAACCACAGAGTATCTGGTAAATTTTGCAACGTTGTATAATGTCAATAAAATGTAGTGTGTAGTTAGAGGTAATGTCCCCTTAAACTGAAAGAAAAACGCTGATGTTGAAGGCTTTCGATTAACTTCCCATTTAGAAAAGACATGGACGGACACATCTTCTCATGCTCACGGGTCTGCACTAGCGGGTTCCGAGCTGTTCACAGAAATACCACTCACGCTAATTCTGAAAGGGGCCAGAAAGCCAGCCCCTCCTGCCCAGAGGGAGCTATATTTAGCAGGTTCCTGTTCTATAAACAAGAAAAGCACCGTTTTCCTGGTGGGTGGGTCCAAAGCACAGAAGCATCTAAGTGCTTCCTGCCCCTCAGCCATGAGTCAGAAGTTCAGAACCTGGGAGAATGAACTATCTGGAGACCTTCCGACTTCCAAGTCTGCGTCTGACCCAGGGGAGCCCGGCCCGGAGGAGCCCCCGCATGGCAAACGGAGCGACCCGAGAAAGCATGGGCGTCACCGAGGTCTGGCCCGAGGTCACTCACCCACGTACAGCGGCCCGTTGATGTTCAGCTGTCTCATGGTGCCGGGCGACTTGCCCGTCCTGGCCCCATAGTCGTCCACCGTGATCTTTCCCGACGGGCCGTCCCTGTAAAAGCCACCACCAGTTTTGGAGCTTCCTCCCACCGTCCGACTCATTTCCACAGAAATGTATTAAAGTACTGATGATGCGCTAGGCACTATGCTAAATGGCAGAGCTGCAAAAATGGAACAAACGCACACACCCATTCCCAGCCCCCCGGAGCATTAGGTCTATTGAGAAACACGAAACAATGAAAAGTACAAATGACAACTCGGTGTCCCCGCTCTGTGGAGGAAGAAGGCCGGGACACTGTGGGATCACTCAGGAGGCAGACAGAGGTCACGGAAAGCTTTTCCAAGGACAGTCTGTCTGAGACCAGTTTTGCAGGCTGGGCGGGTTGAGTGAAGGGGGAAGCGAATGCCAACAGGAAGCGGCTGTGGAAAGAGAAGACGAGGGGGTTGGTGCAGACCCAGCCCAGAGAATTCTGCAGGTGGGAGAAGAGTGGAGGAAGAGGAAGCCAGGGGCTGGCGGTGAGGGGCGTGGGGGGCTCAGTCAGCTCGGGTCCTGAAGGTGAGAGGGGGCCGGAGAAGACCGAGAACAGGGCAGCCGTCCTGGAGACGCATGGTGACTGTGGATGGCATTCTGAGTACAGTGGGGATGGAGCAGCTTTTGTAGGGGGAGGGTTACTCTAGGGAAGGATGAAGGATGGTTTAGCAACTTCTGAAGGTCCCAGAGAGTCACGCGAAAGGGAATCTGAGGGCAGGGCCATGGAGGTGCGCACCTGTGGCAAGGGCTTTGCAGGTTTTCCAAACCACTCAGCCCGTGGACCTTCTCCACAAAAGTACGTCTGCTTCTACAGCCCCTGGGGGGGCCCCCGACCCGGGCTGCTCTTCTTTCCTTAGAATTCTTTATCGACTTTTAATGTTTCTTTTTCATAACAAACAGTCCTTGTTTCTCGGGTGAATAACCCCTCCCATCTGTCCGATGACGACATTCACATCACTCTTTCATTCAGAGACTTTGTCCCCTCCACACTGCTTTACTGCGTCTGTTCACTGTGACACCTGTCACTGTTCGCTGTGACACCTGTCTTTTACCCCAGAAACACAGTTCCAGAGCCTTGTGATCGCGACTGCTACTCCCTAGTGAGGTGTCGAGCTCTGAAAGGCAGACTGGAAGCTCTGGGGGCCGCAAGGGTTCTGGGGATGGTGGCTTCGGCTGTGATCTGGCTCAAGCACTTCCTGGGGACACCTGGGTTTGCTACTCCTTACTGGGTCTGGCTGCCAGCATTCTGGAGTCCCAATTACAGGGAAAGAATGATGGGGTTCTTAGTATTCAACACCCGACCCGTCACGAAGTCCCCAGTCCTGACCCATATGACAGGCAGCAGTCCAGGGTTTAGCGGGACCCAGGGTCTTCCCTTCTGGACGCCCTTACTTTACCTGGTCCAGTGAGTGGACTTTGCCGTGTTTCCACGGGCTGGGGAAGGGCAGTGTGCCAGCTACAGAGAGCAGAGGGAGGGCTTGGACCCTAAGTCCGCAAGTGAATTCAAGTAAATATTTAAAACCAATCTTCCTGCTTTTAGCTCCTCATTCACCTTCCAGAGGTCCCCAGCTCTGCCCATGTGGGAGGGGGGAACAGGCTATAAATCTGGGGGCCCAGGCCTCACTTCTTGAGAAGAGATCTTCTCGCAGGCGGGATAGAGGTCTGTCCCCCATCCTGCCCTCGCCCCCCAGACCACACCCTTCCCCCCACCCCCACCCCACCTGTGGACGTGCTCGTTCAGAGCCTCACCCCTGGGGGCTGTGACCGGCAACGCCTTGCCTGGCCTGCCTTTCCTCCCCATCACTCTAAAAAAGCTCCATTTTCTCCACTTTTGCTCATCAGTTATAAGCCTTTTTCGTTTTCTCTCTCTCTAAAATGAGGCTATGTCTTACAATCAATGATGCCTTAAGTAAAGAATAAATGGGTACCGCCCTCTAACCTAACGCACAGTGAACATCCTCACTAGGTTCATTACCGTCTATTGCCTCCCATCGGAGGGCAAGGCCACCAAGGCGGGGGTGCTCGTGCTGCTCGGTGACGCATGCCAGGTGCCCAGACACAGTGATGATTTGTGTCGGAGCAGCACGGGGTTCACAGTGGTGGAAGGATGAGCAGGCCGACCTGTGGCGCTCCACCCCGTCTCTGAAACCAGGTAATGGCACCGATCTCCGAGGCTCTTCCGCAGGTCAGCAACTGACCGTGTGTGCACGGCGCAGAGCGCGGCACCTGCACACGCCTCCTCTATGGAGAGTGCTGGCGTCGTTACCGTTATCAGCACATCGTCACCCTCATCCGCAAAGTGGAGACTGTGAAACTTGTGTCGCTGTGAATATTAACTAGGATCTGGCATCCTGAGGATGCTTTACAAAGGAGAATTTGGTCCCTCCTTTCTGCGAGGATTAATGCCTGTAAGACCAGGACTGCACAGAGCGAGGCAGAGCGCAGAGCAGGGCTCCCCCTGGCGAAGTCGGCATGGACTCCCCGCCTCTGCCTCTGAGCTGCCTTGGGGAACTAAGGTCTCCACTCGACCCTGCTTGTGATGCCCACAGCCTGGCCCCGGCTCCTGCTTCCACCTGTGGGACCAGCCCTTCTAGGCCTGCCTGCCCCTGTGGGGCCCGGCTCACAGCAGCTGCTTGAGGTCCTCATGTCCCTTCCTTCCATCCAACCCTGACTGCAACCTCAGGCCCACCGGGGGAGAGGTCAGGGATTACAACAGCAAGACCGGCTCTGCAAACTGGCTTCATGGTGCCGAGGGCAACTGTCTGACATCGAAGTTTCTCCTGGTGGGACATTACCTGTCCTCCCTCTAAAACCTTGGCTGGGGTGGGCTCCTCCATGGAGTGGGACGGTGAGAACTTTGATCTAAGATCCTACTCTTACATCTGCCCACAAACAGGTGCGTAGCCTCGGTAAAGTCACTTAACCTCCGGTTCCCTGGATGTCCTAGAGTGCCCAGAGTCCTCACCAGTGTGCACAGAATCAAGCCACAGTCTGGAGCATTTAAAAGTCTTCTCACAAGGTCTGACGGTCCTACCAAGCTCCTCTATTTAAGAGAATTGAGAGCAGGGAGCTCGCAGGATGGGGGGCTACAGAGATCAAGCGTGGTCAAGGACTTCCTCTCTCGGGATGTTTCTGAGCAACAGATAAGTCGGAGAGAGAAAGAGCTCAGAGGCCACGGAGTTCAGTGTGTCCTGGAGCTGGTTTGGACCACAAGCTTTTTAACTTGGCTTCTAGAATACACTTTAGATTAAGCCTATAAAATACTCACTGTGGAAAGACATTTCTTTTTTCAGTAAGTCAGAGTTGGGGCTTCATCTAAATCTCTGTCGCAAGGGCTTCCGGGCGACCTGGGAAGCTGGCGGGCACAGACCTGCCTCTGTGGCCTGTCTGTCCCTCTAGGGGGTCCGCAGCAGGTGCAGTGGACAAGATGCTACCCCCACCACAGCCTGGACGTGTGCAGAGTAGGAAAGTGACGCCGGTGGCCCCATGTGTCCCTCCCCAGCAGGGGTCGCAGTAAATTCTCAGGGAACCCAGATCAAACACTCTGTCCACCTCATCTCCTAGAAGCTTCATCTACCACAGCAGGACTGAGCTTGCTTCAAACTGCTGAGCTGGGGCCTGCTATTGTGATTCTCAAAACACCCCGTTAGAAATACGAACATAGGGAGCAAAACTATCATTTTAAGGGAGCGATTCACCCAAAGTTAATCAGAGGTCAGGGAAGTGACTCCACAGAGGGGAGATACACAATTGGGGCAGGATACGCATAGCTTTTAAGGCAGCGTGATGCCAAAGGAAACGTGGTAAATTGCCTACGTAATGAAATGTGAAGCATTCCTCAAAGCCCAGGTGCCTCAAAGTCTCATCTCACGGGAGATGCCCAGAGCTCACTAAATTCCAGCTGAGCCATCAGAAAGTTCTTGCTCCAGAAAGTCATGCTGGGTGACAATTTGGGAGTTCAGCCTCTTGGGTCTGTCAGTGTCGATGAAGGACCCGGGTGGGAGTCAGCAGCAGAATTCCCTGAACGACCGGGTCAGGAGTATGGGACACAGGGCAAGGTTGGGCAGAGGGCAGTGGGGCTGCGGGGACGCGAGAGCACCTCCCACCTCTGCTGGGCTCCAGCTTGGGCTTGCGCCGTGGCAGGTACTCACCGAACAGCCTTGACCCGGTGCCACCGCCCATCATGGAAGGAGCCGTTCACCACGATGGACACCACGCCGCTGCCCAGATTATAGCTATAGCGTCGGAGAAAAAGAGAACAGAGTAAAGTGCTGAAGCCCAGGCAGATGCACATTCATTCACAAGCGACTCTCATCGCAAAAGGTCTATGGAACTCAGAACAGTTTCCTTAACACAACACAAAGTGATGTTATAAGTTAGGTTTCCAAGCAAGGCCAGGAATGGTCAAAAAAAGTTTTTTAATCATGGCGACACATACAGCACACAAAACTTACCGCCTTACCCATCCTTCTGTGTCCGGTTCAGTGGTATGAACTGACTCACAGAGCTATACAAGCAATCTCCAGAACTCTTTACCTCGCCAAACTGCAACTCTGTACCTCTCACACGAGAACTCTTCATTCCCCCTCCCTTCTGCTCCCAGCAACGGCTATTCCACGTTGTATCTCACGAATTGGACCACTTTAGGGACCTCAGAGAAGTGGAGTCATGTAGTATTTGTCTCCTGGTGACTGGCTTGTCTCACTCGGCATCACGTCCTCAAGGCCACGTACAGAAGCATCCATCCAACATCGGAAACAAGAAAGGCTTTATCGTCTGTGATGTGCTACACGCTGCTCAATAGTGTCCCGTGCCAAAGGTCATGTCCAGCCAGAACCTCAGCATGTGCCCTTCGTTGGACATAGGGTCTTCACAGATGTAATAAATTAAAATGAAGTCACACTGGATTAGGGCAGCCCTAAATCCTATGTGACTAGGGTCCTCATAAGAAAAGGAACTCACAAGAAAGGGACAGACAGACAGATGCATGGGGAAGAAAGCCACGTGAAGGTGAAGACAGGGACTGCAGCGATGTAGCCACAAGCCCTGGCATGCCAAGGTCGGCGGGCAAGCACCAGAGCCTGGGAGAAGGCACAGAACAGACTCCCCTGTGTCCCCCCCCCCCGAAGAACCAGCCCTGCCAACACCTGCATGTCAGACTTTGAACCCCCAGAACTGTGAGGGAATAAATCTCTACGGTTTTAAGCCACCCAATTTGTGATCAGTTGTTATGGCAGCCCTTGGCAATGAATACACGTGCTTTCACGTTTTACAAAGCCAACGGAAACAAAACAGATCACTGCAGAGTAGGCTGAACTCCAAACAGATGAAAAGCATGTGCCTAAAACCCCAGAGCTATGTGCGGGATGAACTTGGTGTCTTATCTGTCCCGCCCCCTCCATTTTACGCTGATATCTGGTCTACTCAGTAGTTTTCTATTTCCTGTTTCAGCTTCCAGATGGCCGATACCTTGAGGGTATCAGAAGACAGGCACATGTTGTTTGCCAGAGAGAGACATCCCCCTTGGTCCAGTGTTCACTCAATGATTCTAACTTAATTCAATTCAACAAACATTTAGTGAGTGATGACCCTCGGCCAGGCACCAGGCCAGCTGCCCAGACCGTCCCTTGGTAACAGGATAAAACTTATCCTTGAAGGACAAGGTGCCCCACCTGGACGACCCTCTCCTCATCTTGTAAGGGGACGCGTCTCCCCTTCAGTGCACTGGCCGAGAAACAGCATCCAGAAAGCCTGGGCTCATCTTACGCCCCTGTGGGCGCTCAGCCTGAGAAAAGAGCAGGCAGGGACAGCGCTCGGCTTTCCCAGGGAAAGTGCCCCGGCCCTTTCTTTCATAACAGGGCTCAGAGCACTCGCACGGCCCATCAACATTCAGCTGAGAATAGCACATGGGCAACTTGACAAACTGGGACAAAGCTGTCACTGTGACCCTGAGAAACCCACTGTATCCTCATGAATATTCCCACACCCAGTGGCCCCTTGTAGGAAGCAGCCAGGAGGTGGAATTTTCAGATTTCATTTTCAGTGGCCAAACGCTTGTTGAAGAAATGGATGACTATGACGCAGCCTGAGAGCTGGCTGGCAGACACACAGCTGAGTGACTGTGTGTAGAATGGTCTAACCCGCCTGGATTCCCACTCTGCCAGTTACGAGCCTGTGGCCGTGGTCACGTGCTTCATTCATCTGGCTGAGCCTAGGGTTCCTCGTCTGTGAAGTGGGGTTACTGCACCTTCCCCGAAGGATCATAGTAAGCATATGCCGCACTTTAGGCGGCTCCCACACGGGGACAACAAGTCTGGAGGAACCAGCAGGGAAGAGAAAGTTGCCACCGAGACTTAAATGTGTCGGGGCTCTCCTGGAAGAGTAGTCATGTGTGAGCATAAACCACCGGCTGTAAATATGTAACCCAGAAGGTCAGGAGCACCCAGAGTCCAGAGCAGAGGCGACCTGGGCGTACCTGCAGGGACACTGGACTCGAACGGGGCTGGGACCCAGTGAATGAAAACCCTTGCAGGCGTGTTTGGACAATGGAGGCACTTTCCCCCTCTGCCCTCCAGCCCCACCATGCTCCTGTTTATGCAAAAGCCAGACTGTGCTCGGGGAGTCGGCCCTGAGTCCAGCCATCAGCACAACGCGGGCACAGGGCACTCAGCTGGCATCTCCACCGCCCGACTCTGCAACCCACCCCCTCCATTTGATTGCAGACCCTCAGTAACCTCCTGCTTCCCAGACACTTGGTGCTTCACCCAGGACTCTCTCTCCTTTAATCCTCACCTGAGGATGTTTATTGATTTAGAGAGAGAGGATTTCTCTCTTTCTGAGAGAAAGACATGAGAGAGAAACATCAATCAGTTGTCTTGCTTATGTGCCTGGACCAGGAATCGAATCCACAGCCTTCTGGTCCACAGAACAACCAATTAAGCCACCCAGCCCTTTTTATTATCCATACAAAAGGCTCTCTTTTACATAATAATAAATGATCAAGAACCGTGGTTATCTTTGTTGGCAGAGGGCCTGAGGAAGCTTTCTGGGGTAGGAGAAATGTTCTGTATCTTACTCTGTGTGGTGGGTCCACAGGTCTTTACACGCTTAAAAATCTATCAAACTGTACACCTAACATTTGTGCACTTCACATACGTTATAGCTCATTGTCTAAAAGCAAAAAGATAAGAATGAATGAGAAAAGTGAACAAATGAGCGCACGTCTGGTTTCACTCTCAGTGCCTCATGAATCTGGTTAGCACGCATCGGTTATCCTGACGCAAGTTGCCCTGCTCAGGCGGGCGCCCACGGGAGGCCGGGAGGCTGAGCACCAAGGCCAGACACCAGGATGTGCCATCCGGTGAGGCCTGGGGCAAACCATTCACCGTCTGCATGCTGTGCCCCCTTTAAGATGTAGCACGGGGCACCCTGCCCACTCAGATCTCTTCCCTTTTTTCTCCTGATGCTTAAAAATGTCATCAAGGTCATGTGGAAAATTAGTGGGAAAGACTGTCAGTCACATGGTTTTCGTGAAGCCTGCTTACTGGGTTTTATGCCTCACGTATAATCACAGGACACAGTGAAACTAAACAAAAGCGGAAGCCACACTGGTACCTAAGCACTTTCATTCCTTTTCCTCGACTTAATCTTGCACAACAACCATCAATACTTTTTTTAGTGTTCCATTGCTCTTCCTTATTCTCTGCTGTAGGGCCTTTGAGCACTAAATTAGCACAAGGACTAGCACTTAAGTGAAGAGAAAGAGTCAAGGAAGTCGAGACTATATTTTATTATTTTAGGTTTTCTATTGTTTACTTGGGATCTGGGTCAAACACCAAAACCTCAAAAATGGTTTTTCTGCCCAGTGACACCGGTTCACTCACTAGGCTCCGCTGATGTAAGCCGCTTGAAGGCGGGGGCCCGCTTCTATTAAAAATAGCAACGATAACAATAGCTGCCTTTTATGAAGCAGATATATCATGCTGACTTCCTTACTTATGTTACCGATCTGAGGTTGGAGTTTCTAGAACATATTGAGGGTAGAAAACACTCCATGGAGGAAAGCAATTGTGGTCGTCATTACCACTAATAACTAGAGATGCAGGGAGCCCTTTTGGTGAATGAACGCACTCAGCCCTCCCAGCCAACCCGGTCCTTTCTGGTAAGTTGCAGCAGGTCACGTGGCCATGGGAACCCTGCCTGTCTGATTCTGAAGCCTTCAAGGACATCGGACCCTGAATCCCAGTGTGGGCTCCCAGAGGGATTCCCATCAGCCCCTCGTGCCCAAGGAGACCTGCTCCATCGGTCTCTGCGTGTAGGCCCAGGGCTGTCCGGCTGAAGCAGGTTCCCCGCTGGCTGGCCGGCTGAGGCTGCTGCTGGCCAACCCCCACCGGCCTGCGCCCTGGTCCTCCCTGTGCCCAGCCTCCCCCAGAGCATCCGCACGCCTGCCTGTCAGAGGAAGGAACACGGCAGCAGCTGTGGGCCCAGGGGCAGGCCAGGGAGACGCTGTGCATCCAGAGCCCAACCCAAGCTCCAGGCTCCGAAGAAAAACATGGGGCCAATCGTCAGAAAACGGAGAAAGAAGCGGTGGCTGCAGAACTGTGTCTGGATGCAGTGGAGTTGCTAGAAGGCGCCCAGGGGGTGTGGGAGGCTGGCCGGGTCCGCCGGAGGCCCATGGGAGCTGCGCGGCAGCCCCGAGCGGATCGCGTTTCCCCACTCTGCAGGGCCGGGGGGCCAACGCGTTTTGGTTGGCGGTTTAGGGGGACGTGGGCCTCCCACCCGTGGCTGAGCTACTGTTTCAGTTCCCTTTTCTGGGCACAATCAAGTACTCGAGGCCTCGGTGAGGTTAACCACAGGAAAACCACAAGAAAATGGCTCCGGGGCAGCCAGCCCGAAGCCGGGGTGTGAAAAGCTTGGCGTTTGACCTTGGGGCAGGGGTTGGAGAGGCCGGGGGTGGGGACGGTGAGCACAGCTCTCGTGGGCCGGCCTCTAGCCTTTAACCACACAGGTCTCTCAAAGCCCCAAAAGTCACAGGATCGCCACTATGCCTGCTCTGCTATTTAGGAGCAAGCTCGACACCGGATAAATGGCGTTTCCTCTCAGACTGCTTTTTATTCAGACTGAACAGACGTCCATGTAGCTGGCTGTCCAGGAGCCCCGGGGCACGACCCACGGACGCCCAGAATTAAGCCTTCATCCACTCTGTGGCTCAGTTGCCGTGGCTCTGTCCACTTCTGTTCCAGTGCAGCCCCCTCAGCCCACGAACACTCGTGCCAGGCCCCAGGGGGGGAGTCACAGGAGGGAAGGGCAGAGGAACCCCTGCCCCCGGAGATGAGCATCAGAGTTGCCGAGAGAAGTGGTGACAACAGCTGGCTGGCCCCACTCCTGCTTTCTCTGGTTTGGGGTGGGGCCTGAGAACTGGCATTTCTGACGTTCCCTGGCGAGGTGATGCTGCCGGCCCAGGGACCACACGTGGAGAATCCCTGGTCCAGATGAGTAGTTCCCAATCTCCAGCAGAAGCGGTTTCATATTACACAGGCCTGCCGGGTGGGAACCCGGCTCCCACTGCTCTGCTGAGGAAAAGCTGTGAGAGGCCCTTCAGCTATTTCCTAGCGACCCCTTTGAAAGTCGTGAAAGCAGTCTAAATTGAGTTTAAGAGGCCCAGGCACTGCCTTGCCAGTGTCACCCAAGAAGCATTTACAAAACCCCCAACGCTGGGCTGGTCCATCCAGACCCGAATCCGTGCTTCCTTTTCTGCGTGGGAGACTGGGAGGCAGGCATCTGCTCCCCGAGGCTGCACAGCCAGCAGGGGGCACCGTGAGCACCTAGAGCCGGGTCTTTGACTTGCGGTCTCCAGCTCAGCCCCAGACAGAGAGCATCAAACCCACCGCGGGCCACGCTCAGCTCTCCCAAGTCCTCTTTCCCCCACTTCCCGACATGCAAGTGGGGAGCACGTGGCAGGAACGCAGCACAACTGGGGGTCAAAATCTGTCCTACACGGAGCCAGGAAATGGACATTTTAGGCTTTGCCATACGGTCCCCTCTAAAACCACTCGAGTGTGCCACTGTAGCATGGAAACTGTCACGGACAATATATGGATGAAGGAGCAAGGCAGTGTTCCAACAACACTTCGTTTACAGAAATGGGTGGCGGGCCAGCCCTGGCCCCTGGGCTGTGATGGCTGATCGCTGCTGCTCGGGAAGACGGGCGCTGGCAAGAAAGACCAGGAGCCTCAGAGAAGCCTGGAGCTCCAGGCAATGGTCATGCCAGTGAACTGTGTTCTGGTTCACTGGGGCAATACTCTGGCGTGGGCTGCAAGGCCATGCTGCAGGCAGCTGGCGGGGGCCTTACCTGAACGTCAGGGCTCCGTCTCGAAGGCCCAAGGAAATGAAGTCACTGTTGGACAGGAGGCTGTCTCCCCGCCACATCAACAGGCCGTCTTTGGCAGTGGCCTTAAACCTCATGAATACATTTGACCTTGATCCGGACACCCTGGCGGAAACACACAAACAATTGCACCAAATCAACCGCTCTCCAGCAGCATCCACGCCCGAGTTTTGTCCGCCAGCCTGGAGAAGCCAGGTGTACGGACGATCTGGCATTCCTGACACCTACCACCAGGAGATTAGTGTTGGTGTCCTCACCCCAAGTCACAGCATCACAGGCACAAGGCCTGCTCACGGGGCAGCAGCATCTCCGGCCCCAGGCGTGGTGCAGGCCCATGAGAACACTCGGTGAGTCACAGATCGGCCAGATCCTGGTCAAGTCTACAGTCCCAGCGGCACCCCAACATACACTCCAGCCCTCCTTTCTTGTCCTATGCCTGCAGGGTCCTTGGGAAAGGGTTCCCCATCCCCCAAAGGGGAGTGGCCTTCTTAGTTTCCAAAAGGCTGAACTTGGCAGCTTCCTTGGACTGTGATCGTACTGTGGACGGCCAGCTCTGGTGGCGACTGTCCTGGAGGACAGAGGGGAGACTGGGCAGGAGGCAGAGTGAGAGGTGCTGTGGCAAAGGCCAGATGGAGAGGAATGAGGAGCTGGGAGGAAAGGGGAGGTGCCAGAGCTGGCCGGGGCCCTGTGCTCCCATCAGTTCCCAGGCAGAGCCTAGCTCCGAAACCCAGTCGAACCAGAGTGACCCATGTTCCCTCTGTCACAGGGCGAAGAGCAAGCATGAGGTCCTTACATAAAAGGCAGTAAGAGGAAACACAACTTTAATCCTGCTACTGATATGGCACTTTTGGAAAAGTCTCTCTCTACGCCCCCATCACTTGTACCGTCCTTCTGTCTGTCCCACGAACCTGGAGCTATAGATGCATTTAGTAGTGAACGTGGAGGGGACTTCTGTTCAGGCTTCCCAGAGCCTGGCCCAGGCAGGAAGAGACCAGGGTTGTCCTGCCCTCCCCATGCAGGGCCTCAGAGTGGTGAGGGAGCAGCAGGGTCCGCAGCATCGACCCCTCCCCTGGCCAGGCGCAGAGCAACCCAGCTCCGGCCCTTCTCCTCCACCACCTGCCTGGGATGTGCTGATCGGTGGGAGCCAATCGCGATGGCTCTGTTTCTCTTGCAGTGAGTGGTTTGGGGATGGCCATGTCACTCGCTATTATCCAATGAGCTAGAGGTAATGTATCGGGAAGTTTCTAGGAAAGAGTCCTTTCCTAGAGGAAAATGAGGAAAAAAGTTTTTCACTTCCACTGGACGTTGCCCTGAGTGACGTCCATCTAATGAGCGTCTCATGCAGAGCTGTCTCCTGACCATGAGGGGCGTAGCCACTGCAGAATGTGCTGAGGATAGTAAGGCAAAAAGACAGAGTTGGGTCTTTGATGTTGCTGACGATTCTCTGAATCAGTCAAGCCAAGGTCTAGTCTAAGTCTGGATGGTTTATTGTATGAAATAAGAAAGACCCTCACGTTTAAGACATTTCAAGTTGAGTTTTCTGTTACTTGCAGCCAAAGGCATCTAACTGAAACAGACCCTGAACTTGACTTTTACCTGTGGCTTCGCACACACGCATGCGTACACAGACATGCCACAAGGGCCACCCGAGTTGCTCTGGTTTGGGGCCCAGTGCCTCCTATTCCCACCAGCTACCTGGTGCCGCTCATGAAGCATCCCAGGGGCTGAAGACTTGGGCCCCTTTCACACCTGCTTTCTGGAGACTGAATGCCCTTCCATCTTTGGAGAAAAGGACTGAAGAAAGAACTGGGTCTCTCTTGGCTGGAAATCATTTTGCCTACGGTCCCATGCCAAGACCACCAAGATAAATACAATATGGGATTAGAGAAACGAAGCAATGTCTGTCTGTCTGGTGAGTGTTGAGAGTTACCAGGGAAATATTCGTCCGGTGCCCCAGGAAAATGTCTCTCAACCACCTATATTGCTTGAAAAGCCACCAACCTCCACCCCAAGAACTGGGTGTTTTTAGCCTAAAGCTTTGCCTTAAGAAAAGTCAACCTAAAGAAGAAGGAAAATTCGAGAATGGTGGTGCTGGCAGTGTTGTGCAGGATGGCAGACTGTAAACTACAAAGAAGTAGGGGGGGAAAAAGAGAGAGAAGAGGCAAAATGGAAGCACCAGAGACGAGGATCCCTGGGTTGAAGACCAGCCCAGGGCCAGCCTTCCCTGGTCACATACACAGGCTCCTCCGAGCCAGCAGCTTGGACTCCAGTGAGGGGCTGGAACCCCGGCCACCAGGGGTTGACAGCCACGGTGGCAACGTGGCATCTGCTCGTATCCATATGAAGAGATCCAAGGAGCCCCCACCGAGCCAGTCAGAGCCTGAGGAGGACAGGGGACCTCTGCGGCCGAAGATGCCAAGTAGGGCACAGACTGAGCGCTGTGCTGGGCTGTGGGGCACCAGGTCCCTCCAGGCTGAGCTGCACACCGCAGCCAAGAACAGCATGAAGCGACTCCCCGGACTCCTCACCCTGTCTGCAAAAGTGGGCACCTCCTCCGACAGCATTTGGGCTGCTTCAAAGCCTGCCTTTTTCAAGTCTATTTGTGTTGTTTTGTTCTGGTACGTATGTTTAGGATGTGTGGTTGTTTTCCCCTGAGGCCACGGCTCAACTGCCTCCTTTAGGATTAGCTCCTGGCACAAGAAGTAAGGAAAAGTCTTAGGAACGACACTGAGAACTCTACCCTCAAGAGATACGGCAGGTGCCTGGGGAAGTGCTTACCTCTTGAGGATGTCCGGGCTGTCGTAGGTCAGGTAGCTGCGGCCGATGAACTGCGGAGTCTCGATGGTTTCCGTGACGGCTGAGACAGAACAGAGATGGGGGTTATGTGGTCTGAGGCCCCGTGGACCCCAGCACTCAACCTTGTGGCCAGAAAACATCAAGAAGGCCAGCTCCTGGAATTAGGACATTTAACAAGCTAACTTGTCAGCGCCTTCCTCCTGGCCAGGTTTGGGGCTGCCTGGCCTGAGGGCCTGGAGTTAGTGTCTCTCTGCTCACCCCTCCCTGGGGCTGGCTGACCCTGGGAACAGCCTCTGCACTCCACAGAAGGGCTTGCAAGGTGCTGAAACTTGGCCCGCGCCCAGCTATCCATGTAAGCAGGTCGTGGGCTGTGTGAGGAGCAGCTGGGGGCAAACCTAGATGCCCTCCAAGGGGAGCAGAGGAAATAACCCCCCCAAAAGCCCTCCAGGATTCCTGTATTTAAAGCTGACCTGCCCCAGAATGCTTCCAGCCACACTGCAAGAGACTGGCAAAGTACAAGAAATGAGGCGTTGCCTTCTTTGTACCAAGCGCTGTCCAGTGCCATATCTCACAAGGTCTTCACCACAATCTCACAAAGTAGTGGGGAGTGTGCAGAAAAGGGAGGGGCAGATAGACCCATTTTACAGGACAGGGAAACGATGCCCAGAGGTCACCCAGAGGTCACCAAGGACCGGCCCGAGATGATGTCACTAAGGGAACAGAACCAGACTGGCCCACTTGGGTCAGGTCCTCAGCCCACTGCTTACTTCCCAGGACTTCAGAAATGAAGTTTCCTTCCCCTCAATTTGCCTTCGCTTTGTGTTCCTGAGAAATCTTCCTTTTCTACCCCATTTGTATACAATTAGGTTATGTGTTTGGGTTTGGTATCAAACCCTGGGGATAATTGAGGAGACTTTAGCCAAAGAGATAACAGCCAGATTTCTTCTGTCTTTCGAAAAATACAGCAATGACACCTTAAAGAATTAAGGTGGAATGAATCTCATTTTCAAAGAAATGTGCAAAACAAAATAGAATAAGCCAGCTTATGAAATGAGTTAGAGTTTCACAAAAGTATGTGGTCGTAAACCCGGGAAAAAACATATATAATTATTTGACATGATGAACACCCAGGAGAATTTAAACATAACTTCTAACCATTTTTTTAAAGAAAGAGAGAGAACAGCAAAGCCTAAAACCCAGTAACATTGAGCTCCCAAGCGTAAGTTCCTGTGTTGACAAGTCCCAAAATATTTTCATAAAAAGAAAAATTTTTGAAAGCAAGGAAAACAAGAAAAGCAAAGGAAGAGAAAAAGTTTTGAAGTAATTCCCGAGAAATTGCTCTCTTGCTCTCTGAAGCCACACAGGCCAAGCTGGACAAGCGCCCATGGCCCAGGGGGCCTGTCAGGAACAGAGCGAGCAAAGGCCGTTGTATGTGAACTCCTGGGTCGCACTGCTGGCCTCTCCCCCTTCCGGTTAAGGTGGGGAGGAGGGGAGAGAGGAGAAAAGAGTGGGATGCAAAAGAGAAAGACAGTGGAGAGCAGGGGCTGGTGGGGGGCTTGGGGTGGGAGGGGCAAGCTAGAGTGAGGAGGGGAGAGAAGAAAATGCTGAGAAAGTAAAGGAGGAGAAGGCGGGTGGACCGGCGGCCCCTGGGGCAGGGACAGGGGGGCAGAAAAGGCAAGGTGCAGGGAGAATGGCCAGCGGAGTGGGGCAGAGGTGAGAGGTCCGGCAGGGAGGCCCAGGAGAGACCCAAGGGTGCCAAACTGCAGAGCTACCAGGGGGCTCCTAGCTGGGGGCAGGGGAGCCTTGAATTTCAGGATCTAGAGCTGAGAACAGAGAAGAGAGGCTACCTAGGAGCTTCACAAAACCACGGCGCCCCCCTGGGTTTGACTCCACCACAGGGAGAGAGGCACAGGCGGAGCCTGTCCTTGCTGTTACTGACCCTGGACCTGGGCCTGTGGCTAACAGCCAGGGCTGCGCTGGGCTCCTTGAAGTGGTCAGGAAGTGCTGGTCAGGCATCGGCTCTGCACACGGAGCCTAAAGGGTCTGTGTGAGCCGGGTCCTGCCACCGGCCAAGCCCCCAGCTCAGGGGCTCAGGGCTTCCCAAAGTCCAGCGGGGTCTCAAGTGCATTCTCAGGGCAGCTGTGCTTTTGGAGGGAGGATTGCCACCACCTTGGTGGGTGTGTCCGAGTCCCACGGCACTGGCGCACACGGCTGCCTGTGCCGCACGGTGCCCACGGCCTGTCCTCTGGAACCTGCCCTGGCAGGAGCCCCGGGCACTGGCACAGCCCTTCACGGGGCGCACTGTACTTACTGTTGAGACAGTGGTTCCCGCACTCTGCATGCGCCAGCGTGAAACAGAACAGGGAAAGTCAGGGTTTCACAGTCCTTGTAAAAACCCCAGTTACACCAGCGGCGGATCACTGGGAAGCAGCCCTGTTTCCTCATAAAACCCCGCAGAGGGCCCGCTGGCCCCCCAGCCTCAGTGGCAGTGAGGGGAGGGGCGGGCAAACCGAGAAGGCGAGAAGACTTGTGTGTAATACGTTGTCTGGCACCACCGAGGCTCCCCCGACCTTGAACTGACGGTCCCTCGCTTATTCTAACACTGGAGAAACAGTTCCTTGCTAAAGAGTTACTTACCTCGTCAATGATTATTACTTTTCTTGGCTCTGGGATGTGTGTGGAAAAGGAGCGATAAGCCTGCCAGCAGCCTCTTTTTTGTGGAGTGGAAAAGATCAGCCCAATTCCCACCCCACCACCCCGAGGGCAAGCCCCCGGAGCTCTGGTTCTTTTGCGGTTAACAAAGGGCAGGGGAATCTTCCAGAAATGACACTGCTGAGCACAATGCAGCAAAAATACACTCACTGTAGTAAGTACCCCTGGACGCATGTTGGTTCTCTCCTAAGCCATCGGGGCTGGAAGTCACCATCTAGCCCTTTCGGGCACCTTCGTAGTTTGTTTAAATACGCAGTATAAACACGGCTCTAACCCTTTATATCTATTTTTTACATCGTCTTCGATGCATTAGTTGAAATGTGTTTTTTGCCACTTCCCCACATTTACACCTCAAAGCTGGTGCCATCTGATGACACGCAGACAACAGTCCTCCAGGGAGCAGGAGCCCCCAAGCCGGACAAAGTCCACTTTCCACTCGAGGGACCTGAAATTCCCAGCAGGCTCTAAAGAGCTGAGGGGAGGGCGGGCTCTGTCCTGTAGTCACAGGACGTGGGAAGGAAGGCCCCGGGGGCGGGCGGTGGGGGGCGGTGATCCAGCTTTCCCAACAACCTGGGCCCCCTCATGGACATCCTGGTGGACGCGGTCCAGCCCCTGGGCAGCTCGCTCATCCCCCGGCCCTTGGGGGACAGTGCTACCTGGTACAGAGATCCTGTTACAAAGCAGACTCTGTAGCCACCGGGTAAACAAACAAACAAACAAACACCTCTCTCCACACTACCAGCCCTTGGCTGGCTAAAGAATTGCCTCACGGCTGACCACCCCCAATTTCTCACGGTTTAATCCTACACCACCCCAAGAAAAGAAACTCCTGCTGGCGTGTGTATTTTGTTAATTTGTGTTTCTATGTCCTGGGTTGTCTTAGAGGACAGCCTCTACTTACTGAAGCTATTTTCCATACACAGGGACCAAGAAACATGCATCCGAATCGGACCCGGCAACATGATGTGAACACAACACAAGACGTCCTGGATGTTGTGCATGTGGCGCGTCAGTAGAGATCAGGGGGACCCCACCTTTAGGACCCTGTCCCACGAAGAACGCCTGCCCTGGCCCAGGCGTGGCCTCCGTGGCTGTGGGTATCTGGACTGAGCACATTCAGCTCACCGGCCGCAGAGAAACACCCCCACCTAGTGGCCTGAGTCCAAACCGCAGCCAGCACTGAAGGGACAGGAAGGAGGTCTGGCTCCTCTCTCTGCCCCACGCAGCCCCGGTGCGGCCCGGCCAGCCAGGAATACTCCTTCAGACGTAGTCTGTGAGGCTTGGCTTCAACTATGAGTCACTTCCTTGGATGTAAGGTCTGTGAGGAGCTGGAACACAAGGTGGGTAAATCGGATGGGAGCAGAAAGAAGACCTAAGTAGGTAAGGGTGGGGAGTGTTCTTTTGAGGACAAAGGGCTTGTCCACAGCCCCCCGGTGAGATGAGACGGGGCCTCAGGGCTGGGGTGCTGAGGTGTGAGGCCGTGAGGAGGGCGGCACCTAGGAGCGAGAGCCCGGGAAGAAGGGGACGGTCACATCACCGGCACCTGAGTCGTGGCTGGGACTCAGGAGCACCCCTGCTCCTCCTGCCTCGGTGGTTCCCGAGCTGGGACCGAGGCTGCATTTTCTGCTGCTGCCGCTTCAGGAGCCTGCAGAGCCCTGGGGATGGCCCGGCGCTCAGAGGGTGCTCCTGCCCCTGCCCCTGGCCCTGCAGGGGCCTCGGGGGCTCCCCAAACCGCTGTGGTGGTCTGGGTGCCAGACCCTCTCAAGGAGAGGTCTCGTCTGAGTTTGGGGCCCCAGCCATCCAGGCAAGTGTCCACTTTGCTGACAAGGTCCCTAGTGGAGTTCACCTGCCTGCCACAAACCCCGAGGAGGTTACAGAAAACCACCCACTGAGGAGCCCCAAACGAACCCCCAGATGGAGAAGGTGCCCCTCGGCGTGGATAGAATGGGGCCTGATGCTGGCGATGGCCACACTAGCTGCTCAATGTAAAGGCACAGGTCTACCCTCCCTGGGGCCAGGCTCCTGCTTTGGAAGCACGACCTGGTTTGGAGGCAGAGGAAAAACCCCAAAGCTTTAAGTATTCAACATACGAGGCTCTGAGTCCCCTGCTGGATTAGACAGGATCCTCCCTGGCCAACGTGGACTTCCAGCCCTGCTTGGCTGTCCAAGCTATGAATTTACCCAGATGTCTAGACTGTCCTTCTGTGGCACTATTGTGGTTGCCCACTTCCCATTTCTTTCCAGTCCTTATCTGGGACTACACGCCCTCCCCTGTATAAAAGCAGGCTGTGTTCTGCCGTGTGCCTGCTGAGGCCTGGGACGACTCTCCTTGAGTTGTCCTCACTGGCGCCCAGAGCCCCGTTCACCCTCCGAAGCCGCGTCACAGGGGAGGAGGGCCGTGCCTCCCCGGTGCGCCTCTCCTTACCACCGGCACCGGCCCCCCTGGTGCCAGAAGGACTGCCTGTTTTTCAAAGAACAAGGGGATAATGGCACAGCAGGGGCAGCTGACGGTCCAGCCCAGTGTGTCACAGAAAGAGGCCCAGATGTCCCCCGGTCCCCCTGCCACTGTCCATTGCTTGGATCCTGCCAGGAAGCCCAGAGCCTCCCCAGGGACCAGCCCCTTCATTCTGGTGAAATTTATTTTTTGTTCAACCTGAACCCATAGTTATGGGGCTGTGAACGTGAGCTTTTCATATATGTTATGGCTAATGTTCTGCAGCAGGCAAATGGGGTCAACAAGATGGCAAACAACCCAGCCCTTCCTCCTTTGATTCCCAAAGCTGCCAACTGTTCATTTCAGCCCAGACTCTGAATGATGACCATTAGGGTTGGCGTCTAAGGCAGCAGCAAGCTTGCGCTGCTTGTGGTGAGACACAGACCTTGCTGTGTGAAGTCCAGTCCCAACTGTCTGAATGAGGGGCCACTCGGACTAAATCTCTGTGAGGACGCGCTCTGAGCTCGACAAGGGCTGCCTGTTAGAATCGGCATTAGACTCATTCACAGATGGGTCAACTGCTCTCCTCTGGGGGGTTACCACAGGCTGGGCTATGTTAATAAATATGTCATATGATTTGTCATGCAAATGAGGTTGAAAAACTCATTTAAGTAGAATGCCACTTAATCTTCCACCTGGCAAACTGGCATCTTTCAGATTTTCCAAGGCCACTGCAAAACAACTTCTCCTATCACTCCATGTACCAAATATCTGCCAGAAATTTACAGTTTTCCTCTGAGCCCTACCTCCGATAAAAATCAGGAACCTGGAGCCCTGGCCAATATGGCTCAGTTGGTTGGACCAGCCTCCCACACGCCGGAAGGTTTCAAGTTCAATGCCTGGTCAGGGCACAGGCCTAGGTTGCTGGTTTGGTCCCCTGTCAGGGCACATATGAGAGGCAACTAATCGATGTTTCTCTTTCACACACGTTTCTCTCCCTCTCTTCCCTTCTCTTCCTCTCTCTCCAAAATCAATAAGGATGCCCTCGTGTGAGGATTTAAAAAAAGTTAAGAACCTAGAAACAAAATAAGAAAAACAACATATTCCCTCACCTAGCCTGGCGGCTTGACGTCCTCCAGGCCTGACTACCTCTCTCTGATTAGTTCCCGAGCAGGTGAGGCCGTCCGGACACCCAAACAAGTCACTCCACGGGGCCCGACACAATGACGGCCACCTGTGCACAGGCCTCTTGGGACACCAGGCCGCGGCCCGCCGCCCGCACTCAGGGCTCTTGGTCTGTGACCTGCCCGAGGAGCTCAGACAAGGGCGGTGCCGAGTCGCTCACAGCACCTGCTAACAGGTTTTCTGTTCCTCATTGATAATTATAACGGCTGGTGTTCTGAGGGCTCAGCAGGCCTTCGTCCAAGGAACATGTGTTGTCCATTGTGCCCACACCACAGCCTCCACTGTGGCTATTTTCATTCTCACCCTACAGTGAGGAAACTGAGGCTCGGGGGAGGCTTGGGTAGCACAGAGAGCCGCTCTCTACAGAAGCTTATTGATATTTAGTTTAGAGAAGTACAATCCTTATTTTTCTGTACTTGGCAATATGTCTTTAAAAAATTCTCAAGCAGGGGTCAACATTTAGTTAAAACGTTTACCAGCCTATCAGACAGGCTCTGAGGGTGACTCAGGTGGACGGGGTCTGGCAAACGCCCAGGAAGATGGGCTCACCGTCTGACCGCTGGGCCCAGAGGGGATTCCCAGGCAAGGAGGCAGGGGAGGGGCGTGGGGAAGCTGTTTTACCTACTGTTACAGAGGGACTTCCACCTTTTAATTACTAAAGAATCTCAGTGGTTTCTATGGAATTGGCTACCTATGATATCACTGCAATCACTGATAAAAACACCCAGTATTGCTGCGCCGGCACCGCCAGCGCCCTAGTCCGCCCAGTCTTTCCCCTCCACGGCCCCCGACATGGGGCCGGGCCCCCACGTACCTTTCTGGCAGTGCAGACCCTCAAAGCCTAAGGGACAGTCACACTCATAGCCCTCCTTTCGGGGTCGGCAGCTGCCCCCGTGGGCGCAGGGGCCCGCCACGCAGGGGTGGGCGGCATTCTCCACGTTCACGCCCCAGCTCAGGTCGTGCTTCACGTGGACGGCGCGGTCGTTCAGGGTGATCTTGGGGAGAGAACACGCGAAGAAGTCAGGAAGTCAGAAAACAGCCCTGCGGTTACTGACTCGTCCCTCGCCCACCAACCTAGACCCACACAGCGAGAGAGAGCGTTAGACGGAGGCGAGCAGGTCCAGGTGCTGCCCCTGTGCTGCTAATGAGGCAGGAGCGGACGCAATCATGCCCGGCACCTGGAGAACCTGCAGCGTCAAGGCCCCTCTGGTTCTGGAAGACCCGGTCCCACGAGAGGTCAAAGAGAAGTCCCGGTAACTGCCAACACACAATCGGAGGTCTCACCCTGGCTGCCTGGTGGAGCCCCCGGGGGGTTTAGGAAACACCTAAGGCCCAGGGCCCACCCAGCTCAATCATGTCAGAATCTCTGAGGGCGGCGTCCACTTATCAGTAACCTTGGAAAGCCGTCCAGGTGGTTCTAAGGTGCGGCCCCCGAGGTTTCAGTGTGTGCCCTAGAGCTGAGCAGGGAAGGATCCAAAACAAAAGAACCCAAGAGGGACGGGGGGCTCCGGCCGATGGCGGAGGGGAAGCCTCTCCGGGACTGCTCTGTGATTCTGGCTAATCCTCCCGTGGGCCCCTCGAGCTCCACCGCTGGGCCTCCCCCCTCCTCCGTCCCCGACACTCCCGAGTTCCCTTCCACCCTCCACGTCCTGCCCCCTCATTCAAGAAAAAACTGAAACTCAGCTCCCGAGCCCTCCCCACTGCCGGGCCTACTCGCTGGGACTGCCCCCTTCTGTCCCTGCCAGTGGGCTCTGGAGAAACTGACGACTCTGGCAGTAGGTGACAGGGCTCCGGACCCCAGATAAATAGACCCATTGTTTTCCGCCCTTGACTCGGACTGTGCACCGAACTCTAGCTGCTGGTGTTTCCATGTCTCCAATGCTGCTCAGAACTCAAGGAGAACAGAGAACCCAGGGGACCCCCACGCTGCAGGGGGTCCTAACTGGGTAGCCACGGCACTTCCTGCCTCTAGTCCCTGTTTCCAGGCTTGCCGCGCCCTTGGAGAGGGTCAAGGGCTGGGAGACAACTTTTCCTCAGTTCTGAGTCTCAGAAGCTGCTAAAGAGCAGCCAGAATCTTCCATAGTCTCCCCTGTCCATGCTGAAAGTGAAGGGCAGAGAAACCGTCACCTGTGGCTGAGACAAGCCAAGGATGGCAGCATCCACCGCAGGATGCGGCCCAGGCGACAGTCTGAACCCTGTGAGGGGCAGTGGCCTTTCTGGGAAGCCAGGAGGAAAGGGTTGATCTGATCTGTGTCCATGAGGGGCTGCGCCTGACCAGGGTGGCTGGGGAGGGGCGGGGTGAAGCCCCTCAGCACCTCAGCTTGCTTGCCGAGTGAGAATTTCAAACACGGGGGTGGGGAAACGTGGCCAAGCCCACTCATGGCTGTGGGTGGGGGGAGACAGTGGTCTGAACTGAGGTGTCACTGTCACCACAGTTTAGCAGCAAAGGCGGACGTGTCAGAGTCAGCAAATCCTGCTGGGCCCCCACACCAGGACGCGCGCTCCGATGAGCAGGCCAGAACACGGCCCTCCTTCCCTGGCCCTCCTCTGCCTCGGCTTCGAAAGGGTCAGCAGCCCACGCCCACCCGGTGGCTAAAGGGGAAACCAGACGACTCGCACGTCCGACACACTTTTCTTCAAACCCTTTTCCTCCCAGGTTCGGTGGTCCCGGCACTCAGGGAGGGTGAGTGAGCCCTCTGCTGCAAACAGAACTCCCTGTCCCCATAACTGGAGAGACCCTGGCTGCCCCCAGAGAAGGAAAAGAGGTAAACGGGGCGGGGCCCGTGCCCTGGGTCTTTACTAGCAGAGTGGTCTCTTTCCTGGACCTTCTATGGAAGGACCCCTAACCTCTGCTCTTAGGAGCTTGGTAGCATGATTGATGAACAACTGCTAAACTGTGGCGGTGGGGCGGGGTGGGGAGAGGTGGAGGTGAGTCTGTCCTTGCCCTCAGCAAGCTGCAGAGCACCCCTGCGGAGAAGCGCTGAGTTGCTGATCGACCCCGTGCACCTCCTCCCCTTTGGTACAGTGTCCAAAGCGACCCGATGCCAGCTGCCTCCCTCGGGAGTCCCGGGGTCTTTTTGTGGATCTGCCGTAAAAACTCACTGAGTCATGTTCATGCTACATCTGCTGGGCAGAGACCCAGGAGCAGATGTTGTAAGAAATGGGGCTGGAAAGCTATGCTGTAAGCATTAAAAAATGAAATCTTAAAAACGTCAAAACTTTATCAAAATTTCTTTGGGTACCGTGGGTTGCACACTGACCCCAGTTCTCAGTTCCACTGTCTGCGGTCAAGGTCGAGCAAGCATGAGAAAGCGAAGCCAGTACCTTCTGGATGCTCCCACTGAACGGCTGGCGGATGCCCGACTTGTCCTTCACCTCATCGTAACTGGGGACTCCGCCAATAAAAATATCCGTGTTGCAATTAATCTGTGTGAAGCCTCCCTGCCAACAGATGAAAAACAAACACGGTACGTAAAATTTTAGGAAAAGATGGTTAAGATGACCACACATGTCTTTGGGTCCTTGTCACCTGGCCCCTCCAAGACCCATCACGACCCCCATGGCCTGACTTGCGCACTGCTCTGCTTTGCTGCTGGCCGCCTCTTTGAGTGTTTGTACATTTTCTAACCGCTCTGAGACTCAGGTTCGTCATCCATAAAGTGGGGGTCACAACAGCAACCTCACAATGTGTCACAACCAAGGCAGTGGACTGCTAGTCAGCAGTACCCACTCTGTGCAGGAAGGCGACCTCCAACCTCAGGTTGTCACTGGCGTTTTTCAGCAACACGTGAGTGGAAGAGAAACAAACCACTTCTGGGCAGAAGCTTCCAGGGCCGGGGAGCAGCCCACTAGGCCTTCTTGCTGACCCTGCTCCTTCCGTCCAGGTCTCAGGTCAAGGCTGCAGCTGGCCGTTGGTGGGCATGTGGCATGAGTGAGAATGAACCCTGTTATAGCTGCTGATGTTGGGGCTTGTTTGGGACGGCCTGTGGCACCGTCCAGCCCGTCCTGACGCTGGGTGGAACCACCCTTGGAGGCGTCTGTGGCTATTCTCCACACTCACGGCTGAGGAGTAGAAAAGCTAAGTGCCTTGGCCGGAGGGGAGAGCGGAGGTCGGTCCAGGCCGTTTGGCTCTGGTGTCCATGCGCCTAACCACTGTGCTGCTGCTCTCATCTCCAGGACAGAAAGCAAACAGCAGCCCCGTCCCCACCCCGAACCAGGGGCACAGAGGAGTCCTTACCGCCGCCATGCCTTCCACCACCTTCTGCTTATCCACCTGTAAGAGGCCGTTCCTCGCCGTGCGGGACACACGCAGCTCGTGCCAGTGACCGAGGGCGAGGGGTTCCTCACTCCTGCAAGGGAAGGACACTGAGCGTGGGTGAGCACCCGTGGTCACCGGTAACGCTCGTCAATCTAGCTCTGACGCTGCCGGTGCCAACCTCAGGCACCCCACTCTGTCCAGCAAGTGACAACGACCACTCCTGCTTAGCAAACACAGCAGCGCTAGGTCCGTTTATCAGACCCCTTTCATGGTAGGGATGGTGCATTTCTTATCTTGTTTATTCCTTGCAACAGGCCTGAAATGTGGGTTTTCTAGATGAAGGGTAACAGGAGGATAAAACACGATCATTGCTGCACATGAGCTTGGAAGAAGAGAAACTTATACAGACCACAGTATAAAACAGGGATGCTTTGGTGTACTGATATCTGCAGCATGTGTTGAAATTCAGATAAAAGTAACATGGGTGGATGGATGGATAGAAGGAGAGAAAGGAGGGGGGAGGAAAGAATGAAGGAAAGAAGGAAGGAAGGAAGGAAGGAAGGAAGGAAGGAAGGAAGGAAGGAAGGAAGGAAGGAAGGAAGGAAGGAAGGACAGCTGGATGGGTGGAAGGCTAGATATGGGACAAAAGCAAATAGAGCAAAGCCTTAACCGTAGACTACAGGAGGTGAGTATATGGGTGTTTAATGGACTGTCCTTTAAACGTTTCTATGTTAGAAATTTTTCATAATACAGTATTAGGACAAGAACAGGCATCTGATATTGTGAAAAGGATTCAAAGTATTTTAAAAATTCAGTGTTTAATTCAAGGTGGAATCACGTGAATTTAAAGGATATTGATAAGTTTTACACATTCCTTGTTACAGCAAGGTGTGCAAAAAGAGCGCAATTCTTGCATTTGCGTTTCTAACGGCGGGACTCCTGGCCTTCCCTGCGCCTCCTCATTATTCTGTGGACCTGGACAAGCACCAGGAATACCAATGTGCACCATTACGGAAAGGTCTTCACCTGCTTCCTTGATTTTTTTTTTTGCTCTGGCAAAGGCTTTTGTGATTTGTCCTAGCAATTAGGATTTAATCGCCTTGGCTAAATCAATATGCAGTAGAGACACCAGGGTCACTTTTCCCAAGGCCCCGTGTCCACAACAAGCAACAGCCTTAGTCACGCTCTGTCCTGCAGTGGCTGTGGCCCGTCAATGCACTGCTCCCCAGCCCGGAAACATCGATCATGGCCGCCACCAGCTCGTTACAATTGTCTTGATTTTTTAATGAAGTTCATAATCAATTTGACCACCATACTCTTTTCCCAAAGTTAAAAACCTCTGGCCCATTCCACAGCCTCATGCCGTTCAGGCTTTCACAGGAGTTTCTTAACTGAGCAAGAAGTCTTCGAAAAGGTTTGTAACATAAATGTCTTCCCCAGGGCACCTGGGACGTCAACAGTGATCACAGCCGTCAGGTGACCCTGGAGGGGGGATGGGACAAGGGCGAGGGTGGCCGGTCCTTGTTCCTCGTGCACTCTGAGTGTTCGCCTCCCTTTCTCCACACCTAACAGGCAAGAACTATTTCCAGGAGCCTTTCCTGACAGGCAGGACAACAATAACTTATTTTTGTAAAAACTCCTCTTGTCCACAGTAGGCAGAGAATTAGGAAGAGGAAAAGGCTGGACTTCTGAGGTCCAGTGTGCTGGTGACCCCCTCGCTGTGGCTGCCACGTGAGGTGCAGGGAGCCATCTGTCCTCGGGAGGGCTTGTGCTCTGGCGCCGCCTGGCTCTTGCTGGTCATTCCTCACCCAGAATGAAGCCGTTCCAATGCACAAGGCGATACACAAGGTGCCCTCCTTCCTCAACTTGACAAACGGTTCTTAGTGAATTGCTCAGACTGCTTTGCATAATCACATATACATGGAATCAGTGAAATACCCACCCAGGACACTTTTGCAGAACCAGAGGTACAAAAATGTGTGTCCGTTCCCCAAGGGGGGAGGTGTCATTGATGTGTAGGGATTCGGCCATAAGGACAGAAATGAACTGTACTTCTGAAGAATTATGAAAACTCCAATGCAGCTAGCACTTCCCATCAGCCATGAAAAGTGACCGGCCGTTAAGGGCAACACTCGGTGGTAACACCCCAGGCCCATGTTCTAAAAATGACAGTCCAGCAATACAAGTACAGCTTGAATATGACCCGCGACTGCCTTCAAAACAACAGCAAACTCACCGACTTCTGCCGCAGGGCACCACTGAAACAGAACACCCCAGGCAGTTTCAAGACAGAAGAACCAGACAAACACAGAAGCAGAAGCATGTTGGCATTAGATTGGCGGGCCTCTGGCTCGAAGGTCAAAACTACCACGGGAGGCACACAGTTCAGGAGAGCAAGACACAAATAGGAAAAACACAGAAACCTCCCATCGCAGGCTCCGAGGGACTCGGCCCCGACACCCTGTACCGGAACGGACCGATCTGCAGAGTGAAGGAACTCCGGGAGGCAGGGAAGCGGAGGGCTTTGGAGGACTCAGAACCAGTTCTGCAGACACCAGCAAGTGCCTGAGGCACCGATTTACTGCCGAGCTTGGCTGAAAGCCCTCATCACACAGTGTCCTGGAGCAATTGGTCCAAAACGGGTCTTTGCAATGGCTGGTGATTCGTGGTCAGAAAGCGGCCGCCAGAGACTTGCCAAGGGACCAGTCACCGTCCATCCAAACAGCGCAGGAGGGAAGTTACCATTTTGAGTGAGGTCACCGAGCACACGGCTGTTCATTGCATTTCTGTTAATACTTTTTTACTGCTCATCATTTATTTGCCAAGCACCCACCAAGTGATGCTGTGGGCACAGCACTGATCAACTACAACTCATCCAACTTCTGCACATGGCCTGGTGTGACGCTGCGTGGAAAGGAAGGCGGTCCACCCCTCTCCCCCATCGGAAGCACACCCGCGTTCCTTGGCCTGACGCAGAGGATCGCTGTCGACTGGGCAGTTATTTGGAAAAGGAAACCTTGGCCCCAAGATGGCAAGACCCAGGGGGAGCGTGTCGTGGGCATGAATCAGGACAGGTTTCAGAAAAGGGAACCGTGAGGAAGACAGGCAGGTCATAACCCACTGAATGAGAAAGTCAGCTTTGCCCAAAGTGGCTGCTGTTTGGCTTTTTGGGGGGGGGTTGCTAAAGGTCCCAGCCCTCACCTGAGCACGGCGGTCCCGGAGCCGCAGTCAAAGCGGAACTCCACGTGGCCGCCTGCCATGTTGAGCGACAGGAAGTCCTTGCTGCCCGTGTCGTAGCTGTACAGGAGGACGCCGTCGCCCGAGTCCGGTCGGAACGTGATCTCGAACTCCATGAAGGAAAGGTAGTATCGGGGCTCCAGGGGCCAGGGCGTGGCAGCGTAGGAGCGCAGGGACTCTCTGAACTGAGGGACGGTCAAGGTGAAAGCTAGAGAGACAGGCAGAGCATTAGGAATCCCTCCGGGGCACAATGAGCCATGCACGTTTCTCTGGGCACGGGGTTCAACTCTGTCCTCAGCTGTCCGCCGTGGGGGGGTCTAACTGAGTCCGGGCCAGTGGGATGTGGCGGGGAAGGCTGGACGGCACCCGGGCCTGGCCCCTAGGACTCCCTCCACCTCCTGCATTCTCACCTCTCTCGCCTGCTGGCAGATGCAGGGATCAGTGGGGGCCTCTGAAGCCCCCGTGGAGCCCCCTGAAGGCAGGGGCCTGTGTCCCTGAAAAGGCCACCTGGGGGGGGGGGCCGGCACCAGCACCTCCACCGACCTGCAGTATGTGTGACATGAGCCAGGGTCTACCTTTGTCACGTCAGGCTCTGACAACAGAGACCGCACGGACAGCCCCGACTCGGTCTGACACACAGGCCGGTCCCCTCCTCTACGAGCCGTGACATTTCACGTTCTACAGTGAAAAGTTCCTCCAGGAGGTGTCTGAGGTCCAAATCCGAATCGCTGGTGGAGAAGTCAAAGCACGTGCGACTCTGCATGGTTTTCCAAAAGTTCCCGTATCCTGTGTGTGCCTGTGTTTCCATGCATGTGTCCACAGGTGAGTGGGCGTGATTGATGTGTGTGATCAGTATGTGCGGCAGTGAAATTCGGCAGAAAAGTGCAAAGAAAGGGAAACGAGACCCCTCCGCCCATCCCACTGTTGATGTGATACACGCCTTCCCGGCCTTGCTCTGGGACCGTCAACGCTTCCGTGCAGCCTGACATGGGCCCCGAAACTACAGGCTCTTCCGAGTTATCTGTGGGCCAAGAGGAGCCCACCAAGGCCTGGCCGGGAAGGTTTGGTTTGACACTTACACCTGAGGACACGCCAACCCAGCAAAAAAAGGAGAAAGATTCTCCCGAGCTCCCCAAGAAAGCAATGTTACTCCCGTAAACATGGACGGGGCTTTGCGTCGACTTGCAGAGAGAAATGCCATCCGCTGGCGCCTCCTCACCCTCTTCGCAGTGTCGGCCTTTAAACCCGAGGGGACATAGGCAGATGTAAGAGTCAGCCCTGACCGCTGCGCAGGTGCCGCCGTTGACGCACGAGGTCTCGTCACAGATCCCACTGCTGCACTCGCCTGAGACGGAACGGAGACACACAGGGACCCGTCACTGAGCCGGTCCCAGACAGCAGGGCTGGCCGTGCCGACCGCTCACGGCTCGGAACACACACACACCTCAGTCCCCGCCCCTGCTGACGTGCACCTCAGTCCGCACGACTGCAAACCGGCCCCCAGGGTAAGTGGGACCGGCCCTTCCTTTCAACCAGATTCTGGCTTCTTCCTTCTGAACAGACACTGAGACTCTCTGAGACGTGGTGGACACAATGAATTACATGACCGATCTGGGGACAACTTTATGACCACTGATGGGGACGTCTGAGTCATTTCTGCTTTAATTCACCTCTCTGGTGTGCCCATAAGAGTGGGTTTCAATACCTCCAATGTCCACATGGTATGCAGGAAAAAGTTCTAACTCGCGTGGCCCCAGTGCCTCCTGTGGATGGAGAATCGAGGCGACTGAGACAAGCACTGAAGGGGTTAAGCAGCTGCATCTAAGCTCATTAACTGGCTGAGTCAGGCACTCCTGGGTCTGGAGCAGGGAGGTGGGCAGGAGGGAGCACTCTGTAAGACCTCAGCGAGTGGCCACAGGATCCCTATTTCCACCTCAAAGGTGTGATCTCGTGAGGGAGAGAAGGGTCACCACAAGCAGAGTGGCTGAAGGTCTGACATCAGAGGGGTGGGCTGGTGCATTGAACCAGGGAGATCACATATGCGGGACGCCCCTAGACAATACCCTTGGTCATATTCAAGTGCAGATCACCAGACGTCATGAAAACAAATTTTCCAGAGGACTGCTTCTTCAATCTTCCTTTTCTCCTTGTGTATAAGAAATAAATAAGACAGGCGGACCAGACCACAGAGGTGACCACAAAATACTTTTGGGGGCAATGGAGGGAAGGGGGTACAGCCTGATGGAGCCGGGAGGGTCCAGCTCTGTGCCTGGCGGTCTCCCAGGATCCATGCTGCACCTGTGTGGGGTGGGGCCACCCCTGTGAGAGGACGGGCCCTCCGTGGCCCGATTGCGTCCTCTCCGAAGGGCGAGGCTTTTATCCTTTCCTCGTGGGTCATCTGTATTCGCTGGACTGATGTGGTTTTTCCCTTTTGTAAAGCCTCACTGGGCAGTGGGGGAAGGGCTGGGGGCAACTGTGCAGCCAGGAGAGCGGACGGACATCAGGGGCTGACCACGAACTTAATGAAAGCCCTTCCAGGTGGCCTACCACTCTAGCAGGGTGGGCTGGCCTCTGGGAATTCCAGCTGGGGGGCCGCTGGACATGCGGGCAGAAGTGACCACTGGCCTGTTCAGCCACAGCATCCACAGGTTCCAGACAGGCTGACTTTGACCTTGAGAACCCAACTGCCCACACTCTAATTTCTGTGGGCTGAGAGTCTTTCTACGAGAAGGGCTGGGCCCACAGGAAGAAGTGAGGCCCTTGGGTTATCTTGGATACATGTGGAAAATGCTGTTTTACACATTTGCACTGTAGCTATTTTTAAGAGGTGGGGTGAGATGGGGGCGCAGCCAGAGGTACTGAGGGTGGAAGCAGCGTCGCAGCCACTTTGCTCTGGCAGTGGAATGCAAGCAGGGTGACTGCGAGCCGTGGGGCAGGAGGGAGGAAAGAAGTCCCCCAGGAGGGAAAGAGGGCAGGATGGCCGGTGGCAGAGCAAATGGAGAGAAAGGACGGAATCCAAGGGACACGGGGAAGGAGGAAACAGCCGCTCCTCCCAGAATCGGGCCTCAGGGTTGCCGGTTTGCAGAGGACAGGAGCTTGGCAAGAGGAAAGGCTTGAGAGAGGGAGCTGGGAGCAGAGGAGTGGGCTTTTGCTCAGCTGACACCTCTGGTGACTGAGGGGGTCTGCACACAATGTGGGGGTGACCCTGACACCAAGAACGAATGGGCCTGGGAGAGAGGACGGGATGAAAGGGTCCACGGGGCTCCCAGGGAACCGCAGAAAGTGAGAAGACAGAGGGAGACCCAGACGGGGCAGGTTCGCAGAGCTCAGGGAGCAGCTTCGCTGGGCAGTGGGAGGCAGAAGCCCCCGGGACAGCAGGCCAGACGGGGCCTGGGAGGGTTGCTGGAGTCAGGTTTTGAAAGAAAGGAGCGTGGTCCCCAGGGTCCCCAAACCAGAAGGGTGGCAGGGCGGTGCGGGTGTGGTGCTGGTTTGAGCTGCAGGGGACCTGAGTTGGTGTGAATAATCAAGAGCAGGTCTGTGGACCCAGGTGGGAAAGCAGTCATCTCTGTTTTCCCTCCCTTCCAGCTGGATTTGAGGTCTTCCCTCAATGACAGACGTAGACAACAAACCTCCGCTGGTAGCCGTCCTTGCGACTTGGAACCCACGGACCTGACTTATTGCCATGTCTATCTCATTTATTGCAGCGATCTCAAAAGATCACCTGTGCTGCTGACTATCTCAAAATCACGTCATTATTGCCACCATGTTCTTTAATATTTTATAGAGTGGCCCATGTATTACTATTAATATCAAAAATTTAAAATACTGTATAGCTTTAGTTTAATATGCTTGTTTCCTATCACATATATTATTCTCTGCATTTCAAAAGCACCACTCTGAGAAGAGGCCCAGAGCCCCCCCCCCATGGCCAAAGGGGCCCGTGGCACAGAAAGGCTAAGAGCCCTTGGTCATCGAGAAGAGGGAGTCCTGGCAGAAGGTCCCAGGCACTCGAGGTAGTTTGGGTGTGGAGTGTAGACGAATAGGTTAGTTTTAGTCAGGAGAAAAACTTTCAAACCTGAGAGTGAAAGGAAGGAGGTGCGAGATCTTGCACATGGAGAGTGGGCAGGAGCTCGCCATCAATGTACAAACAATGTACAATCGGCCCCAGCACCTACCACAGACCGGCTGCAGTGGAGGTTTGTGCAAGATAATGAAGTGAGGGTCAGAGGAGGCACCGGGCTCCCTCGGAGGGGACAGAAGGTGGGACATTGGGGGGGGGTGCATTAAGGTAACATGGACAAAGAGCTGCCTCCCTGTCCCCACCCCCCAATCCAGCCCAGTAACTGAGGTTTGTCTGTTCCTTCTCCTGAAAATCTGTCGAATTTGCCAGCACTGCCCCGCTGGGGCACACCACCATCAGCTCCGGACTGGACCTGCTGCAACAGCCTCCACTGGCCCCCACTGACCACGCCCTCCCACGGGCTGTCTGCAGGCAGAGGGGCCGCTTCAGAACACGCGAGGTCGTGGTACCCGCCTCTCCCCCCCGCTCCCTGGGACAAGCCCTGGCCTCTGCCTGGAACACACCTCCCTCTTCACTATTTTCAAACTCCCACTCTGGCTTCAGACGTTGCGGTCCCGCTGCATCCCCAGAAGGGCACTCCCTGACCCGCAGGCCTTGAAAGCTCCCCCTGGTCGCACTGTCCTTGCTCCTGTGCATCCCTTACCCCAGATTCATGTTTACTGGTACGGCTGCTGATTCATTTGTTCTGTCCTCATGGCCGCCACACCAGGGCTGCACCGGGACCCTCCTCTTGTTCTTGCCTTTATCCCCAGCGCTCAGCATTGTGCCTGGCACCGAGCAGGTGCACAGAGAAACACGCAGTAATGTAAACAGAAGTGAGTAAGAGTGACACACCACAGCGAGACTCAGGGCCACCGCAGACCTCTGGAGTCCCACACAACTTGGGAAGCTGGCTCTGGAGGGTGTGGCGAGGCCAGACAGGACTGGAAAAAATGAGTGGTGGTGGTTTAGGTTTGAGAATTTGGGTGGAAATAAGAAAAGGCTAGGCCAGAGAATGTAAATTTTTGCTAGGATCTCCGACTGTTACAGAATGTGAATGCCGAAAGTCCAGTAATGGGGGGCAATCTCATGGAGGAGATGAAGCGGGGTGGGGGGACAGACAGTGAAGAGCCCCTGTGAGGGGTGGAAGCTAGTTTATGAGGGTGGGGAGGTGGACAGAGGAAAAGCTGTGGTTGCCAGCGACACTGTCAAGTTGGAGGTATCAGATGGAAGCCTGTGACCCCACAGATGCTGTCACCTCTGCCGGAAGCCTATATGGTGTCTCCACCAGAAGCTCAGTCTTCCCCCTGAAACTGCATGGAACTCACAAGAACTTGAACTTCAGGACTAACTCAAAGTAAAGCGAGTACAGAGGTGGAAGAGACGACCAGCCCCATTCCTATGCCCCAGCGGGGACAATGGGAAGAACTGAAAGCAGGCAATGTGACCGATGCCTGCCATTTGGGTTCAGGGAGAGAAGTAAAATAATCCTGCAGAAGCCCAGACCCAGCCAGGTGAGCGCCTGGTACGTCTGCTCAGTGAGGAGGCTGGAATCACACTGTGTGAAAATTTAAAATGCCGTCAGAAGTGGGTCCTTGCTTAACTTAACTGACTGCCAGAGGTTGCCACGCAGGCTCAGCGCTACCAGAGTGTCTCTGCCAGGTCACGAAGGGAGAGGAAACGTCACCCCTGCTCGGTGGGTGGAGTGAGAATATCAGTACCGGGCAATATTTAGAACATGTCCACTATGTGGGAGGCATTATCCCAGGACTTTATATGCAGGCAGCACCATTCACCTGGACAGAATCATCTTGTGAGGTAGCTCCTGTTCACAGATGGGGAAACGGAGTCCCAGAGAGGCTGACTGAGTGGCCAGAGCCAGGCCATCCGCCTCAGAGTCTAGGCTCTTAAACAGCGCAGGAGACTCCCGATGTCCTGCTGCTTCTCACGTCCTCTTTCTTATCCTCACAGAGGACACACGTATTGACTTTAGAGAGCAGGGAAGGGAGGCAGAGAGAGAAGGAGAGAAACATCGACTGGTTGCCTCATACACCCCAACCGGGGACCAAACCTGCAACCCAGGCATGTGCCCTGACTGGGAATTGAACCGACGACCTTTCCATGTACAGGATGATGCTCCAACTGACTGAGCCACACCAGCCAGGGCCGCTTCTCATGTTCTGATCATCCCGGATACCCAGGAAGAGGGATTTGGAAGACACCGTCCCACCACAGTGGGAGCTTCCTCATCGTTTTGGTGACCGCTGTCTGTTGTCCCGTTTCAGTGATCGGCTGGGGAAAAATACCATAGAGTATAACAAGCGATGCAAAACTGACCTGGGAATAGCAATTCTTCCTTTGAAGTAAACTCCATGTTTTGGAGTTTCGACAATGGTATGATCTCTGGGAGTGAGCAGGGTGGAGGGGAGCAACTGGAAGCCTGTCTGGAACCCCTCGATGTGGCGTGTGTGGTAAGAGGGCCGCACTGGAGCCGGAACAGCTGAGGCCACACTCAGGCTCCACCGCCTACCGGCTGTGTGACGCTGGGCAAGTGACCTGACTGTGCCACCGGCTCTCATTAGCTAGGGCTAATCACAGCACCTCATGCAAAAGCATCGGAAAGATCAAAGTAGTTCAGAATGGTGTCTACACCTAGTAAATGCTCGGCTGACATGGGCTACAAAACAAACAGAACGCACTGTACCCGGAGACGGGAGGAGTGGCCAGCACGCTGACAGTGGAGTCTGGGCAGCATTCACCGGACACTCTACCCACACAGCACCCGGCAGGGGGAGGGAAAAGAGACTCAAGAAAGGGACTTGCCATTGCTTGCTAAGGACAATGTCGTGTGAGGAGGTGGTGCCCAGAGATGCGGCACCACGGTGGGATGAGGAGTCAGAGCAAGGGGGCCACCGAGACACCAGCCCGGAGCTCCGAGACCTCTGAGGCGCCGTTCTGGACTGAACTGTCTCCCCGAATCCAGAGCGTGGAGCTCGGACGCCCCGCGTGCCTGGATTTGGAGAGGGGGCCCTTGGGGGGATAAAGGTTAAATGAAGTCACACAGGGGGGCCCGAATGCAACCTGAGTGTGTCCTTAAAGAAAGAGGACGAGACAGCAGGAATGGGAGCACAGACATGCGGCCACGGGCAGACGCGGTGGGAAGATGCCACCTGCAGGCCCAGGAGAAACCAAACCTCCGGCACCTTGAGCTTGCCCTTCTGGCCTCCAGGACTGGGAGAAAATAATTCTTTCCATTGTTTAAAACACCCAGTTGGTGGTATTTTGCTAAGGCAGCCCTAGAAGGTGAAAACAGTCACTTAATTAACCAACCTCAGAATTATCTATCAAGGGCCTTCGGTGATAGAATAAATGTGTTTATTGTCTGCAAAACAATCCTAATCTTTTCAACAAATAACGCTGGAACAACTGGACAGCCACATGCAAGGGAAAAAAAGAGAAAGAAAACAGATACAGATCTTATGCCCTTCACAGAAATTAACTCAAAATGGATCACAGACCTAAATGTAAAATGTAAAATTATAAACCCCTAGAAGATAAAACTAGGCACAAACCTCAGTGACCTTGGGTGTGCGGGTAATTTTTTAGACACAACACCAATGGCACAACCCATGAAACAAATAATTGATAAGCTGGACTTGGTTACAATTAAACATTTCTAATCTGCAAGAACAGTGTCAAGAGAATGAGAGGACAAGCCGCAGACTGGGAGAGAATATTTGCAAGAGACAGCTCATAAAGGACTATCTTCCAGCACCTACAAAGAACTCTTAAAACTCAACAACTAAAAAACCCAGCTGAAAAATGGACTAAAGACCTTACCAGATACCTCAACAAAGAAGATAAACGGGTGGCAAATAAACATATGAAAAGATGCTCCACTACATATGTTGTCAGGGAAATGCAACTTTCAAGACACCCTCACACCTTTTACTACAAAGGCCAAAATCTGCAACTCTGACACCACCAAGTGCTGGCAAGGACGTCGTGGGACAGCAGGGACCCTCCTTCATTCCCGGGGGCGTACAGAATGGGGCAGCCGCTCTCGAGGACAGTCTGACTGCTTCTTACAAGACTAAACATACTCTACCGTGATCGAATAATCACTCTGTGGTATTTATCCAACGAGTTCAAAACTATGCCCACCCCCAAAAGTAGATGTTTATAGCAGCTTTATTCATAATTGACAAAAATTGGAAGCAACTAAGCTGTCCTTCAAGAGATAAATGGATAAACTGTGGTCTATTCAAACTACAGGATGTTATTCGGCACTAAAAAGAAATGAGCTATGAAGCCATGACTCACTGAAAGAAGCCAGTCCGGGAAGGCTACGTACCATACGATTCCACTGACATGGCATTCTGAGAAAGGCAACACTACAGAGAATACACAAAGATCAATGGTTGTCGGGGGCTGGCGGGGGGGAGGAGAGGGATGAACAGGCAGAGCACGGAGGACTTTCAGGGCAGTGAAAATACTCTATATGACACCATAATATTGAATATACATTGTCATACATTTGTCCAACCCACAGAATGTACAGCCCCGTGAGTGAACCCTAATGGAAATGATGGACTTCGAGTGACAATGACGTGTCAGTTCAGGTTCATCAGCTGTAACAAACGAGGTGCTCTGGTGGGGGGTGTTGGTAATGGGGGAGGTTGTGCCTGGGGGAGGGAGGGGGGAGGGCGTAGGTGAGAAATGCACGTACCTTCCCTCAGTTACGATGTGAACCTTAAACTTCTCAAAAAATAACATCTTAATTTAAAACAAAAACAAAAAGAAAAAGAAAAAAAAACAACCCTAGCCCACTATTTTGGATAAATCACTAACTTCTATGAGCCCCGGTTTCTTCATGTATAAAACAGGTGTAGTAATAATTTTTGCCTCCTAGATTTGAATGTGAGGAGTGAGCGAGCGAGCCCACGAGAAAGTGCTGGGCACGGCGGTCGGGATCAGAACTGACCGTCGCCCTCGGCCCCCGAGAGCAGGTGGGCCGTCTCCTCCCATCGCTGTGCTGGCTGTTCCACGGGGCGGGCGAGCCGCACGCTGCGCAGTCCGACAAGACCACGCCACCCCCCGTGAAGAGGGCCAAGGGGCAGTAGTGTGCAGGCCAGGGCTGTGCAGCGTGTTGCTTACATGTGTTGGGGTTCAGACACAGGGTCTGCAGAGCACCCACCTCCCCCCCAGGGCCCCCGCTTTCTCCCTGCTGTTCTGCAGCCGTGGAGGGCGGCCGCACCGGAGCCGCTCCCTTCCAGCCCCACACAGAAGAGGCTTCTCCCGAGAGCACCCCAGCCCGCCAGGCACCCACTTACCCACGTCGGCCCCGCTGAGCGCCTTCCCCACCGGCCAGGGCCTCATGTCCACTCTCTCCCCATTCACCGAGAGCGACTGCACACAGCCCTGAAAGCCGTGGCTGGTTCCGGTGGCTCTGACCAACCAGTAGGTACTGGGAGCCCCACCAAGATACAGAGGCGTCCGGAAGGTGATTTTACTGTAGTGGCCCTTTAAGAAAGAGGAAAACGGTGATTCACGAAACAAAACCAAAAGTCGAAAATGCAACCGACTGACATGATTAGGATGTAGTTTACGCCCATCCGTACATATCTTTCAGACTTCACCCCTTAGCAACATTCAACCCACGGTCACCATAGGAAACTCGGGGAGCTTCTCAGGGGGTTGTTTGGAGAAAGGACGATTTCGGAACGCCTAGAAGGGCAGGGAGGGAAGGGCAGGGCCCAGAGCGACCCGACCGGCAGTGGACCACGCTGAGCATCCAAAACAAACTTTCTTTTTCCAGTCCTCACACCAATTTACTGTGTACCTTGGATGGGTCACAGAGCTACACTGTGTTTCCAAAGGTGATAATACTAATGTAGTGTATACACGAGCTAACATTTACCCTCTCTCCGTCCTCATCACCTCCGCACTACGTCCTGCAAGAAATATCTGGGCTGGGGGGAAGATTACTAAACAGACTTTATTGCAAAATATTTAGAAATTTGCTTATGGACACAGCTTTTTTTTTAAGTGTCATTACAGTTAGGTGGAGACATTTCCAGTCAGAGAGCAGACCACAACCTGGATTGCAGGTCTTGAGGTTATAAAACACAGAGCGGAGCAGTTGGTGGGATAAAATTAAGCAGCCCTCGGTCATCTGTGTTTTGGTTATGGAAATACCGCATTCATTTGGGTTAACAGCTATAAAGAAGAATGCTGGGAAAAGGCACGCCGCCAGACTTATAAAATGGCCAGAAGTCAAGCCACTGAAGGTAATCTTTATTTTTTACACTTCTGTTACCAAAAAGTAGAGCCTGTCGTCATCCCTCTATCTCAGCTACTGAACAGGTGAGACTCCTGCGTAGATGGCACAGTGGCTATGAGCCGGGCAGGTGTTAAGTGCACACGGTGAATTTGAAGGACTGTCTGCCAGCCACTGGCACCCTGCATGTGTTACACTATTGGAGTGCCCCACTGGTGCGCTTCCCCAACATCCTCAGAATTCACGGGCCCGGTTCCCTGATCCTGGACCAGGGCAGGGGCCCAACCGCTCAATCCTTTCCTCCTGTTCTAGAGCATCACTGTGGGTACCTGGTCCCTCTGAGGCTCGCTTCACAACATCCCAGGCCATAGCCTTTGAGCCTGGCCTGTACCTTCCTCTGATGAGGGCCGCCTTCAGGTCCCTGGAGATGCGCTTTGCCTGCTATGCAGAGAACTGGACCTGCCCCAGAGTTTGCATTCCCCCAGCACACCCTTACCAGTTTTTAAGGAGTGCAGAAGTATGAAAATCCAATTCACTTGCTTTGGGCTGCAGTTCCTCAGAGCTGTAACGTATACTCAAGCTCCCCGGTGGGCTGCGGCAGAAGCCAGACCCTGAAGGACTCTGCCCAGGACCTCACTCACACTGCCTTCAGTCCTGCCCTGTCCATCGCTCCCCTCCCTTACCGGTCTCCTGTGATGGCCCCTCCCTACGCATCATCTGCACAAGACTCCTCATCTCACCAAGTCTGCTTCTGGGGAACCCCAACTTAAGACAGAGTCACTTTCTCCCCAAACAGCTGATTAAACATTCCACATCTGAGGTCCTGTTTACGAAACTTGCTTAGCAAGTCCTGGGAGTAGGGAGACAAACGTTGCCTGAGTATCCATAAAAGCAAATGTTGGGAACTGCCTTGCCTGGGGCAAAGCTCCCCCACAATTATATCCTTCTTACAATTAATTTTTATGTTCCTTAAAGTCACAGACTCTTAGAATTAGAAAAAAATATAAAAACTCTTTAACCCAAGCTCCCATTTAATGCTGGATTTCTGCAACATCGCTACCGAAAGGCTTTGGTAAGTTACTTTCCGAGCAGCCGCGAGGGCAGGGCGCCATCCCTGAGACAGGCTGCGGAAGCGCTGCACACCTTCGCGTGGGTGGGCAGAGCTGACAGCGGCTCCCCCGGTTCAGCTTCCGCCTTGGGATCCACAGAGGAAGTCCTTCCGCCCCAACACTCTCCCTTTGACTCTGATGAAAAGCCACCATCCACACCTTCATCCTCGCTCCTCCGATCTAAGCCATGCTCCTTCAATCCATCTTCCCAGGGATTTCCAGTCATCTTCTTGATGACATCTTCAAGCAGCTTCACTGGCTGCTCTACAGACAGGCTCCAGTTAGTCCATATCCCTCCTACACTGCAATCACAGATCTGAATACAAGCCTCTTAGGGGACCAAGGTGGCCACTAGAGGTCTGGAAGCTGTACACACAGTCACCAGAATAAAACAGGATTTCCTCCTCCCTTTTCCTAGATGGCATGGCTCTATTAATGCAATCTGTAATTTCTTCAGCTTGTTGTTACCACATGGCTCCATTTATTAACCTACATTGAACTTCCTTGCTTTAAACCTTAAGACATTTCACAGGTGTTGCTTCTATTATAGGTTCTTCAACCTGTTTTCACGTTAGTATTTCTGGACCCAGGGTCAAAGCTTCTTTATTCCTATTGAATTGAATTTTAGTCATATTGTTCCTGTTGTTCTGGCACAGGTGTACTCTAGTTCATTTACTCTCTTTTCCTTCCTTATAAACAAGTGACCTCACTGGATTCACATTTATTAGATTTGGATTCTGATTCCTTTGGAACCACTGGGGTCTGAATTAACGGGACACAGCAAGGCACAGCCCTTTGTACAGCGCGTGTCTTGCAGTGAAGAGCCCAGGCAGGGGGAAGCTATCTACGTACACACAAAGGCTTTCTTGCTACATTTTTCCTCAGAGAACACAGACACCTGACTGATTATAATTACAGGCTCATTTCCTTGGCGGGTTGCTAACCCAAACTGCTTATTCCAAACACAATCCTAAAATTGCCCCAAGCATGACAAATATATGAATACCTAGGTGATTTGCTGAGCAGCCCAACGGTTAAATTGTTTTACCGCTCCCTATAATCATGGTCCCGAAAGGACAGATGAGTGGTGTATTCCTGCACACTGAACCAAGTGAACCTCTCTGGACCACCTTCCAAAGCCACAGGATTGCAACATCCTCATCTTAAAAGCCAGCTTGGAGGCTGGCACCAGTGCCGCTTTTTCCTCCAGCCCTGGCTTTCCTGCCCTCAGGCCCCCACCGCGACGATGTCTGCACACTCAGCTCTCCCTCTGGGACGAACCCGTGTCCCGAAGGCCCTCCTCCGGCAGGAGTGCACCAGAGCTCGGCTGCAGGGGGTCACCACGAAAAATGGCCCATCCAGAGCTCGGGTCCTGCCAGTTCCTGCTCTCGGATGCGTACAGCGGGTGCTGGCCGGGTGGGCGGAGAGGCAGGCGCGCACTCACCTGGGACTGGCCGGTCACCGGGGTGTTGTTGTTCAGCTGCAGCAGCCCATTCAGCCCATCTCTGTAGAGCGTCACCATATGCCAGCCCCCCAGTTTGATTTTGGTCTCGCTTTCGATGATGGCGACCCCGGTTCCACAATTAAACCTGTGGAGGAGGAAAAGGAAAGGAAGGATCTTTGATCAACCAGCTCAGTGGGTTTTCAGACCCCACGGACGTCACTTTCAGGGTGACGGCCTCCTCCAGGGTCACAGGTATCAAGGGCAGGTTACAAGGATGCATGGAAGGACTAGAAGCCTATTCTCTGGGAGGACATCAGTCTACTCATCTTGCACCTGCCCATAGAACCATTCAGTGTGGGGCTTTAACACAATTTTCCCCTCAGCTTAGAAACCAATGGGCAGCTGAGCACTTCCTTATCCTCCTCGGAGGTTACCAGATGCGAAGTCGATTCCAGGTGCAGCAAATCAGAACCCGAGTCATTCTGCTTCCAGGGATTTCTCGGGGGACGTCCCCCAGCTTCCAAATGGCAGGCTCAGTGTCACGAATGAAATGTAAAAAAGGACAGTGCTCGGAGCGGTCACTGTGCCTGACATCTCAAATTTTGATCCTTCCGGGTCAACTTCCAAACAGCCACCATGTCACTTCCCAGTGGGTCCTGAGGCTGCCCGTGGGGAGGGAGGCATGGCTGGCATCATCCTGGTCAGGACTTGAACTAACCTCAGCCCACTCTCAAGGTCTCTCTCTGTCTTGCGATCCTCAGTGGAGGGAAAAGAGGTGGAGAGGCACTGTGGGGACATACGGGGACCACTCAGCAGGAGCTGCAGAGCTGGGGCTGCTCGCTACTGGCTGTAACTGCCGGTGCCACCAGAGTCCCTCGGATCCCCGTGTTAGAGCCCCGGCAGGTCCAAACCAATGCCTCGGTCCTGGTGGCTGATATCCAACTCCCAGGAGCCCAGGAAGCAGGGCCATTTCCTACCCCAAGTGGGATGCTCAACGGTCTTCTCCAACAAAACCAAATATACTTTTTCGTGCTGAAATACTCAAAGACAATAATGGCTGACGCTGAGAGCTTGCTACGGGTCGGGCGCTGCCTGGAGCACCATGCACAGCACCCCACTGAACCTTCACAACAGCCCTCTGGGGTCCTCAAGGGGGAAACGCAGCCTTGGAGAGGGTGTCGTTGGCGGAGGGTCTGGCAGCGGTGCAGTCAGGATCTTAACCAGCGGGCTCTGGAGAAGGACGAGGCTGATCCTCTCTGGCTGCTCTCAAATAGGTGCCATGCACACCTTCATGAAGGCGCTTAAAGCACTCACCCCGCTGCTGAACTCTGCCCGCAGGAAACCGTGCCCAAACTCAAGGCGGCTTCCAAAGCGCTTTGGGAGAGACCTGACCAGGGCAGAGGACGTGAGCCAAGAGCCACCGCATCAGCCCTGAGGGAAGATGAGGGAACCCTTGGAGGCTGTGGCTCCTCTCTGCCCTCCATGGCCGTCAGTCGTACTGACCACAGGGGACAAGGAGAAGGTGCCAGTCTTTGTCCCATCACATCCACAGGGTTCCAGGGGAGAAGGGGCTTCGCCCCCGCGGCTCACGACCACACCGCCAGAGCCTACAGCAGTGCCAGGGCACTGTGGGCGCTCCGGAAACACTTGCTGGTGAAGGAATGAATGAATGAACCTGGTCACCAGGCTCCAGACGTGGCAAAGATCCCCCTGCAACCCTGAAACTCCAGTGTTTGGTAAACTGGTCCATGCACCTCACACACACTGTTCTTCATCTACAGGAACCCACGCTGCACTTATTCCAGTCACACTATGAAACGTACCATATTTTGCCATACATAACACACACTACCCAAATTTTTTAGGGAAAGGTAAGGATGTGCACTATACATAGGTATAATGAATACACACCATGGGGACAATAATGGGGACAATAATCCCATCGATAAATTGATAATGCACACAACACATGGGTGTGCATTAGCCACAGCAAAATATGGTAAATATAACACAGGGGGGTGTGAAGAAACCTGTGGGCCTTTGGCAGGAGTCACCTGAACTGCAGGGAGCGTCGGATGATGGCCAGGGACATGAAGTCGCCCCTCTCGTGTTCGTTCTCCCCACAGTAGAGCAGTAAGCCATCCTCCGCCTCGGCCTGCGGGACACACAGAAGCCACAGGAACGATGAGCTCGTCCTGGTCCGCGAAGCGACACCGGGAAACACTCCTGAGTATGAGACTTGAGTGTTCCCCTCGGTGGCCCTATTCACGGAGGGACAAGCAGGTGGGCTCCAGGGAATGAATCCCCAGGTGCCCGCTCACAGTTCAGTTCCAGCACACCGCTGACAGTGAGCGGCACAAACTGCGAGGGACGGCAGGGAGGCGATGGAGGAGGGCACCTCATTTCGACCTGCTCTTTTCCTGGCACTGTGGGTCCACCAGCAGAGCCTCAGGAAAACCAGGGCACCAAGACCAGGGCGACAGAAGGCTGCTCTTGGTTAGCTCATCAGTTCTGTTCTCACCAGAGAGCATCCTACGGTCTTCCTTTTTTTTTTTACTTCCCTCCGAGAAGCGTGCACATTTCTTTCTTTCCTTCTACCAGGGGAACAGAGCAGTAACAACAGCCCTCAACACCCTGGTTTGGTTTTCCCCCAGGCGGGCTATTCTAGGCTGCGACAGATCGTCTTGTGGACAATCAACATCACGACCATGACCTCAAAGGGGACTTGTTTCCAGATCTCCAGACATTTGCACATTGTCTGTGCGGCCCAAAGGAGTCACTGTAAGTGAGCTGGGGCTGCTGCCTGAGCTCTGAGCTGCAGAAGATCAGAGCAGAGGGCACCACCTGGGCCTCACTCTGTGCCAGGCTGTGTGTTTTAGTTCTTATTCAGTTACAGCCACTGCAACGACAGCCAATGTCTGGGCTCCTTTAGCAGGGGTTTGGGGATGAGAATGCATTGTGCCTTCTCACATCCTGGCCAGGGAGGAGTCACTTCTATGAGCAACGTGGCTAGGACCCAAACATCCTCTCCGGGAAGCTTCAGGCCAGCCACTGCCGCTGTTCAACAACATGCAGAGCCCACCCGCCCCTCACTGGTGCCCCTGAACATGTGAACGGGCCCGTCGTCCTTGCTACCTGTGAACAGGTTTCAGGACAGGCTCTGTGTCATATTGACTTCCCTGCTTCCTCTCCCCCCTCCCCATTGTGATAGGATACCCAGAGGGTACTCATCAAACAACTAACCCTTCTTACCCGAAATTCAAGGGTAATGTGAAATGCCCGATGGGAGTTTTTCAAAGGTTCAAAGGTTACGTAAGAGTAGCCAAAGAACTGAGGGTACTGTATAGCGATATCTGAAAGAGAAAAAGACAACACAGAACAGGCCGGTTCCTCTCTTTAAATGCAAAACCCAACATGCACCGTTGCTTGGAGGTCGTTCACTGAAAAGCTCTGGTCTGTGAGACCTAGTTTCCTTTCTTCTTTTCTCTACTTTTCACCCCGTAATTCTCATTGTTGGAGACTTTGAGCTGCCGATGCTCTCAGGGAGAACCTGGACCTTTGGGGATTGTCACCTGCTCCCCGACAGAAACGGACGGCTGCAGGGTCACTGACCCCACTTCCCAGCCGTGCCCCTGTGCGATCTCAGTGGGCTCCGTCAGTGCCTCTCTCAACTTCCCTGCACCTATCTCGGCCGCAGTTCTCTCAGTAGAGATGTGACTACAGAACAGCCCACCCCCCAGGTGCCAGCAGGATGATTCTTAAGTGTACCAAAAGCATACACACGTGGCACACACACGTGGCACACACACGTGGCACACACAGAAATAGGGCTGCTCTCCAACAAGAAACGACGGGAGTGGCCTCATGGTTGCTCTGCCCAGCTCATTTAACGACACACACATGAAGAAGGGGCTTATCTTAGAGAAAGGGCTGGAAAGAGCCACAGGTGGGCAGCAGAAGTGCCCTTCTGGCTTCCAGTGGGGCCCGCCCAGCACCACGGTCTCCGCCACACCAAGGACCTACCTTCTGAGCAGCTCTCACCCCCTTTGCCCAGGTTGCAATGGCATCGAGATCGCCCCCTGGTGTAGGCATTGGCACAGAAACTGTCAATAGGGCAGAGAGTTTCATCGCAAGACATGTCGAAGAGCCTCGGCATCCTGGGCCCGCCGTTCAGGTCCTGTCTCTTCACTGGAGTGGGCTGGGGAGCCACCACCATCGTGGGGAGGGACGCTGGGGTCGGGGGCACGAGCTTAGAAACGGTTTTTGGGTCTGATCCTGGCACCATGTTGGGTTCCACCAATAATTTCTCATTCCCCCCTTTAATAGCAGGAAGTGGTTTCACCTAAAGCCAGAGAAAGAGGAACACAGAGCACCAGCATTAGACTGCCCTCTTGTGGTGGACGCCTGATTCTGGAATTCACGGTCACTTCCATGCATCCTACAAGCCCCTGGTGTAGATGGGGCAGGTAGTACTGACTCTTGTTTATGGATAAAGACCCTGAGGCTCAAGGATTTGAGAACTTTGCTTTGTGTTACTCAGAAGAGCAGTAGTAAAGCTGATATTATATGATTGACTATTACAATATCACAAAGATGGGATTTTCAAGGAATCGCTCATTTCCTTATAATACCTGACTCTGTCAAACCGTGCTTGGTGGGAAATCGCATTGTGTTTTCCCAGACTGTGAAGCAAGCAGGCAGAGCTGGCCCCAGAACATCAGCATGGCTGGTACTTAGTTACCACTAATTTATGATCAGCCAGAGCCTGTCAGAGGAAATAAATGTGTTAAAAGCAAATGAGCCGATTTAAGTCAGTTCTAAGTAAAATGCTCACAGTCCACTGGCCAAATTGCCTTGTTCGGCAAGAAAACAAAAGCACCCTGGGTTTTAAGAGCAGAGATTTCTGTTACCTCCTCAAAGAAAATATCCGAGTCCAAGTCGTCTTCAAAGCCGTCATCGTCATCATCATCCTCATCATCTTCACTGACGCCTGAGCCGGTTATGTAATGGGGTCCATAGTGGCCGCTTCCTGCCTCCTCGGGGCCTTTGCAGGGAAGAGAACCAAACACACTGCTGTGAACACACCCTCCAGCCCATCGTCTGTCCTGACCAGTCACCGACACTGCGCCCAGTGGGCTGGGGCGGACGGCCACACCAAGAATTCAATACAAGAGAGAGCATCAACACCTGCAAAGTATGAAAAGCGGTCCGTCTCGTACGTAATCCAAAAAATGCCAATTAAACCCAGAAGGGCTGCCCTTTCATCCCGACAAGATCAGCAAAAATGTCAGCAACAGAAAACATCACCAAGGATGGGCTCGATGGGGACTCACACATACCGATGTTAGGCATGCGCGTCCGCTCTGCAGGGCACTTGGAAATATTTATAAAGTAGAAAACGTTCACACCTACAGACCCAGCGACCTTACCCTAAATTACAACATCTAGGAAAACACACACCAGGAGATGCGCAAGACATGTTCATAGCCTTAGAATTTGTAACAGTGAAAAAGAGCTCAAATTTGCTATTTAGAATAGCAAGTAACACCCCATACACCTACCAACAGAGAACAGATAAAGGAACTGGAGTGTATCTATGGGGCGGAACACTATGGGTCAGGGAACTGAATGAATGAGCATTTAGCAATGCACCAACATGCCCCTAACCTTGTGTCACTTTGTGCCCAAATGCAAGTTGCCGATAAACACACCCAGTTTGATGCCATTTATTAAAAAAGTCAGCAGCAAGCAAAACTTAATATACTATTTAAAGATACATGTCTGTACAGTTTAAATGACTAAAAAAAGTCCATCAGTGACTAAAATACCCATGGGAGAGAAGAAGGGTGTTCACGAGGTACCACAGGGCCTTCCAGGGTCTCTGTGACATTCTACCATTAGGGTGGGGGCTGGGTACATGTGAGGGGGTCACACTGATGGGCTGGCCAAAAAGTTCATTGCATGTTTTTCTGTACAATGGCTCTAGTAGTGCTTAGTTGTCTTTAATTTTATTCAAAACAATTTTGTTAGATTGTATTATGACAGCTGTCATCAGCATGCATTAAAAAAACTCATCAAAATAGGTGATTTTTTTGTGTGTAGCCATTTTAATATTGTAGATGGAAGGAAATAAGCAACACTTTCTGCACATTATGCTTTATTATTTCAAGAAGGAAAAATGCAACTGAAATACAAAAAAAGATTTGTGCAGTGTGTGGAGAAGGTGCTGTGACTAATGGAACGTGTCAGAAGTGGTTTGTGAAGTTTCTTGTACTATTGACATTTTGGCCAAATATTCTTTGTGGGGCTGTTTTATGCATTGGAAGGGGTTTAGCAGCACCCTGGTCTCTACCTGCTTAGAAGGCAATAAATAGTGGGAGACAACCAACACACTCAAAATACCCAAATCAATAAAGTTATTGTTGAAAATAAAAAATGTCTTATTTTACCAGAAAAAAAGTAACAGACTTTTTGGTAAACCTATTATTTTTGTTATATTTTTTCTTTAAAATTCTTTACATTAAATAAAAAAGAGACATTTTACAGAAGCAAACACCCCACACCCAGGGAAAGGGGGCCCAATGGGGTATCTTGGGGCCCCACCACTCCCATTCCCTTCAGCAGCTCTGGCAGGTGGGCTGAGAACTCTCGGGAGACAGACAACACAGAGCACTGTCCTCCAGCGACAGTCAGGTTCACGTTTTCCTTCAGCCGTCACCCACAAAACCTACTGACCCGCAGCAGTCCTGACGGGGCTGGACCCAGGGGGCTCGCCCTGGGACAAGCCCTGGGACGAGCGTCCTGCTCCACGGCGCCCCTGCTTCCCCACAGGTTTGGGCAAGTGGGGAAGCCGCTGCCTGCTCTAGACAGGTGCACAAGGCGCTGGTCTCCAGGGCAGCAGCAACGCGCAACAGAACTGACTTTACAGGCTTTGGATGCTCACTGATTATTAGACATGAAGAGTTTGCATGACCTGGTGGGGGAGGGAAGGAGAGAGGGAGGAAAACACCGAAAACATAAACTGAACTTAAAGACATTCTGCTTTCCGAGTAAGCTAAGCCCAATACCTTTCTTGAAAGCAAACTCACCCTCTTCTAAGCAAAACAGCAAGCAGCTTGCAAACAAGGGTGAAGGAAAGGACGGAAAGGGGCTGTGGGCAGTGTTCTCAGCAGACAGCTGCTGAGCAGAAATCACTCCCAGACCAGGAACAGGGAGACCCTGGGGTGGGGGGTGGCAGGTGATCCAGAGACAGCAGGAAGGAGCTGTTCTCAGGCAGCAGGCAGGCGCATCTTGGTGGAGGTGGGTAACACACCGCCCCCAAGCCTATGCCAGGCTTACACCTGGATGCAAGTGCTCTTCAGCCACCTGCATCCACCCAGCCCAGTGGGAGCCCAATGTCTTCACACAGAGGGTCGGAAGCCCTGGGTCTCGTCTCACATCTACATATCTTTTTACTTCTCTCTAGGCCTCTCTCTCTCTCTGGGTCTCCTTCTCTTTTCTGTTCCTTTCTCACTATCCATTTCTGTGCCTGCCTCTCCCCTACACTCAGAACTGTTGGATTTCAGGAGAAAGAACCGCTTGGTAATAAAAGAATTGTACCGCACAGACATGAAGAAAGCTGGGTTTTATCTTCAGTGGGTTGGTCTCCCTCTTTCCCCAGGTGTCTTTTCTTGCCCTGCACCCATTTTCATCATTCTTGATCCATTCTCATCTATGCTGAGATTTTTCACTTCACCTTATGATACCAATTTGATAAAGGCTTTCAAAGATTCCCCCAACCCCACCATTGCCTACAGGATGAATCCCAAGCTCCTTGGTCGAGAATTCAAGGATCTCGGTGACACCACCTCCTCCTTTCCTCCTTCTGTCTTCCACCCCCAGTACCTATTGAAGCTTAGTGCCTCTCCCTTGGGAACAGGTACGGCTACATGTTTAACACACAACATTTCTAAACTTTACAGTGGTCCTGAAAGGTTAACTATGGTTCATCTCACTTTGTAGGTGAGTCCATTGAAGCTCATGGAGATGAAGTGACCCTAAGACCAAAGACTCCATCACTGGCAGAGCCTGACTCCAAGCCAGGCCTGTCTGGTTGCTGCTCCTCCTGAGAGAAGTGGCCACCATGTCGTTCCAGGAGCCTGGGATTCAGAAAACTCACATTTATTGATCTTTTGCACTGGGCCAGCTTTTCACACAGTTTCTGTTAATTTGCACAAAACTCTGTGAAATTGCTACTATTGCTCCCACTTCACCACATGGAGATGTGAACTCAGCAACATTAAAGAACTTGATCAAAGGCAGGCAGACAGTAGACAGCAGAACTAGACTTTATCCTTGGACTCTCTGTGATTAAATCATGCCATTTATGATCTGACTGTGCCATTGGCTTCCTTCTTCCCTCTTCAAAAGTCTCAAAGGACAAACTGGTCCACCGGTTGACTCTGGAATACATCTTGTGTTTTCTGACCCCAACACTTTCCTTGACGCCCTTCTCCACCTTGCCATCCTGCTCCCCCTCCTACATCCTTCTGCACAGCCTACCCATCCTCCCAGCTACACTCGTCCTGTAGAGACAGAGTGCACCGTCAAAAAGCCCAAATCAAGTGACATTTTAAAGGAGAAAACTCTTTTGGAGAAAGAAATGGAGGCTCCAGGACAGATGGTGTGGCCGAGACCTACCCGACATTCCTGCATCTCCTGCCACACGGGGCCGTCCACACGTGGACATCTGCCCCATCCTGAGCGCCGAATCAGCTCCCATCACTTGATGGAATCGGCGGATGTTTAAGAAAGTCTTTACACCTTCTGAACTCCTGGCCTGGAATGATGCCCATTTCCCAACCCAACTGTGAATCCCTGAGGGCAGAAACCGTGTTTTACACTCTCGATCTTCCTTCCCATCCTCATTTCACTGACACTGTGTGTGCTCACCAAGAACAGTGCTACCGGTCTCCAGCGGCACTGGCTCTGTCCTGGCCCAGAGGGTTGTGCCCTGGAAAGGAATCCTTACAGGGTCAGACTCAGCCCCCAAGGCCACAGACATTCCCTGGAAACTGCCCCCATTCCTGACCCTTCTCCCAACTCAGACTAGAAGTTTTGAGTTGAAAGAGACCTCAGACACCAGACAGTCCAAACTTCTCGTTCCATAAATGTGGGAACTGAGGCCACGGAGGAGAGCGACTTCCTGCCCCGTAACTCCCCCCCCCAGAAGTCTATCTTGAAGGAAACTCCTTGAAGAAAAGGCCCATGCCGTGCGGTGTTGCTGCAGGTCCGAAGTGCTGCCACACTGAGAGCGGAAATGATTCCAGGTCCTCTGCTCATCTTGACAAGGAAAATAAGGGGTACACTACTCATTGGATAAAGTTCTTTGGTGTTTACATAAATTGCTCTGTGCTGACACTGTATACAACATGTCTCCCTGACGCCGGATGTTGCTTAGATTGGGAACAGGAAGAGCATGAGATAAGAGTGGGCAAAGGAATATGAAGTTACAAAGACTCAGAGCCTAAGAAATTCTGACTTTTGTAGAAAGAAGTCAGCAATCAGCTAGCACAGCAAGTCCATTTTACAGAGGGGTAAACTGATGTCCAGTGAATCCATGGGACGCGCCCAGAGAGGCAGCTCATTCGTGGCAGAGCTGATCTGGAATTCTGGACTCAAGTACTCTTCGCGGCATCTCAGACTCCCCATCTCCCACGACAGCCCAGGCTAATAGTCATTTCCCATTTCTAATAGGGAGGGAGTGCACACGGAGAGGACCAGACACAGCAGGATAGAAGGAACCTGGAATAAAGGTCCCTGCTGTTACGTCCCATCAGCCACCACCTCAGATCTCAAATCCAGGGCTCTCATGAAGTTTTTGCTAATGCTATTTCTAAATGAAGACAGAATGTACAGTCCAAGCCAGCGATAAGCATTCTCCCAGTAGCCTGGGGCTATTCTAATTAAAGCACATAACTTATCTCTTTCTACTTGGCACTTTGTTAATTAGGAAAAGAGAAAATTAAAAAGGAGGCATTTATTTAAAACCAGGATAGTCTAACC